GCTTTGGGGCCATGCCCAGGGGATAGGTAGGAGTGGGGATTGCTTCCAGAGATGGTCGGGCTCCATGTGGGTCGTGGCACGAGCCTGGGCTGGGATGAGGTGCTGGGCATTCAGAATGTTGGGGCTTATGTCCCCAGAATCCTTCACTCCTGCTAGGCTCTGGCAAGTCCAAGAAGAACTGAAACAGAGACCCTGATAGTGACAAGAGCATGGTTGGTGCTGGGGGTGCTGGGCTCTCTTCCCTGCTCCTTGCCTCCCCTCTCCATCTCGTCCTCAGCGAGGCAACCAGCGCGTGTCCTGGCCTGCCATTGGCTTCCTGGTGCTCTCGTGGCTCTTTGCGCTCCTCACCATGATTCTGGCCGCAGTTGGGGCAACCACCTGGCTGCAGTTCCTCTTCTGCTTCTCCTACATCAAGCTTGCAGTGACGCTGGTCAAGTATTTTCCACAGGTACCTCCACGGCCTTCTGTACTTTTCACATGGTCGTCAGCATAAGAGGGGTGAGATATGGACCCTGGGCCCTGCTCCTGGCGCAGCTTCTGGCTGGGGCAAGGATGTGGGTGGAAAGCCACATGGAAGCCACCAGCCCAGCAGGAGCAGGGCTGTGCAGAAAGCCAGCTGTTAGCACTGCCCGCTCTTCCTGGAACTGAGAAGCACAATGGAGACTCCTCTGAGCTCACGCTCGGCCCTGAGTCAGGGGTTGTGCAGGTTGCTTCCTGTCTCTCTGTCCCAGCTTTCCTAATGACTTCAGGTCTGCACCCCCTCTGCCCCTCATTACCACAACCAACTTCCCTGACAAGTAGCAGCAGAATACTCCAGAAAGACTAGGTGGAGGAGGGAGCCCGCCACTGTGACCTCCACCTCCCCATCCAGAGATGTTTTCCTCGGAGGTCCCATCCAGTGTCCTCCTGGTGGGCCTTTAGCACGCTCCCTCGAGTACTCAGACAGTCCTATACAGATCCGGACTTAGAGTTGAACACATCTTCCCCCACAGCCAGAATGGCCCGGGACAGGGTCAGGTATAAAATAGGTACCAACTGCAGGCTCCATCATGAATCTAGGGTCTCACCCCATTCCCAGCGGAGAAGCCTCTTTTTCAGCCTCCCCAGCACAGGGAACCTTGTGTTCTGTGGGCTCAGGAAGGAGGCAATTTTGGCCAGAGTCAGGGCCAGTCTCCTGGAGGGCATGGAAACAGAACCAACCTTTAAGGATGACAGGACTTAAGTCTGTGGACCCTGGAGGAGGGGGTGTTCCTCTAGGGGCAGGCTGCCCAAAGGCATGGGTGGAGGAGCATGGAAGGCAGCCAGGAGCCCATGCTGGCTGAGCAGTGTTGAAGCGGGGGAGGTCTTGAGGGAAGGAGGCCTCAGTCCCTGAGTGTGAGAAGGCTTCAGGCTGGAAATCTGGGAGGCAGGAGCCCCAGTTGGTGATGTTGGGAACTGTCCAGGACTGGAGAGGGAGCAGCAAGTATGGAAGACAGTAGGAGAGGACGAACAAGGGGACTGACTGCCAGCAGACTGGGAGAAGACCACTACAGAGGCCCAGCTCTATTCTCCCAGGTGGTAGGAAGGGAGGTCGCACCAGTCGGAAAAACCCAGAGGGTCCTGGTGTTGGGGGAAGGATGTGGGGCACTGGCGGCAAGAACAGGTATGTCCAAGTGGACCTGCTCACTAGACCTACGAAGCCCAAAATGGAGGCCGCAGAGCTCTGCCAGGGCTGAGGTGGGAGTTAAGTCCACTCTACAGATGGGGAAACTGAGGCTAGGAAAACTCAAGTAACTCTCCCAAGGTAACAAGCTCCAGTAGCGGAGCTGGGATTGCAAGCCAGGCATTCCAATTCCCAGCTTGTGTTCGTAAGCACAGTGTGAAGTCCAGGCTGAGTTTGGGGAAAATCTTGATTGGAGGTGAGAAGAAAAATCAGAGTCGCTGGAAAATCAGGATAGGGCTTTTTCCCAGAACAGGGAGGGATGAAGAGGATGGAGAAGCAGCCTCCGGCCCTCCCTTGGAGTCGTGAGGTGCGGGCATGGGAGGAGGAGCGCTGTTTGCTGTGCATGCAAATGAGACCCACCCGAACTGCTCTCCTCTCAGAGCCTAAAGGTCACTGTGTTCCTTGGAGCAGAGGCCTGAGCACATGAGTAGGAGGAATTAGAGCTGCTCTTGTTTGGAGTGGTGGTCACAGGGTGCATGAGGCAGCCACTCGGCCCCCTCACCGCCCTCCATCTGTCTGTCTGTCTGTCTGGCCCAGGCCTACATGAACTTTCACTACAAAAGCACAGAGGGCTGGAGCATTGGCAACGTGCTTCTGGACTTCACTGGGGGCAGCTTCAGCCTCCTCCAGATGTTCCTCCAGTCCTACAACAACGGTGAGTCAGCCAGCAGGCAGCCCACCCACCCAGTGTGCTGGAGGCACAGGGCGGGCCAGGCTTCCTGGGCGCCCCCTCCCCACCGCCCCCTTCAGCCACCCCACACCGGCCCTGCAGCCTGGGAATCCAAGCCGATCTCAGCCCTGAAGGTGACTCTCAGCTGGAGGATTTGTGGTTTCCTGGGCAGATGAGGACCCCTACCCCCTACAGCCCCACATGCTCCAGCTGCTTCAGGAGCTGCCACCCTAAAACCGGATTCTGTTCCCTCTGTCTGTTAACAGACCAGTGGACACTGATCTTTGGAGACCCAACCAAGTTTGGACTTGGCATCTTCTCCATCTTCTTCGATATTGTCTTCTTCATCCAGCACTTCTGCTTGTACAGAAAGAAACCAGGGTATGACCAGCTGAACTAGCACCCAGGGACCCAGTGTAAACGGCCTGGGCCCTGTGCCCACCAGGAAGGCTGGAGAAGCGGTCTGAAGTGCAGGGCTGGCTCAGTGTGCCGACAGTGGAGAAGCGCGCTCTTCCTCAGGGCCAAACGCCTTAAACAGAACCAGCCTGCCTTCATCCAGGACTCTCCCGGGCCAGGGAGGAACCTCCCTCTGGGACAGACACCTGATTCTGCTTTCAGATTAAAAGCCAGATCGCTGGTGGCCTCTCCCAGCCTCCCCAGAGGTCTTAGCCCCTCCCAGGCCTTACCAGCCAGGCATCTGGCCCTCCTGCATCTTGATGCGGCCATCTCTATTTTCTTTAAGGCTTCAGGCAGCACACACAGCACGTCCCAGGCAGGATTGGGCACTGAGCTTGGAGCCGAAGGCCTTGCCCCAAGCAACCAGTGTTTCTAGGAGCAGCTTGAGAGACTGACCTTGCAGCTGGGAGAGTCAAGAGTGCTTTGCTGCCACTGCTGTGTTCCAAGAGACCAAGCAGCCAGGTGCCATGGGCAATGGACTCAGGTGCTGGTGCTGGTGGTAGAGGGGCTAGGATTTGAGGGTTAGGTCGTGGGGTTCCTTCTCTGAAAGCCATGTTCTCTGAGCACTCACCTTCCTGACACTCACTCACTCTCCATAACTCAACTTCCATGATTGCAATCACAGATGGGCCAGACCAGGGCCTGGTAATGAAACTATTTCTGAGCCTTGAGATCCCCAACAAATTGGTTCTGAACTAGGCCTGTGCCCAACACCCTCTGGACCTTTATCACACTAACCAGTTTGGATTTTCTGGAGGGATGTTTTGGAAGTAAGGGGCTCACTTTCTTCTGCTTTTTGCCTACCTTTACTTTCCTGGAGTCAGGGGCCCCATGTGAGTCCCTCCAACTGCTCCTCAGCCTGCGTCTGGAGTGCGGGACACACACACACCAGTCCGTGCCTTAGAGGCCTGTGGGACCTGCCAGACGGTGAGAGGAGCTCCCTTGGGGTGGGGCAGGCCCCTTGCCTTGCTTTCCCCAGACCCCTACCTGAGACTCACCAAGTTTTTTGCTGGTCAAGAGCCTCAGAGGAATTGAGACCACCTCACACAATCCTCATGGGCCCAACCCTCATCCCAAACTGCCTTCTTTCCCACCCCAAGCCACTGTCCTTCCTGTGGCAGGAGGGGAGGGTCCCAGGATGTGCCTTGTTCATGCCTTGAGTTTGTCAGTCCACTCAGACTTTTTCACTAGGAGACCAATGTGAGGGGTCTAGATCCTTAATTAAAACCTGATTTGTCTCCTTTCTGCCCACTCTGAGCATTTGCCAAATGCAGGAGGTGGGTGTGTTCACTTCAGAACCAAGTCCCTGGGGCTTAGGGCCTTACTCCCTCCATGTAAGGAAACGCATAGGGCTGTGAAGTTCGCTGACCCTGTGGAGGCTGCATGCTGGCCCAGCACTTCATCAGCAGAGCTCGCCTGGGCAGTGCATGACACCTGCCTGCTCAGGGCCAGGTAGGTCCCACAGATGCCCTGCTTCTCATTACCAAAAGCAGCCAGCACTGGGAGTGGGGGGATGTCTTATTTTCTAGATTCTTCTTTTATCTAGTTGTAACAAATATCAAAGAATTTAGGATCTTGTTTCCCTAAAGCAGAGACTGCTGCCTGCCGAAGCACGCACACCTGTTTTTTGGGGACCACCCAGAGTGTTACTAGGTGCCACACTCTAAAAATGGGAGATTCCAAATATTTGATATGAACACTGGAAAAGTCTGATTCCGCAGTGCTAGGTGGGTCCATGAGTGGCAACAATTCCCAGAGCTGGTAGTGCGGCCAGCGCTGGGCCAGGCAGAGGCCCGGAGCTCTCCGGCTCATCCCCATCAAATCACAGCTGCTGGAAACATTTGGGGTTACATCCCTGGCTTTGATAAACTGAGGGCTCTTAAGAGTGTTAGGGGGGCAGGTGTTTTTCCCATGAACCCCTTGGTGTCCATGAGGCCCCTCCCAGGTGGGAGCTGAGACTAGGTTATACAAGGGAAGTTGGGGGCCCCCGGCCCCAGTTCTGGTGAAGGTGCTCCCACACATTCCCATAGACATAGCCCTGGCCAGGCACAGTGTCGGGTGGGCCTGGGAATAGCTGGGTTTTGACCCAGGGCCGTGGGGACCAGGTCAATGAGCCTTACAACCAAATCCACCCTAAGTGTCCCAGCCCTGTGCCTCAGCAGAGACCCCTGGTGAACTCCAGCACTGTTTATTGGGCACGCAATGGGTGTGGGGCAGCTTCACACTGCCCCTTTTCCACAGTAACCAAAGTAAGGCTTGTTCACTTGCTAAGAGTAGTTGTTTCCAGATGTGAATTAGTGAGCTAAATTCAAAAGTAGAATTGGCACCTCCAAATAGTAAGATAAAATTGCTTTGTATCAAAGTTGTGATTAAAAAAATACAAAAGTTAAACCCACAGGCATAGAGGAAAATGGCAATCCTGAGAACTACCCTGAAACGTCAGCCTCAAACCTCGTCTAAATCCTGTAAGCAGGTGAACCCTGGGGAGGCCAGCGCCCCTCGGGGGAGTGGGGTGCGAGGCGGTGAACTGCGAGCCTGCCTGGCTTCCCTCTGGGTGAAGCTTTGTAGTGCCTCTGGCAGTGTGTCGAGTCCCCACGGGGCAGCGCAGGGAAAAGCATGGGCACAGACACTGTGCAGCTGAGACTCAGAGCAGGGCCAAGCCCCACAGCCAGGGCAAAGCGGGGGAAAGGCCACCCTGCTGGCATTTTCCAGCTTTGTGGCAGCTCTCAGGAAGTGGGGCCCCTGCTCGCCTGGGCACTGCTGAGGCCAGGCAGCAGGGTCTAGGGGCCGGGCCTGTGGCTAGACAGACTGTGACTCAGCTCCAGGCCTTTGTTTCCAATCCGCAATGTCCAAGGGAGACAGGTGGTCCCAGAGCCTCAGGTCAGTGGTGGGAGAGGGGAAGAAATGCCAGGTCAGGCCGCTGGGCCCAGCACTCAGCAGAAGCCAGGACGAGGGGCAGACAGAACGTGGAAGTGGTGTCACTGTACAAAGAGGCGGGCAGGCAGGCATCAGGGACCCAGCGGGCTGCTAAGACAGCATGGACTGCTGCACTGCTTTCTGCAGCGACTGCCGTGTCACCAGCAGGCGCACCACCTCTTCCGAGCGCTTGGTAAGCCGCTTCCGCGCCTGGTCGTGTGTGACCATGGTCATGTCCCAGCCGTTCACCTGGCCCAAGGAGGAAAATACAGGCCACCTCAGCCCCCCACTCGCTGGGATCTAGAAGCAGGTCAGGCTCTGTGGGGCCTGGGTCACCCAAGCAGGCCCCCAAGCTGATGTTCCAAGGTTGTGAGAGGCCACACACCAGAGTGGAGGCACACAGAGGAGAGAGCCAGCTTCCTCTGGGGGCAACGCCAGCATGAGCTCCAAATCGGCTTTGGTGAGTCTCGGGAGCCCCCCAACCCCCGAAGGCTTCAGACCCTCTGGCCAAGCCTTGTTTTCCTCCTTTGGGACGTCTGTTACCTGCATGATCTTGTCTCCAATCTGCAGCCCAGCAATTTCAGCAGGGCCTCCTTCGGATACCCGTGTGACATAAATACCCTGGAAAGACACAGGCCAAGTCAAATCCTTGGGTCACTGGACCAGCCCCTTATCCACAGAGCAAAGCCCAGCACATAGCATACTCCCAGCCATTCGTCTGAACCTACACCAAGCCTCCCCAGCACAGGCTGTACCCAGACAGCCAAGAGGAAAGCAGGGCTGCCCGCAGATGCTCCAGCCCCTGCTGTGGGCCTCCTGGGCTCTGTCTGGGCAGGCCTGCATAGGGCTGGGAGCCCACTCCCCACCCCTACTTATTCCCGCCAGATCATTTCTTGGACCCGAGAGAGGACTTTTTGAGAGAGATGAGGTCTGTTCCTTCCAGAAAGGCCCAGGAAGCAGAGACCCACCATCTCAGGCCTCTGTGTCTCACAGAGAGGTCTCAGGACCCTGGTTCCCCTCACCTTGTCTGTCTTGTCTTCTGAGAAAGGATTCTGGGAGGGATCCTGGTCAATTCCACCTCCAATGCTGAAGCCCAGGATTAAGTTCTCACCTTGACGCAGCTTGTGAATTTCAACTCTTTGCTGGCAAAGGAAAAAACTAGTTGGAGTGGGTGGGTGTGTGGAGAGTCAATCTGCTGTGTCCCTAGCAGCAGCCTCAGGCTGCTGGTCCAGCTCAAAGCTGTGCCAACGGGGTGGGGTCCAAGTCCCTCTGGAGGAATCCAGCAGGTCACCAGCCTGGGAGGCTGGAGGGTTGAGACTCAGAACTCAGCTACGTCAACCCACACAGCCGTCCGTCCCAACCTCTCCCCACTTCCAGCCTTAGTCAACAAGTGCTTTAAGCCCCTCCCGGCCCAAGAGCCAACGTGCTGTGGCTGCACTACTAGGGGAGGCACCACACAGGGCAGGAGGGATCAGGTCCCTAAAAAAATGCAAGCACCCTGCAGAGGCAGCTTAGATTGCTGAGCCAGCCCCTGTCAAGGGCAAGACAGGAGATGCTCTGGAAAAGCAGAGAAGATCAAACTTGCACAGAAAGGAGAGGAAGGGCTATGTTGGCCAAGAGAGGCTTGAAGGTGCTGTAGGTACATGTCCACGAGACCGGAGTGTACAGCACAGGACCAGAACTGCGAGGTGAGCTGAGGCTGGGACCATATCAGGAAGGCTGTGGAGTGCAGGCCCACGAGACTGGCCCCAAGGAAGGGAGGTTCTCCCTAAGCCCCAGGCCCTGCTCTTGTGCAGTGTAGGAGGCAGAGGAGGGGCCTCGGGCTCACTTGCCATACTCGGGCTGTGATCCCCAACTGTGCCAGGCTCCTTTCAAATCCTTCAGCAGTCACCCTCCAGTCACCAGATGCTGGGAGCCAGACCAGATCTCTCCCCCCCCCCCCCCCCCCCCCCCCCCCCCAAGTTGAGAGGTTTAACAGGAAAAAGAAAAGAACAAAGCAAAAGGTGACTTGATGGGGACCTGAAGGGCTTCACAAAGGAGGTATCATTTGTACCAGGCCTTGAGGGGGTGACCAGCAGTCTGGCCACCTGACCTTCATTCTGGGCAGCCCACTGAAGTTCTCAGGAGTTGGGCAGTAGGGCTGGTCATGGCCAGGTGTGATGCTAGAATGACATTCAGGCAGTCCATACAGAAACAGATGTCTCACAGACGTGGGATGTGGAGGCCTGGGGACATGAGCTACTTGGAAGGTGAGATCAACAGAACTGGAGACTGCTTGTGGCAGAGAGGAGTCAAGGGGGGCACCCAGCCACCAGGCCTGGCTGAACACAACCATCTGTCAGATGGGGACCCTGGAGGGGAAGGAGCATGTTGAGTTGGAGTGCCAGGAGCCGTCCAGACAGGTGTCCAGAAGGCAGACAGATAGGGAGCCACAGTTCAGAGGACAGGCCAAAATGGTTTTAACATTCTCAAAATGTTAACTACATGGGAGAGGGCAGGGCCTAAGGAAGAAGCCTCCCCCACCCCATCCCCAATGTGAGAGACAAGAGGGAGAGACCAGACCCCACCCACCATGTTCAGACATTTTCCTAGTGTTAGAGGAATTGGGAGGGTCATGGTTCTACAGCTTTGAGGAAAGCCCAGGGACCAGCCATGACTTGAGAGGAGGAGCAGGAAGCATGACCCCTCAGGCCCACTGGACCTAGGTCCTCCTGCCCCAAGTGTGAGCTCCTCCAGGCCTGCTCCACCTCCTCCAACACACCTTTGACCCACCCTCAAGGTCAAAAAGCGCACAGGACCTTGGACTGGGAGGCAAGGCCCTGTCACTGACTTGCTGGGTGAGGTCAGGCAGGTTACTGCCCGTCTCGGGCTCCTCAGCTACACCCATTTTTTTCCAGCTAAGGAGCAAACCTGGCCCCTTCTCTCCAGGACAGCTAGAGATCTGGAAAAGCCAGGCTGGTGCCACCAGGGTGAAGCTTAGCACAGCTGTCAGCTGGTCCAGCAGTGTTTCCTCCCACCCAGGCCTGAGCTGGTGCTCTAAGCCTCACATGCCACCTTTATCAGTGGCCGTGCCACCTTCTGACTGCAGGCGCTCCCCAGCACACTGCTCTGAGCTGCGGCAGCCAGTCCCATGGCCTCAGGGCAGGGACTTCCACCTGACTCATTGCCTGCCCAGCTGGTATTTCTTCTGAGAGATTCGGGTCCTTCCTGAGGGCTTCCTTTATGGCTGGGTATGACCAGACCTCTCTAGGACTCAGTTTCCCCACCTCCGCCCCGGCTTTGGCCTCCAGGTGCGATCCAGCTGTGGCACTGGCGTCTGGGTCTCATGTTCCAGCGACCTTTCCTCCCTTTGTCTATTTGAATAGCACTTGGCACCCAAGCCAAGCCAAGCGGGGAGCCAGGGGACTGAGCAGACCCCAAGCACCAGGCAGGGAACCTGAACTTTGCTCCAAGAGCTGGGGATCCAGGGAAAGTTCGCAGCAGGATCCAGCCAGCTGTAGGAGCCTTCGCTCTGGACCAGGCGGCAGTGGATCCAAGGAAGCAAGGCTGGACCGAAGGAGGGGTAAGGGGCCACTACACAGGCCCCGGCCGCCTCCACCCCCCAAATCTCCCTCTGGGCGGCGGCGCCAGCTGGAGCGGAGGAAGCACTTCCTCATTCCAGAGGCTGCGACTCATGGACGTCGGGGCCGGCGCCCGCCCCCCGCTGCCACCCAGCTGGGGACACAGGCCTGGGCTTTCCCGGACCCCCACAGCTGGGGCTTTCCTCTGCAGTCCTCCCCGCCCCGGCCGCCCAAAGGAGGCAGTGCGCGGGGGCTGGCCCCGGTCCGGCGTCTCAGGAGGCTCTCGGGTCCCAGCCTTCTCTGTCGCATGGCTCGGGGGATCGCGGCGCCGCTCGAGCAGAGAGGGACCGGAGCCCTGGCCTCAGGTTTGCAGGAGCCCCGGGTCCGACGCTTTGTCAACCTGTTTGGGGTGTCAGTTTGCCGCTCCGCAAAGTGGGGGCAAGCCAAGACGAGGAGGAGCCCACGCGAGCGCACTCACCACCACGGCGGTGACAGGCTGGCCCGGGATGTAGGACATCTCGACCCCAATCTGGGAACCAAGTACCGTTCAGCGGGGCCCGCAGCGAAAGTCTCGGTGGCCGCGCCCTCTGTGGTTAACAAAGGCAGCCTGGCTCGGTCCGCCCCCTCATGAATAGTTAGCAAATCCCCAGCCAATCACCGGCCGGAGCGCTGTTCCGCTTTCGGAAGTCCCAGTGCGTGCGGAGAAAGGCGGGGAGTGGGTAGAGGGTGCTTGGGAAGCCCGCGGCGCATGCGCCAGGGCGCGGGCACGAGGTCTTGGCGCATGCGCAGCCTGGACCCTCCCAGCAGCCTATAGCGCAAGATGGCGCCGCTGGAATCTCTACCCGTGGCCGTCTGAGGGAGGGCCAAGTGCCTGTGTGCGCCGCCGTGTTCCAGGTAAGCGGGCTAGGCTGGGCGGGGAGTGCGATGGGCCGCCGCCCTCCCGGCTGGCCGAGCCCTCAGCCTTCGCACCGTCTCCTGAAGGCCGGAGACCCGGGAGCGGTGCGAGGTCTCGGAAGCCCCCCGGGGAGGGGCGGCGTGGAGCCAACCCGCCGAGCTCTGGGCGCTGCTGGTAACTTGGTTTCCTCCGCAGCTCCGCATCGTTTCACGAGAAGGCAGAGGCTGAGCCCCGGCGGGTGCGATGGCCGCTGTGGTGGCCAAGCGGGAAGGGCCGCCGTTCATCAGCGAGGCGGCGGTGCGGGGCAACGCGGCCGTCCTGGATTACTGCCGGACCTCGGTGTCCGCGCTGTCGGGGGCGACGGCCGGCATCCTCGGCCTCACCGGCCTCTACGGCTTCATCTTCTACCTGCTCGCCTCCGTCCTGCTCTCTCTGCTCTTAATTCTTAAGGCGGGAAGGAGGTGGAACAAATATTTTAAGTCGCGAAGACCTCTCTTTACAGGCGGTCTCATCGGAGGCCTCTTCACCTACGTCCTGTTCTGGACTTTCCTCTATGGCATGGTGCACGTCTACTGAAAGGGGCGCGGGATGACTTTTTTAAAAAACCAGATTGGGAGGACTGTTGCCAGAAATTAACACCGGGTACACTTAGTTTTTAAATTGTTGAATTCGCTGCTTGTTCTGTAACGTTATAAATAATTTATATCTGAAGACGAAGCGCCTGTAATACTCTTCAGATTAAAGGAAGCGTCAGACACCTTGTGGAGTTTTTTCCTACCTTAACGCATTCCCGCTGTCTGCCATGGGTGCAGAATCGCCTAGTTTTGACTCCTGGAGAGCTGGGACTGAGCCTTGGCCTTCTGGAATTTCCTCGCATTTACACACAGGTCATCCAGAGAGGGTGCACCAGGGCCTAAATAAAAAGAGAACTTAATTATTGATTGACATCCTAAGGACTAATAACAGTTAAGTGTTCCCTATACGCCAGGCATTGTGCCTTATACCTTTTACACCCATTATCTCATTGAATTCTAGCAATATCCTTGTGGAGTAGATGTGATTATTATCCCCCATTGATGAACCTGAGACCCAGAGAGGTTCACTACCTCTTCCATAGGAGGCACAGCTAGGAAGAGGCAGAGCCAGGATTCAGAAACAGTTCACTTAATTGCTCTTGCTGTGTTGGCTGCGGACCTTTTCAGAGCCCGGCCTTCCCTCCCCCTAACCGCTGCTTTCAGGTGTGAATGGTGTCATTTTGGTTCCATTTCACCTAATCACAGCCAGCTCTTGTTTCTGTTAAGAACATTAATTTAAGCTCTTTTCTAGACTTTGTTTAGATTCAGCAGACTGGATGTTTAAGCTAAACTTTGGGCTTGTCTGGAGTGTAAATGCTTCTGTCTATATGCTAATCCACGATCCCTTATTGTCAGGAGGGTTATCTTAGAATAAAATGCATACATTTAATTGAAAAATAAATATGGTATTAGAGTTATGGTAATGAACATGTTGCTTATGGAATCTATAGTCTAACTGGGAAGACCAGGATTACCTAATTTCACAAATATTTAAATGATGGTAAAGTGCTATGAAGGGAGTACATAGGAGCCCCAAACCCAGCCAAGGTTGGGGGGGAGGGGTCAAGAAAGGCTTCTTTGAGGAAATAATGTTACATCTGAGACCCAAAGGTTAAATAACAACCAACTAAAGTGTGGAGAAGGGGGTACTTGCAAGAAAGCAGATGCATGAGGGCCATTGGGCAGGAAGGAGTTTGGCTTGTATCTGCAGAGTTAGAGAAGAGGCCATGGGGTGGACCTGGACCAGATCATGGAAGGCCAGAGTGAGGAATTTGGCCTTGATCATAAGAGCAATTGGGGGAAGCCTTTAGAATTTTAGAAGTGATGTGATCAGATTTGGATTTTTGGATCTGAGAGCTTGAATCCAAGTCTTCTTTTACAGACAGTAGGTGGCACATGGCCAGCAACAGAAATGGGTCTGCGACCCAGGCCTCCTGAATCCCATTTTAGATTCTGGACCACATGTTTGCACATGAGGCCAAGCAGCAGCTCAGGCCACAACTTTGCCTCCCTCTCCCAATGACCTCCTCTGAGCCCTTTCTCTGACTGCCACTGAAGATGCTCACTTTCATGGTTTGCACACTCCTCCACTCTCCCAACCTCCCCCAGTCCTCTCTCGGGGCCTTCTCTGAGTGGGAAGGGAGGGTTCATTCCTGATGCAGGGTAAGGAGGAAGCAGACCTTACTGCAGGTCCTAAGCGGGGGACGGGGAGGGGTAGCAGAATGGGGGCATAAGGGAGCTGATGTACTTAACCATTCCTCTATTTTTAGGCAGTAAGTTTGTTTGAAGTGTTCACTATTATAAAAAATACTGCAATAAATATCTTCACATCCATATCATTATGAGGGAATTTAATAAGCTCCTGGAGCAGAAGATTAAAACTCGAATCCAGATTACACTCATTGAAGGAAAAGTACCAGTTTTATCAGTGCCCTCCTAGTCTTTAATGTTTCCTCACTTAAAGAGTTTCCTTACTTTTATTTGAATTCCTTTGCAAAATAAGGAATGTAATATACTGTTCACTAATTGTTTCTGTGTCTGCCTCTTTTGGTCTCACTTTCTCCTTACATTTTCATCTAAAACATGGGGTGCCCATGAAGACATGAAGGGAAAAAAAATCAGGACACTTTTAAAGTTTACACCTTTTATTGTTTTATAACCAAATAAAAAATGTCAAAGAATACATATATTGGACAGGTCCCAGAAAATGTTTGCCATCTTCCCCCTTTAATTCTGTGTACTGGCTTAAGGGGAAACAAGCAGCTGGAAGAAAGGTGCATCCTTTGGAGAGAGAGCGTTCTTGCGTTCGCTGGAGAGTATGCTCGAGGAAGTGAAGTTGCATCACTTGGGTGGAAGGGGGTGGGTTGGAGCCAAATGGAGCCCTTTTCCAGACATGCAAGATGCCATTCCAAGTGGGGTGATTTACGACTCTCCAGGGCACTGTAGTCCTTAGAGACACCTGGAGGAAGTCACAATCCTCCTTTATGACTGGTCCCCCAGTAGGGCAGCCAACCACTGAGAAGGAAGAACTGATGTGCGGCGGGCACAAAAGGCAGCCGTGACTAGTCAGTCCTGATGACCCCTTTATCAGAAGAGGGCACTTTGCTTTTTCATGGCTGGTCCTGTGGTATCACATTGATAGCACCCAATTTACAAACTTCACATGGGCCAGCATCAGAGTACTCCCAAGACATGGAATAACTCAGTCGTTAGGAAAATACCAAGTAGATGGCTTTAGGCCAGGGCCTGAACATACACATAGACAATTCATGATCCTGAACGTCAGCATGGAAAGAAGCTCTTGAGAGGCTGGCACACACATCTTCCTGATGAGGCATCGGCCACCCTGACAGAAAGGGGCTTTCCCAAGTTTGAAAGGAGCTCAAGTGCCCACTTCTTCCCATTACAAAACTAGTTTCTATAAGATTAGTGAGCCTCCCAATTATGTACCAAAACTATCCCCAAAAAAGTGGGGGAGCTGTGCAAAAGCAAGGAAACTTTGGCAGTGTGCAACACTATCCAGAAGCGGTAATGTGGGCCCCTGACGTGTAGTATGGAGGCCACCTGGAAGGCTTTGTTGGACTTGAAGAAAACAATTAGGTTGAGTAAGTCCTTTATGGCAGTAGGGCCTAATGGGGCAACTCTTAAAATTAAAGCAAGTTGATGACAAGAAAACTGGCTCCAGTCATACGGTCTCAATCCAGTTCCTATGTTGCTCCTGCTCACATCAAGGCATTTCTTTTACACATGCGGTTCCCTTACCTGGAATGCTTCCCCATCACCTAGTTAGACTGCTACTAATCTTTCAGATGTCAGTTCCTTGGGGAAACCTCTGGCTACTCATTGAGAACTCACTTGAGTCTGTGACTACATGCATGACCCCTGATGAAGATTCGGCCCCCTAGACTGTAAGCAGCCGGCCCTGGTGGTCTAGTGGTTAAGATTCGGCACTCGGCGGTGTTTCAGATACCAGCTGGGTCACTCATAGTGGACAGGTTTTAGCAGAGATTCCAGACTAGACAGATTGGGAAGGAAGACCTGGCTACCCACTTCCCAAACAACTGGCCATGAAGACCCTATGACTAGCAGCAGAGCATAGTCTGACAGCACCGGAAGGTGAGAGCATGGCACAGAAAGACCAGGCAGGGTTCCGCTCTCCTGCACACGGGGGCGCTAGGAGTCAGAGTCGACTCGAGGGCACTGCTAACAAAGACTGTAAGCACTCGGGCAGGGGCTGTTTCTGTGTTGCTCGCCACTGTGTCACCAGCATTCAGTCCCACACCTGACACAACAGGTACTCAATAAGTATTTACTGAATGAATACTATAGGAAGACATTTTCATTCCAGTATAAAATAAATAGTACGACTGTCCCCAGGTTATATGGCCAAGTTATATGGCTGCTGCAAAGCAATTCCAAAAACAGCCCAACCCCTCAGCAGCCACAACCCCTGCCCTTTTTACTTCCTCCCAAACATAAAAGGAACATGCCAGATTATCAAACCCAAGGGTTTGCATTAGTGAAGAAGTGAAACACCACAGTGGATCACCCGGATTTTTCTATTCAGAGGGTGGGTGGGCTTGTTGACAGGTTACCAGGCAGCCCAAGGTGAGGGAGCTGCTTCCTCTAGAAGGGTTCCTGTTCTGAGGACCATTCCCCTCTGCCCCAGTGGCAAAGCCTCACCGGAGACCCTCTTTCAGGCCCCTTCTGACCTTCTCCAAAGTCCCCAGTGGAAAGATGCTTACCGCCTCCTCTGTGTACAGAGGGGAACCAGGCTTCTCTGACTCGAGCGAGGCCCAGAGAGAGCCCTTCAGAGAGGACGTTCCCTCGTGTGTGGGAGCAGTGGGGCTTGCTAGGCCAGAGGCAGCACTGCGGGCCTTTGCTGCCAAGTGGGTCAGACAGCAGTGAGTGATGAGTTCTAGGTTCCTCCCCTTGGGTTTACACACAGGCTCCTCAGACATTGGGAGAGGAAGAGGTGAGCTAGCCAGATCCCCAGCCCAGTATTTAAGCATATTCCATTGAGTTCCTTTCTGATAGAGGAGACTGACACTGCAGGCCTCAGGAAAAGCTCATTTGCTGAGTGAGGGCGCAAGTAATCAAGTGGATTCTCAGCAAAACAAGGGAGCCTCCTGGAATTGGTAACACAAGTTGCCTTGGGGAACAGGGGTGGGAGGGGAGCTTTTCACTGTCTATTCTTTTGTACCTTTTAAATTTTGAATCATATAAGTATTATCTAGTCAGAATATTTTAATTTAAACAAATTAAGCATAATGCCACTTCCCCAGGGCTGGGATCCCCTCGGTCTCAAGGTAGAATGCCTGTAAGTCTGACCTAGAAATGGGCACCACCACCAAAGCTGGCCATTTCCTCGCTCAGAACCAGGCTTTGCAGATCTCAACGAGTGCTCCTCAAACTTTAACGTACACACAGATCACCTGGGAATCTTGTTGAAATGCAGATTCTGATTTAGGAGGATGAGGGAGGGGCTGGAGACTGCATTTCTATCAAGCTCCCAGGTGATGCCCATGCTACTGGTTTACGGACCATACTTTGAGTAGCAAGGCTCTACAGCCACTAAGGGAAGGAAGCAGCAGAGTTCTGCAGGGTCTGGGTGGGAAAGAAGGGGCGGGGCTGAGGGCTGAGGGCCTCCCTAACAACAACTGTTTCCACCTGCTGAGTGAGCACCACCCATTGTCTCATTAGCTCTTCAGACCCAGCCTTTGAGGAGAGAGGGAGGGAAGCCGGGCAGGGACACCCAGCCCCACAGAACAGCAAGAGCCAAACCACACAGGCAGATGATCGCCCACCTGGACGAGACGCTATGCCCAGAGGTTCCCGAGGCCGGGCGGTCAGACTGGAGCAGAGGCCTCCTGCCTCCCCTTCCCCTCTTACCTAGAAGCTCTCGGAGGCTCCCTCTCCCCTCAAGGGCCAGCTGCCTCCTGATGGGTCCAGTCCTTTCCTGGTTGCCACCTTTAAATTTGATCCCTGGGGCAAAGCCAAATGTCCCCTTGGATGTTGGCTAAGGTCTTCCTCTGAGGAGCCATCATTCTCTAGAGGCATTTGTGAAGGTCTCAGCAAGAGGCTGGAGGAAGGCCGGAGTGGCTGAGCCTGGCAGTGACGTCTCGGCTCTTGAGGGAATTACAATGTGCTCCCCTCCCTGAAGGCCAGGTCAGCGTCTCATTTAAGCATCTCTTGGATAGGGTCCAGCCCACAGCAAAAAATGTTTACTGCATGTATGAATGCATCAATGTCCAATTGGAGTCTCAGAAAAAGTGAAACCGGCCGCCCTTCCCTCTCCAAGGGCCTCCTCTTCTAGATCTGAGCCTTCTAGCCACTGGGGGGCTCCCCTCCCTACACACACAACAAAAAGCTTGTAGCAAGATCCCAAAGTGCAGGAGAGATGGCTGTGCCTGGAAGCCCCGTCCCATGCAGACACAACGACGACTCTTCCCAGTTCAGAGCTGCAGGCGGTTCTGCCTCCAAGGTCTTCGCCAAATCTGCGCTCAGCCAACACCTCTGGCTACGCCTCCACTGTCTGCAGGTTCTGTGGCTGCTCCACATTCACCTTTCCATTCCCCAGATGGCCAGACCTGTGTGTGGGTGGGTGGGGGCACAGAGAGGTACAGAGGATGGTTGGGAACCCTGTGGACAGGGACGCCTCGGTAAAGGCAGAGTCCACCCGCAGCAGCCTCTCTGGCAGCCCCGCAGGCAGCCAGAGCATTCGCAGAGAGGGGCAGTCTGTCAGAGTCCGGGGTGGCAGCCCAGACACATGAAGATGCACGGGCCTCTGGAGCTGCCCCAGCCATGAGCAGCAGCAGCCACCACGGTGGCACCCTGAGCCTCCCACAGCAACAGGCAAGGCTGCGCCAAGACCAGCAGGGTGGCCATTCTTCCCTCTCGCAGGCTAAAGAGCTCAGGAAGTGACAGCTCAGGGAGCATGTGGGGAGCTGCTGGGTGCCGGGCCTACCCCTGCAAACAGATCCCCAGCCTCCACTGCTTCCTTGCCCCCACTGCTGCAGCCCCAGCTCTCGTCTTTCTTTCCTCTCTCCTCTCCATTCTTTGCCTTTCCTCTCCATCCCAGTCCATTTCTCACTCCTCCCCTGCCCAGGCCCAGCTCCCAGCTGGAGGCTGCCAATCCCCAAGTCAGCAAAGAATGAAAGCTGGAGACCAGAGGAAAGTCCACTCCAGGCCAGTGAACTCTGGGACGTGATTAAACAAGAGGAGAGTCACAGAACCCTAGTCTGACTGAGCAGGAGGGACCCCTGTGTCCAGCCCCCACTGGGAAAGAAAAAGGAAAACGCCCAGAAAGAGGGCATCCGTTGAAGGGCACACAGCGAGGCCGAAGCAGAGCAGGCCTAAAAGCCGGCCTGCTGACTCAGCCCAGGGCACCCTCCCAGCACAGGCTGTCATGTCTGCAGAAGCGGCCAGGGAAAGGCAGCCTGTGGGCCGCCTGTCAGCACAGCCGCCACCCTCCTGAGGCCAGGGCAGCTCCAGAATTTCCACACGGAAGAAGGGCTTAGGGAAGTCATCTGGCATGGGGTGGGGGATGGGAGGCTTGAGAAGAGGGAATAACCTGATGGAGAAGAGCTGGATTCTAGGGACACGCTGCCTGGGTTCAAATCCCAGCTCCACCATTTGTTAGCTGTGTGACTTGAGCAAGTTACTTATTAACCTTTCTGTGCCTCATTGGTAGAATAGGCACTATTAGTGTCCACCTCAGTAAGTTGTTGAAGTGAGATCACATATACAGAGAGCTCAGCGTAGTGCAGGGCAGAGAGTAAGCCTGAGTGAAAGATAGTCAGTTATTGTCCAAACGCCGGGATAGCACAGCAAGCAGAGTGGTTTGCAGTTTACTTAGGGGTACTGAGGAGCTAATGGGGACCATGGGGGGCTAAGGCAACCCCACATTCCCCCTCCCTGCAGAGTCCAACTTGGATGGGCTCTCCTGGGTCCTGGCCATCCTGTCTCGTAGCCAGGCCACCCCAGAGCAGGGAGCACAGCAGCCGGCTGTGCCATCTCTGTAGGACCATTCTCAGCCCTCTGCTGAGCAGCCCCTCACCTGGCGGGCTCCAGGAGCTGCCGGCACACACAGCCATTCTCCTTCGGGCTGCCGCCTCCGTCCTGCGCCTCTGGCAGCTCTGGCAGCCCTGGCCCCGCCGCGTCCTCAGTCTCCGGGGCCCCACCCTGCCGCGAGGACTCCACCGGCTGGAGACAGACCCCTAGCTCCCTGGGCAGGACACGATCATTAACCCTGGCCTGCGGAGCTGGATGCTCCCCCAGCACTGGCGGGCCGGGCCCTGAGAGCCACTAGCCCTGCAGGGGGCGCCCTCCTCCTCCTCCAGCTCAGTCAGCTGGCAGGTGCGGTCAGGGCTCAGTCTGAGACCGGGCTCAGGGCTTAGGGCTCAGCCTAAGAACCAGGGCTGGGGTTCAGTCCAGGCCAATGACGCAGGCGGACCCTCCCCCCACTGTCCTAGGCTGCAGTGTGGCTGAGGGAGTGCCAGGTGCCTGTTCGGAGCCCACCATCTGCAACTCATTCTGATCCCACCTCCTCCAGAAAGCCTCCTACAAGGGCTGGGCCAGAGCCCCTGTCCCCTTCCCGTCCACCCGCAGACATCAGGATATCCCACTCATATGCATTCTGCCACTCTGAACACACATCCCCTACCAAACCCACAGCCCCAGAGAGCCTGGAAGTAGGCCCCCATGGTGGGAAAAAAAGTCCATTTCTTCCTTCCCTTCCTACTCCATCTTCCCTCAGCCCCAGCCCACTAGGAACCACCAAGTCCAAGAATCCTAAAACATAAGTGCTGGGAGGCACTATATGTAAACCAACTCTCTCGTTTTGCAGAGAGAGAAACTGAGGCCCAGGGAGACCTAGGACTTGTCCAAAGGTGCCTGGGAGACAGCAGCAGAGCCGGGCCTGGAGACCGGGTCTCCTGCCCATGGCCCGTGGCGGCCTTTTCTTCTGCCAGCTGCACTGTGGCGGGATGCAGTTCTGTAAAGCACGTGTCAGAACATTCCACCTTCCCAGGCCCTCCCAGGGGAGCTCCCTGGGCTCAGCCCTGCCTGCACAACCCAAACGCAACATCAAAGCAGGGTAAAGATTCGGGTAGGGGGCGGGGGCGGAGTGGGAGGAAGCACAACTCACCTGGCTTCCTCATACTTCTTGTTGCGGTAAAAGTTGCTCTTTTTGATGAGGTAGATGAGCACCAGGTCACAGAAGAAAGCCCCCTGCAAAAGAGTCGGGTTCCCTGACTCAGAATCCCAGACCTCCAGACAGCCGCCAGCCGCCTGACACGAGATGCATCCTGTGTGATCTGGCAGCAGCCTCTGAGGGGGCATTGTCCCCACTTCATAGATGGGGACACTGGGCTCAGAAAGAGGAACCTTTGTCCAAGGCCACAGAGCTGGACCACGGTGGAGCCAAGGTTCCCCTGGAGTCCATCTGATCCCCCACACTCTCCTAACCCCATTGAATCACGTCTTCAACAAATGTTTGCTGAGCACTCGCCACTGGGGTGCAGGGAGGTTTAAGACAAGGAGACCTTGAGGGACTCTCCTTCTGGTGCAGGAGACAAACATGTAAATTATGACACAAAGTGACAGGTCCTATGACAAGGAGAGGAGCGGGGGAGCAGAGACAAGACGGGACTTTACTTAGCATGGGGAGGGACATCTAGGCTGAGTCTTGAGGGCTGAATAGGAGTTTATACAAGGCAAACAAAAAAAGAAGTTCAGGAAGGGCATTGCAGAGGTAGGAACAAGCCTCTTGTGCCTGGGAATTCCACAGCCCTGTGGGGGAAGAGCTAAAGAGACTTCTGGAGAGGTGGATGGGGACCAGCCTGTAAAGCTTCCTAGAGTGTCTCCAAGGCACTGGCCCTAATACCCCAGGGGAGGCACTAATGGCTTTGAATAGGGGCAGGACACACAATCGTGGCATTTTAGAAAGAGCCCTCTGGTAGTCAGCGTGAGAGAGAGACTGGAGGGGATCTGACAACAAGGACACGACAGGGGTGGTCAAGGACAGATGAGGCCTGAGCTAAGCCAGCTGAGACCCACTGACACCTGAACACACGCGCTTCATGGAGCAGCTTGTGCAAATGTCCGTCTCCTCCACCAGAGGGCGACACCACCCATGGCACAGAGTGGCGGGAGGGCGGTTCCTGAATGAGTGGCATGGGGTGGGAAGGGGCTGATGGCTAAGCCCGCAGGTGACCTTGATTCTCTGACCCTGGGATCTGCACACCTCTTTTTTTCCCCCAGATACCAAAAATGTTACTTATCAATTCCTTGTTCCCAGAGAACACTCCTCCCACCCCCACCCAACCGCTACACCCTTTTCCCGTTACCTTAATTTCACAGGTATGCCCCCCAGATGCGCCTGCGTTCTGATTGACCCCCATCATAAGGAAGTGATGACGGAAGGTGGCCCCTCACTCAGAAAGTTCCACATGCAAACAGACATGTGAGGAGGTCTGCAGTGAGGAGGAATCCTGCGGGGCTCACTTTCATCCGTGGGCCACCTCTCAGGAGCACGCCTCTCTGCATCCCGTTACAGGACAGTGTTCCTGGTCTCAGTAAAGTCAATCCTAGGACCTGCCAGAAGCCTCCAAGGGACCTGTTGTGGCCTCCTGGGCGGAGAAAGGAGGCAAGAGGCTGCTGGAAACCCTGGCAAGAGGTTTGTTGGGATAGGCCGAGCCACTCACTGTCGACTCTCATGTCTTTAAAACACTTTCAGAAGAACAAAGAGACATGACAGATTCGGAGGAAAGCTTTCCCTGCCCTCCGCCACTCCTTCCCCTCCAGTGGCCCCTCTGGACCCAGCTAAAGGACACATCTGAGGAGGGACTACAGCCTGACTTCCCCGCGTCATCTTTTTAGCCCCGTGATTCTCAACAGGGGGTAATTCCCCCCCTGGGGGACATTTGATGATGTCGGGAGATATTTTTCATTGTCACAACTGTGGAAGAAGGCACTCCCAGCATCTAGTGGGTAGATGCTGCTAGTGGGAATGCTGCTAAACATCCTACAATGCACAGGACGGCCCCAGAGAAAAAGGAATTATCAAAATGTCAACATGACCATGGTTGAAAACCCCGTATATCGCCAGCTCCAGCCTCTTTTTAGCAGAAGTGGAGATGAGGCTTAAGAAGTTCAGGGTCTGACTCAAGATCCCAGAGAACTCCTAGCCCCACTCCCAACTCCAGAGCTACAGGCAAATGCTTCTCTGGCTGTGGAAAGAGAAACTCAGGTAGTCACAGGCCGCTGGCAGGGGTGAAGTCCCAGAAAGCCCTCTTTACCCACGTCCATGCTGACCTTGCCAGCTCTTGTTCTTTCTGGGGCATGGAGACAGCCCCACAAAGGCAGTGTCCCCTCCCCACCACCAGTGCTCAGAGGGTAAAGGGCGGGAGGGAGAGGTACTCACAGCACCCATGAGCGCCACCCCAGAGCCCACGTTGATGATCGTGGGGATGATGCTGAACTTCCCTGCCTGGGGCAGAGAGAGACAAGGTGGGGTGACCCAGGAATGGTGGACAGCAGGATCCCCAGGGACTCCACCCAGAGCCAGCCCAGGGCCACTCCCAACATGCCCCGCCCCAGACCTACCCAGCCTCAGAATGGGAGACCCACCCCACACACCTTGCCATTCACCATCACATCAAAGCGGATCCCATAGGCTTTCATCAGAGTTCGGAACTGCACCCCCTCTGTATCTCGGTAGTATTTGGCAAACCTGGGGGAGATCCGGCCCAGGGGAGACCTCAGCCTAGCTGGGCATTCACCGTTTGGCAACACAGAACTCGGCTGCTTTGGAGATTTATAAGCATTCTGTGGACCCTGGCCCTCAGCAGCCCCAGCAGAGGTTGCACACCCTCTTGCTGACATTATGCTAAGGATTCATCCACATCCTTGAAATCCTTGCCAGACATTCCCCAAGAGGCAAGGGCTTTCCCACACGCTGGCATCAATGGAGCTGACCCAGCTGAGAAGCCAGGCCCCAGCTGCATGGTGAGCCAAGGGCGATGACACGCTTCTCTCCTCTCCTAGACACAGCCCCCGCTGCTGCCCCCTGCTCCCCTCAGCGGTCCCTCCCCATACCTCCCACTCTGATTCCCAGCCCCAGGAAGGGCACTGGCACCCAGGAAAGGACACAGCGTGGACAGGGTTATAAGGCAGCAGGCTTAGCCCCATTTACCTGAAATTGTACCCAGAAGAGACAGATTTTTCTGAAAATCGGTTGTCCAGACGGCTAAAATGATAGCGAGGATTGCATTCGGAGGGAGCTTTATCAAGATCACAGTCCCATTCAATCTGAATTCCTATCACACCACCCTTGATGAAAAAGAGACAAGAATCAGTGCACAGAACTTTCCGGAGATGGATAGAAGTCACAGACCAGCTCTTCATGGAGAGCTGGACAAGATGGGGGCAGTGCTCGGGCAAGGGGTCAACGGCTGGACCATCCTTCCAGGAGGAAGGGGGAGGGTCCAGGCTTCTAAGCCCCTCCTCTGGAGTGGCTGAGAAAAGCATTGCCAATGCCTCAGCCCCGGCTTCCTCCTGCTCCACGCCTCCAGAGAGCAGGGACCTCCCAGGGTGAGCGCCTACAACTGGACGGGCGTCTCACACACGAGCCAGAGGGGCCAGCGAGGCTCCTCTCGGCTCAGCTTCAGCTGACACCCAAGGACTAAGAACCAAAGAGCAGGTGCCCAGTGTGCCCCATGCCGAGTGCCCGCAGTCGGCTGTGTGTCACAGCAAATTCTTTTTTGTTTGAGTTTTACACTTTTTCTTTTTAATTGAAGTATAATTGACATACAATGTCATTACAGCTAATTCTGAAGACAGTGAGTTCCTGGGGCAGTCACTTTGCAGGGCAACCCCACCCCCAGGCCCCCCGATGCACTCTCTCCTCATTGCAGAGCCCAGGCCCAGAGCCCTCCAGCCTCCAGGGAGGGCTCCCTGAGTGCATGCCACCCACCTGCAGGGCTATGTCCTGGAAGTTGCTCCCCGCCCAGCTGACCAAGGACCCCACTCGGAAGATGGGGCAGTAGAGGTTCTTGGGGTCAAATTGACAGAACTTCAGGTAAGATCTGTCTTCGGTGTCCAGCACATTGGTCCTGGGTGGAGGCCGTGAACAGCCAGTGAAATGAAGGTGAGACTTGCTGTTCCTGGGCTGGAAACTAGCCTGACCCAGGAGACACTGGGCCCCTCACCCGGCCCAGCCTGAATCCCTGACTTTTGCCCCTACTCGAGTCCTGACTACTTCTCCCACTAACATCCTACTACAAGAAAAAAACAGAGCTCCACCTCACCCCCCGCAGGGGGAAGGGGGCCCCAGCATCACCAGTGGTTCATGCACAGACACTGTCACATGTACACCATGCACGTGGGCCCATGCACAGCCACCAGGAGGGCCAGCCAAGGATCCCCAGTAGCCAAGCCCCACATACTTGGAGAAGTTGAATTTGGGGAAGCGAATGAAGTTCTTTATGTAAACAGTGAAGTCTTCAGCCTTGCCCAGGAGTGGCTTCCTGGAAATCAAGATAGACAGCCTGTCCAGGAGGCCTTGCCCCTGCCCACTCTGTGCCTCCCCAGCCCCATGGTGGCGCTGAGCCCTGCCTGTTCCCTGGGTCCCCCAGAGCCTTTGCCAAGGACAGTTAAATTGGTCATGTTGGGGTGGTGCCCAGGCCTTTGTGGGGTGTCCTGGCTTCTCCCTCAGAATGAGGATCCCAAGTGGACCTGTCTCTACCGTCAGGCTGGGACCCCCTGGACAGGACTGGGTAACCCCTCAGGGTCCCAAGGCCACAGCCACTCACGATGGCCTGGACTTTGTCTCCACTGGGCACCAGGCGAAGATCTCACAGGTGCCCCTTTGCATTTTCCCAGCCCGCAGGCAGCGGCCAGTCTTCACTCCTGAAAGGGTGGGACGGGGACAATGCCAGGAGCCTCCAGGCTCCAAGCCCCTTTTTGCCCCCAGCCCTGGCCACTCCAGGCCTCACCATTTCCAGCCACAACAGGCTCCCCAGGAGGGCAGTCGCTGTCCTTATAGCACAGGCCGTCAGGGATGTTTTCACTCTGCCAGGAAAGAAAGGCGCCTGGGTGGGGAGTCCCCTGCAGGAAGCCCAGCTTAGAGCCAGGGCCTACCCCAGGAGTTAGGACAGGGTTCCCTTCCCTGCCTGGGGCCGCCCACCCTGCTTCTCCCCCAAACAATGCAGGTATGTGCACTGGTGCATATATCCCCCAGAAACCCCTGCTTCAGGAGAGGGGTGGACCCCACCACTGCCACCAGCAACCCTCCCCAGCTCGCAGTGTCAAATCAAACCTCAGCACAGGTTCCCTGCCGCTGGTTAGGGGTCACAATCAGGTTGGTGACAATGAAGAAGACGTTCTCTCCCTGAGAAACCAGAAAGGGGTTGAGGAACCTCCTCCTGCCCTTTTGGGGACCCTCCTTCCCAGGGATGCCTGGCAGGGGGCAGGGTCTCTGCATAGGTGTTGGGGACAATGGGGCCACAACATTGGTGGATCCTGCCCATATGCTCACTGACCTCAGAGTCTCTGAGTACATGTCCTTGGATAGGTCCCTTCCAGGCCCACAACCCCAAACTGCCCCCACCCATGGATCCCTATTCTGCCCTCAGCCTCTGGGGTCCAAGCCCAGATCTGGGAGGAGAAGGGGCAGAGATGGGGTGGCCCCAGCCCTGGCCCAGGCCTCTTGTGAATAGGCCAGGGAGCCATTCCTGGGGCAGTGGCTAATATAAGGGAAGCCACCTGACTCACACTGACCTGGAAGTTCTCTAGCCCCACTGGGTCTCAAGAGGCTCAGATTTGTTAGGAACAGAGTGCTCTCATAATGCAGGCAGGGAAGGCGGGGGTTTGGTGTGGGGAGAAGGATCTAGGCAGGAACTCCACCTGCAAACCTTGGCAGCTGTCCTGGGCCAAGGGAGACAATGGATGGAGGGCCCTGGGTCCTGGAGCAGCTTCCCATGTGACCCACCCTGAGCCAGGCCCTGCCAGCCTGGGCCCCAGTGCTGGGTGGGACTCAGACCTGGGGTGGGATTACGTAGTCGGCAACATCCCAGAGCCGCGCCCCGAGATCCGAGGTGTTAGTGAAGGTCACGCCCTTGACTTTGGTGACGATGCTGCTCTCCAGGGAGGTGTCGGTGTCTTGGTAACCCTTCTTCCACAGGAACACCCAGCTGTGGGGAAGGGGCGGCAAGTGGGCGTCAGCCTTGTTGCTGCCCTCAGGGAAGTTTCCCCAGGCCCAGGGTGCAGTGAGGGAAGGCTTGGGGCTCCACCTTTCCACCAGCTCCTGGGCAGGGTCACAACTCCCACTGCTGCCTGAAACCCCATCCTGCAAGCAGCAGAGGTGACAAGCAACCCCAGAGGCAGAGACCGCTGCTCTCAGGAGCTGACGCCCTGCAGTCAGGCAGGCCACCCACTCACTGGCTACCTGAGCTTGGGCAAGCTAACAAACCCTGGGGGTGAGCACAAGGATAACACACCTCGTGCTAAGGGTGTGAGACGGCTAGAGGCAGTGCACAACCTGAACTAACCACAAGGAGACCTCAGAAAAATCCAAATGGAGGGGCATTCCCAAAAGTAGAGTGCAAAATCCCAATCTTTGACACCCAACATACAAGAAACAAAAGGAAAAATAGACAAGTTGGACTTCATCAAAATTAAAAACTTTTGTGCATCAAAGGACACTATCGGGGCCAGCCTGGTAGCACAGCAGTTAAGTTTACACTTTCCACTTCGGCGGCCCGGGGTTCGCCAGTTCGTATCCCGGGTGCGGACATGGCACCACTTGGCAAGCCATGCTGTGGAAGGTGTCCCACATATAAAGTAGAGGAAGATGGGCACGGATGTTAGCTCAGGGCCAGTCTTCCTCAGCAAAAAGAGGAGGATTGGCAGCAGATGTTAGCTCAGGGCTAATCTTCCTAAAAAAAAAAAAAAAAGGCCACTATCAAGAAAGTGAAAAGATAACCCACAGAATGGGAGAAAGTATTTGTGAGTCATATATCTAATAAGGATCGAGTACCCAGAATATAGTCATACGTCACTTAACGACGGGGATACGTTCTGAGAAATGCATCGTTAGGCTATTTTGTCATTGTGTGAACATCATAGAGAACTTACACAAATCTAGATGGTCTAACCTACTACACACTTAGGCTATAATACTAATCTTATGGGACTACCATGGTATATGCGGTCTGTCATTGACCGAAATGTCGTTATGCAGCACATGACTATACAGAAAGAACTCTTACAAGTCAATAATAAAAAAAGACAAATAACCCAATACAAAAGTGGGCCAAGGATTTGAGTAGACATTTCTCCAAGAAAGATATATAAATGGCCAATAAGCACATGAAAAGATGCTCAACATCATTAGTCAGCAGGGAAATACAAATCAAAACCACAATGAGAAACCACTTCACACCCACTAAGATGGCTATAACCGTAAAAACAAAAAATAACAAGTGTTGGTAAGAATGCAGAGAAACTGGTACTTGCTGATGGTACCTGCTGGGGAAAATGGTTTGGCAGTTCATGAAAAGGTTATCATACAACCCAGCAATTACATGACAAAGTATATACCCAAGAGAATTGAAAACACGTGTGTACATGAATGTTCTTAGCAGCATTATTTATAACAGCTAAAAAGTAGAAACAGTCCAAATGTCCATCAATAGATGAGCAGAGAGACGAAATGCAGTACATCCATACAATGGGATATTATTCAGCCATGAAAGGAATGAAGTACTGATCCATGCTACAACATGGATAAACTTTGAAAATAGTATGCCAAGTGAAAGAAGGTAGACGAGAAAGGCCACATATCGTATGATTTGCTTTATATGAAATGTCCAGAATGCACAAATCTGTAGAGACAAATGGTAGATTAATGGTTGCCAAGGGTTGGAGGGAGGGGAGAGTTGCAACTGACTGCTAATGGATACTGGTTTCTTTTGGGGGTGATGGAAATGTGCTGGAATTAGCTAGTCACGATGGTTGTACAACATTGTGAATGTACTAGAAACCACTGAATTGTATCATCTAAAATAGTGAATGACATGCTATGTGAATTTTCCCTCAATTAAAAAACGGTAAAAAAAAAAAATCCCATACACTTCAAAAAATGTCAATATCACGAAATAGACAGACTCTGGAACAATTGCAGATTAAAGGAGACTAAGAAGACATGGCAACTGAATGCAGATTTTCTTTTGCTATAAAAGTAATGATTGGGACAATTAACAACAGGTCTGTAGGTTAGACAATATTGTTCAACGCTAATTTTCTAATTTTCATACTTGTATTTGGATAAATAAGAGAATTCCTTGTTTTAAGAAATACACAGTGAAATATTTAGGAGTAAAGGGGCATCATGTCTGCAACCTACTCTTAAACAGTCAGAAAAAATTCCGTATACATACCATTAATCTACCATTTGTGTGTGTGCCTGCGGAGAGACAAAGGGAGAAAGACAACACCAATGTAGTAACATGTTAACATGTGGGGAATCTAGAGCAAGGGCATTAAAAAAAATTTTATACTATTTTGTAACTTTTCTATAAGTCTAAAATTATGTCAAAAATACAAAAAATAATTTTCTACAATATGAGATGGTTCATGTAAATTGCTTAGCACAGTGAGCGCAATACAAAAAATAATTTTCTAAAATATGAGATGGTTCATGTAAATTGCTTAGCACAGTGAGCGCCTGGCACAGAGGAAGAGCTCAGTGAATACAACTCACCAACTTATTGCTGATGTTACTGTTAATGTTAGAGGTTGTCCTGGTAAACCTCCCCTCGGGAAACTTGGGGAAACAGGGGCCAGGAGAGGGCAGGAAGCTGCCTGCCTGAGGTCATACAGCAGTGGTATGGGATGTCCTGCACCTCCCATGGCACTGGTAAGGGTTCTCAGTATAGTAGGTACCAACCAGGATGTGTCTACCCTCCTCCTCTCTGGGGCCAGAGCTGGCATGTCCTGGGCCCTAGGCTATCCTGTCTCTAAGGAATTCTGAGAGGGCTGTATGGGGGATCAGAATTGGCCACCCCAAAATGTGTCTCTTTGCCTTGCCTTGATTATTTTTAACAACAAAAGACTGAAAGAAACTTTGACCTTCCCCCAACCTGCTAAAAGAAATTTAAAATAAAGGCCTGTCTTCAGGTCAGGCCATCACCATAGATAACTCTGAGTATCCAGTAGGCTGGGAGGATCCTTGCTAAGCCCACTCTTATCAAAGTCTGTTTATCAAACATTTGCTTTTCCTTCTCCATATGAAGCACCTTCCTCCCCTCTGAAGCCCCAAACCACTCCCACCTCCAACATCCTCCTTTGTCTTTAGCTTTAGATTTAAGATGAGAACCTTCACCATTTTGGCAAGTTACTCAGTTTTCCTTGGTCTCTCCCATGTATGCATGCTATAAAGCTTTGTTTAATTTTCTCCTGTTATTCTGTCTCATGTCATTTAATTCATAGCCGAGCTAGAAGGACCTAGAGTGAGTAAAGGAAATGTTCTTTCTCCCCAACAGTTTGGTGACTTAGATGGGATAAAATTTCGCTGGCTGGACACTGCTCACTCCTGGACTGCTGCCGCTGAGCGATCCTGGACCCCTGACGAGAGCCGGCAGGAAGTAAGAGTTCTTACTACGTCAGTCTCCCAGATCTCTGCCTACAGGGTCCAATGGAAATAAGAGTGGTGAGGTTTTTTTCCTTTTCTAAATTTAGATTAGCAGGAGAAAATATTGGTGAGGCTAGCTTCTTGGACTCAGCGACTCTAGGATTTGGTTGAGTACTCATTGGTTGTAGATTCTTTTCCTCCCAGAGATAGTACTTTTCCTTGTCTCTTTCTTTTTATGTCGTTCGTCACAAGACACAGGCATCTCTACAAGCCTGTTGTCTGGGAACATGCACATAAGGTGAAAGCTGTTGCTGAGGGCATCTTGGAAGCCAAAAAGGCCCCAAATATGGTGGGCGCAGGTTGAGCAGTTAAGAGCCATTAGGGCGCTCACCATTTCAAGAAGTCTCCCATGGAAGGATGAGTTGGTCACGGAACGGGGTAGATGACACAGGTCCCCCTGCCAACTTCAAAAAAATGTCCGTGCAATGACGAGGTACTCTGTAAAAATCCCCAACCCCACGATGCCTTCCTCCTAGGTATTATTCTGGTTCCAAGAGACCCAAGGCTTAGCTAAAACTGCTAATGTGCATATCAGATGAGGTTTTTTTCTATTTTCTTATTCTGTGTCTTGAGAGCTTGGCTTTGTGACCTTTCTGGTCTCTGCCATCTGGAGGATGCATGTACTGGCATGCATCTTGGCAGCCAGTCGAGTGCTGGGGCTCTGGGACACACTCTCTGTCTGGCTGTGTCAGCTCTCAGGGAAGCATGTCAGAGGGGGTCCCAGTTGCTTTCATAAGGGACCTTTGTCGTCTCAACCTTTGTTGCTTGCTGTGCAATGAAGGCCTTTGCTTTCTTAGACTGTTTTTGGGAGTGAACTTTCTGGATCTCTTTTGGGGATGCCTCTTGCGTCCATGGTTAAGCTTATTGGTATGAGTCACTGTTAGGATCCTACTCGTCCATGTGGCCAGACGATGGATCATTTAAATTGGGAAAACTTCTGAATTAGGAAAAAAAATTTGTGAGAGCTCTCATCATAATTTTTACTGGTACCTATGAAAAGGCCAAATTAAAAAGGAAATACAAAAAAAAAAAAAATGACTAGCCTTAAGACCCTGACTCAGGTTACAATTAAATTGAGAAAATGTAAAAGTATAAGTATTGATGAAATTATAATGGTTGGAATGTTTGAGCTGATTTTATATAAAGAGGTTATATCAACTTTGCCTGAGTATGTTTTAAAATATCTGACCGAGAACGTTTCCCCCATCCAAAATTAGAAGACCAAGACCTACTGATAAAGCCCTAATGAAAACTATGATTAGCGGTCTAAGAGTTCATGGAATTCAGATGAAATTTTGTAGAAAAACTGATATATTTATGGGCTTTATGTGAAGTGACTGTATCTCTTTTTGCTGGATTGTATCGTGGGGATAGACATTGTGTCTCACTGGGGAACATTTCCCCTGCCTGATTGTAAGACAGCACATAAATCTAAAAGGGAAGTCAGCAGGGCTGCCTGAGCCCACATCGTATGAGATAAAACTAGAGGCTAGTATGAGGGGCTAATAAAAAGGATAATGAAAGCTCCCCTCCAAGGTAAACTGGTCTAGGGTTAAATTGTACACTTAGAAAGAGGGCTCATGTTAAATGCTTTGTTCAGACTTTTACAGGTGTGATACATTGTCCTGAAAGTTTTACAACATACAAATCTTTGATTCGCCTCTTAAGTTAAAAATTTCCCTGATAGAAAGAAGCAATTGGAAGGGTGTAGCTGGAGGAGGGATTCAGCCTCATTTTTATCATTCAGGCTGTAGTCCAGTTCTTTAGGGAACTGGAAACAATCGTCTTTGTCTTGCAAATCTCTCCAAGGCTGGAGGTATGGTTCTGGAAGGCAGTTCAAAGTTCATCTGTCTTTTGCCAACCCCAGGGCCTCCCCTGTTCCTCCGAAAGTACTCCTAGACATTAAGTGAGACAAAAGATTGAGACATGAGAAACTGATGAGGCAATTATCCCCCAGAACCTCCATCTTGAAGAAAACTTGACTGCTTTCTCTGTCTTTATGACGTAGATTTTCTGCTCCCATCTTCTCTAGGACCTGAGAGCCATTCTTGGAAATGCAAATGTTTCTCAGAAACTAGTGAGTTTTGTATTGCACCTGATTCATAACAAAAATTTAACATCTATGGGGGCCGGGGCCCCATGGCCAAGAAGTTAAGTTCGCAAGCTCTGCTTCAGCGGCCCAGGGTTTCACTGGTTCGGATCCTGGGCACAGACCTAGCACTGCTCATCAAGCCATGCTAAGGTGGCATCCCACATAGCACAACTAGAAGGATCTACAACTAGAATATATAACTATGTACTGGGGGGCTTTGGGGAGAAGAAGAAAGAAAAAAAAAAAGATTGGCAACAGATGTTAGCTCAGGTGCCAATCATAAAAAAAAAGAAAATTAACATCTCTGTCTGTGTCTACCTGTGTGTTTGTGTGTGTCTATATGTATGTTATATATGTGTGATATTTTATCCCTAGATGGTATGGCCAAAATTAAGAGCTCTGTTTAACTGGCTTAAAGTAAGCATTTACATTATTTCTAAATGTAATCGAAACTAACCCAAATGTCATTCACGTTAACATGGTAAATTCACCTTTGATAACTGAAAGCTTATTTAAGTTTGTTGCTTTGATTAAAATGGACATGTCCTCTGAGTTATCAGCAATGGATATGATGCAGACATGCAGCCTGGGTTTACTAGTTAAATAAGCTCATTTTATCCCTGTTACAAACTAGTCAGCATAACAACTTAAAATGATAGCTGATTTTGTCTGATGTCTCAAAGTCTTTATAGGCAACCTAAATAATTATTGGAAACAGGTAAACTAAGCAGATGTGGAAAAGATAAGAATGAATTTTTTAACAATAATTATGTGTTATAACATGTGTATTTAAAATAACTTTCAAAATCTTTTTGGTAACTTAAAACTTTGAAGTTTTGCTTCCATAATGAAATGCTTAAATAATGAAAATCCATTGAGTATCTAGTTCATTTGTAAATAAGATAAAATATTAGACACTAATTATTAAATATACTACTAAATATTAAAAATACTACTATTGGCTTCTTATTACAGAGAAACTAAAAAGTGTTTGAGTCTATTGGTAAACATGTCTTGTGTTTTATTAAAAGATTGTACTATAAAGTAACATGTATTTTAAATTATAAAAAAGTATTAACAAACTTGCCAAGCCACAGAACGCTAATGTAAAAGAAAGTGTATAGGGGCCAGCCCTGTGGCTGAGTAGTTAAGTTCACGCACTCTGCTTCAGTGGCCCAGGGTTTTGTTGGTTTGGATCCTGGGCAAGGACCTAGCACCGTTCATCAGGCCATTCTGAGGCAGCATCCCACATAGCACAACCAGAAAGACGTAAAACTAGAATATACAACTATGTACTGGGGGACTTTGGGGAGAAGAAGGAGGGAAAAAAAAAAAGAAGATTGGCAACACATGTCAGCTCAGGTACCAATCTTTAAAAAAAAGAAAGAAAGTTTATAATTGCTTAGTTTTTACTTAAAAATTAAGGTTTCTAAGGGTTAAAAATTCTAATATGTGATTAAATTACTAGAAATTAATAAGGAAAACATATTTGCATTCAAGGAAAGATGTAAGTTTTCAGTAAAGAAGGTATAAAGAATGCAAATATTTTGTTTGTTTTGTTAAAAAAAGATAAATTTGTCCTAAAGTACTAAAAGGGAAGAAAGCAAGCATGGGACAAATTCTAAATGTAAAAAGAAAGTTACAGAACATTTGTGAAAGAGAAATTCTAAAAAGAGTTTTGTGCATGGTCAAGATGGCTAAAATTAAAATGAATTTAATCAAGTAAATGAGTTTAATATCAAAAGTAAGCTGGTGCAAAATTAGACTTTGGTTTTTTTCCGCTCTTAAAAGGATAATTCTCCTGAACTTTTAGTCTGCTGCTGGTAAAGGGATTATGAAAGGTGTTTTCTTTGAGTAGTCTACCAGAATGGTAGGGATTTTATGTTTTATCAAAATTAATTTCCTGTATTGTTTTATCAGGTCTGTAATCACAGGTGCTAAGGTCTTACAGCTATTTAATCTTCTGTATTCACTAAAAATCTTTGTCACTATGGTCAAATGGATAACTAAACATTGTTTCAAAGGGACCTATGGTGTTATGTGGGTAAGTATTATTGATATAAGCGTTTAATTCCTAAAATTCTGATCTGTCCTGGTTGTCAGTCATAATTCTAGTTATCTTAAAGTGTAGTATGTCACAGACATAACCAAGTTTCTTTGTCAATTGTCATTTTTAAGTCTTTTGTCATTTACAGACAGTTTTTTTAAAGATTTTATTTTTTTCCTTTTTCTCCCCAAAGCCCCCTGGTACATAGTTGTATATTCTTAGCTGTGGGTCCTTCTCGTTGTGGCATGTGGGATGCCACCTCAGCATGGCTGGATGAGCAGTGCCATGTCCGCACCCAGGATTCGAACCAATGAAACACTGGGCCGCCTGCAGCTGAACGTGCAAACTTAACCACTCGGCCACGGGCCGGCCCCTACAGACAGTTTTGTTTAACTCTACTTTTACAAATGTCTTCATCTTTAGAGATTCAAGGAAAAGACTCTGACACATTCTAAAATACAGGTTTCTTACAAGCTTTCAGATTATGAAACTGAACTGGGTAAGAAATTACAGAACTCTAACAGAGAAACTGATGACCCCATAACACTGCTAACAGAAGATTAAGATTAAAAATCAATTACACAGGACTGAATGAACGGATGAGGATGATTTTATGACCTTTTGTTTAAAATATTGTTGATTTTGTAAAAAGTTGTAGGTTTTTTTAAGATTTAAGGAAGGGGCCAGCCCAGTGGCGCAGCAGTTAAGTTCACACGTTCCACTTTGGCAGCCCGGGGTTCGCTGGTTTGGATCCCGGGTGCGGACATGGCACCACTTGGCAAGCCATGCTGTGGTAGGCACCCCACATATAAAGCAGAGGAAGATGGGCACGGATGTCAGCTCAGGTCCAATCTTCCTCAGCAAAAAGAAGAGGATTGGCAGCAGATGTTAGCTCAGGGCTAATCTTCCCCCCCCCCCCAAAAAAAAAAGATTTAAGGAAAGCTTTTTCTCTGAAGCTACCTATGACACAGCAATTTGACAAATTATACTTTTGTAAACAAAATTGAAACATTTACCTTTTCCTCCCTACCTGATCCCTCCAGAATTTGGAAACTCTTAGTAAGCATTGTTATTTTCAAGGCAATATAGTTATTTACATAAGTTCAATAAGAATCTATTCTCCTTATAATAGGACAGAACTGGAAACATTGGTTGTCTTACCAAAGCTTTGACTGGAATGTCATATTCGAGAGAAACAGTCATAGACTCAGATATGACCAGACAGCTTTTGAGAAACAAGGACTGGACTCAATGGAATAAAGTAAGAAATACGCCTTACCTTGTTTCCTAGAAACCTTATGGATAAGGAAGGTCACTTATCTGGCAGGTGACTGGAACCTTGAAATATTTTGGGGAGCTCAAGAAGAGAAAAATTCACCCAAATCTGTAGGTATGACAGGTTTTGATAAGTCCTTGGCTTTCCTGGCCTCGAGAGCCCTAAATTTAAAGTTCAATCTAGGATTCCTTATAAAAAGTTTCAGCAAAGCAGGTTTAAAAGAGCCTATATGATCAATCGCTATTCTTGCTACACTTATGTAAATAATTGGGCCAAATTTATTGAAACTAAACTTACTTTACAACCCAATCAGTCTTAATTTGGCTATCTTTGGTAAAAACGAGGGTGATTTTAGAGAGAAAAATTATGTTTCAGTAAAAACTATACTAAATGTTTGTGGATATTAGATCCTAGTTCTATTAACTGTCTTTGACGTTTTTCTTTTCTACCTGTAAACTAGACTGGATCCTGAATTCTTCTAGTCTCCTGAAATATCTGGCTGCAAATCTGCAAACTAACATTTTCAATTTTTTCCATCATTTTCATTCAGAATCATTGAGAACTGAACCTGCCCTTTTTCCTGAAGCCTTGCAAACTGAAGCTGAATAACTTGATATGAACTTAGGAGAGGTTCATGTCTGTTGCTGTGTAAGACACCTGAACACTTGATGACATCATCAGAGACATTTCAAACTGCAAAAGAAGCTTTGACCCTGACATCTAAAAATCTTCTTGACAGGCTGTCCCCGGGCTCAAACTGGTTTATAATTTGCTCCAACCATTAACTTTTGTTTTTCTTCTTGTTTCCATAGAAATACTTCTTATTAAATACCTGATTGCTTGCTTCTACAATATAGGCCTAACTTCGGGAGCTCACCTGCATCACCGCCTTCTAAAATGAATTTAACTGGACTGACCTATTATCAGGACTAAGAAATGTGTTCAGTGAGATGGAACAACCTACCACTCAGCTTCTGGACTACGAAACTTCTTGAAGTTTCAGAGGACTGAGAAACTTTTTAAAGTTTGAAAGGCAGGACTGTGGGGAATCAGAATTAGCCACCTCAAAATGTGTCTCTTTGCCTTGCCTTGGTTATTTTTAACAACAAAAGACTCTGAAAGAGACTTTGACCTTCCCTCTAACTGCCTAAAAGAAATTTAAAATAAAGGCGTATCCCCAGGACAGGCCTTCACCACAGATAACTCTGGGTATCCAGTAGGCTGGAAGGAGCCTTGCTAAGCCCACTCTTATCAAAGTTCTATTTACCAAACATTTGCTTTTCCCTTTCCATGTGAAGGGCCTTCCTCCCCTTTGAAGGTCCAGACCACCACCCCCAACATCCTCCTTTGTCTTTAGCTGAAGATAGTATTTAAGATGAGAACCTCTGCCATTTTGGCGAGTTGCTCAGTTTTCCTGGGTCTCTCCCACATATACATGTTATAAAGCTTTGTTTAATTTTCTTCTGTTATTCTGTCTCATGTCAATTTAATTTGTAGCTGGGCCAGAAGGACCAAGAGTGGGTAGAGGAAATGTCTTCTTCCTCCCCAACAGCTGTGACCCTTGAGCCAACCAGCCATTTCAGTAAGGACACACTGGGTTGGGCCTGGACAGAAACATTCAGCAAATACTCAAGCACCAACATTCACTCATTCATTCACTCATTCATCTCACACCTATTCCCTAAACAGTCAGGCAATGCCAGGCTCTGTCCTCATGGCATTCCCAGGCTGGAGAGAGGCAGGCAGACATTAAGCAAATGATCCCCCAGATAAGCATTTAATTACACCGTGGGAATGCCTCGGAGGAAAAGAGGAGGGTTTACGGGGGAACTCGGGTCTGAAGGATGAGTGGGCTAACCCATTAGAGGAGGAACAGCATGTACAAAGGCCTCAGGTGGCAACAGCCAGGGACCTTAGGGGCTCCAGGTGAGGTCAGCTGCCCTCCCAGGAGAAGTGGCTGCTCCTGCTCCAGTCCGGAAACAGAATACACTCAGCAGCATTTACTAAAGGAGTAAAAGAGATGCACCAGCATTCCAGTCAGCTGGTGTCATCCCCTCCCTCCACCTGTCCCCTTCCTACTCTGAGGTAAGAGCTCTGAACAGTGCCGGGCTGAGCAACCCCAAGGAGCTGCCCCCTCAGCTGATGGCACCAGCTCCTGCTAGGTGGGAAGGAGCTGGGGAGGCAGACAGCTGAGCTGGGGGCAGGGGCAGAGGGCCCTCGGCAGGACCCCTGCTGGACACCTGAGAGGTCACACACGCGTAGGGCGGGTTGACCAGAGGGGAGTTCTGGGACATGCCAGGCTGATGAGTTGTCCCAGCCCGCAGCTTGCCACTGAGCTCAGTGACTATAAATAACCTACCAGGTGCCTGGGCCAGCGCCAGGCCAGGGCCCAGGGCCGACAGCTGTAGCCCAGCCCCCTGCATCCTTGCCCCCTTCCCATAGCCCTGACAATGGGGGCTCCAGCCCTGGAGGAAGGAGCTGCCCACGGAAAGCCTCATAAATCCAGGAACCCAGAAGCCTCTGCCCGCATCTCATCACCTCCAGAGCGGGTGAGGGAGCAGAGGGCTCCCTTCCTACCCCTCACCCTTACAGCAACGGCCCAAGGAGGGCCCCCTCCCACGCCGGGTCATAGACCCCCAACCACAGGGGACATCATGTGCACACAGGCCAATTCCGGGGCCCTGGAGAAGGTCCCAGCTGCTGGCCCCCCCGCCATCACCACCACCACCGCCAACCCCCGCCCCCGTCCCCCACACCCTCCCTGCCTTCCCAAAAGCCCCGGAGAACTCACATCACGAGGTAGGCCAGGATGGAGGCCTGCAGGAGCCGGTAGAGCAGGCCCACCTTCTTGTTCTTGGCGATGACATACTTTGCGGTCTTGTAGTCGAACAGCGACTGGAAGAGGCTCTTGCAGACCACCTGTCCCATGCTGCTGTCTCAGCCGGGCCCAACCGCCGACCGCGGCACGTGTGCCGCACGGGGCGCCGCCGCGCGCCCGCCTGCCGGCCGCCCGGCCCTCCCACCTCGGCGGGCGCTGCGCGGCTCCTGCGGGCGGGCGGGCGAGCGCGGGGGGCGGCGGAGCGCGGGGGCGCCCGGCCGGCGAGCGGCGCGGATACTCAGAGAGCCGCCGCTGGGATCCGCTGGGGCCGGCGCCCGAGCCTTGGACTGCGACCTTGCCGCCACCTCTTCCTCCCCTCCTCCCCTCCCAGTGACACCGCCGGACCGAGCGCCCAGCCGCGGGCCTGGGAGGCGCTCCCCGGGGCCGCAAGCCCGCGCGTGCGGCCGCCCCAGCGGGGATCGCTGCACCGAGGAGTGAGGAGGCAAGGCGGGGAGAGGAGGAGGTGCTCCTTTTAAAGCAAACCCCCTTTCTCTAATCCCAAAGAAATCCCAGGGGTTTGGCCTATCGAATAGAAAGGGGAAACTGAGGTCAGGGGAGGCGGGACCTACGGCACGGGAAGCGGAGGTGAAGAGGTGATAACGAGCATTAGTAGGTAGACACAACAGGTTTCTGGACTTTTCCAGCGCTCCAGGGGAACCTGGCTCCCCCACGCTGCCCCCAGGCTGGGAGAGACTAAAGTCTCGTCCAACCCCTGGCTCCCGTGTCCGCTGTGACGATGTGGGTGCTCCTGCTGCAGCCGCTGCGGCAGGTGTAAAGTCCGCACTCCCAGGGAGTCGGGTGCCAAGCAGGTTCCAGTGCCCACAGCGTCAAGGACTCTGCGCCACACTGAGGGCGGATGGGGCGGGGGTGGGGGACAGGGAATGCCTAGGATCGTAAATCATGCCTGGAGAGAGGGCGGGCTCCAGCTGCTTGAAATGTTCCCAAAGCAAGAGATGGACCTCATCTAGGCTGCTAAGACTGCGCCCCTAACAATGTCACCAGCCGTGGACTCTAACGCCTTCTCTTGTCTTGCCTAAACTCTAACGTTTTTTCTTGTCTGTTTGACCTAATCCTCTTGTCCTGTTGAAAGGTGCAGATGTTCCTTTCTCTAAGGACTTTGGGGTGTGGAGCTTATGCCGTTTCAGCTGTGTTCCGGGAAGAAGCTCTAAGTGACAACCGTCCTGGTCCGGACCCAACTGCTCTGAACCGGCACAGAGCAGCACAAACCAGCATAAACTGAAACCACAAGAGTGACATCTACATAAACAGGCAGAGAGTTGTGCTAAAGTAATCTGCGCTCCTTAACATGGAAATTCCCCTGATCTGGGGAGGGCAAAGCAGCCATTCTTAGATCATGCAATGTATATATAAAAGCATGATTTCAAACCACACATGTGCAAGCTTATGCCCACCTCTGCACATGATGATGAAATTTCCCGTTGAACATTCATTCCCTACCCCAAATAAAGGTACCCACGTCCCCGTGCTCAGGGAGCCAGAGCTTTGTGAAATTATTCCCTACGGTCTCCATTGTCTTTGCTGCATGCTACGAATAAAATTTCTGCTTTGTGACAGCTACTCCTGGTGTAGTTTGATTAACTCGCCAAGAAGGGGACTCACATTTGGTCCCATAACAACAACACATGAAATTAAATTCAAGGGAGTGGGAGCAGGTCAGGAGGGCAGCTCCGAGATCACGGCCGCAGGGAGGCAGGGCCCCGGGTGAGCTCTCCCTTTGTGTGTTGAGGTGTGGCGCTCACTCATTTTTTGCATCTTGCCATCCAACCAGAAGCAGTCCTGCTCCTCTCCTACCCTAGACCTCAGGAATGAGAAATTCTCTTCCCTGCACCACAGGCCCTGCAAGCTGGAGGGACCTTGAAGTTCACCAGGTGTGATCTCCAGTTTTAGTGCACATGGGAATCATTTTGATGAAAAATGCACATTCCTGGGCCCTGCCGCTATTTTCCTTCCCTAAGTCTAGGATGGGGCCTGGGAATCTGTATTTTGCTCTCACACTGTCATTTGGAAAGCACAGATCTTTTCATCAATTTCAATCCAAATACCACTTCCTCAAAAAGCCCTGTCCTTATTCCTACCCACCAAAAGTGGCCTCCACCCAACTCACTTTCTATCCCATTGCTCCTTCTCATTCCCTTAGAGCACTTGTCACTCCTGGATATGGTCTTGTTTACTTACTGACTGTGTCTCCTACTAAGACCAGAGGTCTTAGGCTCCCGAAAGTTCAGGACCTTGCCTTTGGACGTCTCTGTATCCCACGCCCACCGCTATGCCTGCAGTAAAATAATTCAGTACATATTGGTTGAGTGAGTGAACAAACTCAGGCCTGATTTTTTTAAACAGGGAAGGAATTTGGAGCTGCCACCCTGCCCCAGTCATAACTGGGACTTTAGAAGCTTCATTCTGCAGGTGGAACAGAGTCTACAACTAGCCCCAGTCCAGGGCACTCCCCCCTGTTCCTGATTCCTCAAACCTTTACTGAGCACCGACTGTGTGCTGCTGGAGAGGCTGAAATGCCACATATACCCTCTGTGGCTTGTCAGAACGGCCACTCTGGCTTTAGGGAAGGGGCTCTGCTCTTATTTGCCCTCCAGTGTTGGCAGCCCCTCCTGAACCCCCACGGTCCAGCCAAAACCAGGCTGCAATTTCTTTTTTTCTTGTATTTTTTAAAGATTTTATTTTTCCTTTTTCTCCCCAAAGCCCCCCAGTACATAGTTGTATATTTTTTAGTTGTGGGTCCCTCTAGTTGCGGCATGTGGGACGCCACCTCAGCGTGGCTTGATGAGCGGTGCCATGTCTGCATCCAGGATCTGAACCGGTGAAACCCTGGGCCAACGAAGCTGAGCGCATGAAGGAGCACATGAACTTAACCACTCGGCCATGGGGCCGGCCCCAGGCTGCAATTTCTGACAGAAGTATCCCGAAGCTTTAGAGACCACGAGGGATGTCCAGAGGGGGAAGAGCTGCTCTTAGGGCTGGGGCCAGACCCCTGCTGTGGGGTCCCTCTCAGCATAGCTACTTAGAGGAGGTCCAGACCTACTGGTGGGTCATGATGTCAATTCCCTGGGTCTCAACCAGCATAGCAAGACAAAAAAAGGAAAGAAAACATCAGAGAGTGTTTAAGGAAGTAAGGGTAGGCATAGTTTCGTGAAACTTTCGTTTGAAGTATGAGTGTGTGCGTATGACATTGTGATGTGGAATACATGTCTTCCTGTGGGTCATGGTCAAAACAATATGAAAAATACTTCTCATAAGGGGCAAACACAAGTATCTGCAGTCGACCTCCACACAGCTGGGGCCCCACAAGTTCCGGCCCAACACCCATTACACCCAAAGCAGGAGAAGGGGCTTTGCTTTTTAAATTGCATTATTAAAAGTCCAAGTCAAGGATGTTTCCAGAACCAAGATGAAGTCTCCCCTAGAGAGAAAGTTGCCCGCTGCTTTTGAGTGAGTTTTTCCAATTTCTACCCAACCCCATCTCAAGTCTTAGAGCCCCAAGGCACCTACCCTGTTGAAATGATCGCCAGCACCAGGCCCAGAGCGAATGCTCCTCAGCACTTACTACTGGCCAAGCGCGGTTCTCAGCGCCTGACGTGCATGGGCTCCCTTCAGCATCTCAACAACCCTATGTGGTTGGTACTGCTATTATCCCTTTTGTCCCTAAGGTTAGCTGCGTCCATGATCACACCACTAGTGAGCATCTGGGCCAGAATCTGAATCCAGGAGATCCGGCCCCCCAGTCCAAGAAATCATCTCCACTGTCACCAAGAGCACAGTGCTTTACAGTTTCCACATCAACTCACTGGACTCACTCTGCGAGCTCGGCCGAAGACGTACCTGTCAAGCCCATTTCAAGCTTGATGGAATGAGGTCCGAGGTCACCTGAGAAGCTGAGACTGGTACTAGGTCTCCGTGGAACCCGCTCGGGGCCTGTGGCTTCTGGCTCTCACATGTGCAATGCCGCTGTGGAGGGAAGCCACTGCCGGGGCCCTGCGGAACATCATCTCCCCCCAGCTTGTACGGTGCTCCTCGGAGGGAAACGGACTCTCTCATGATGCCACGTGAGAGTGAGGGTCTGTCAAGAGAATGGGCGCCCTCTGCAGGGGCTCCCCCTGCCGCCGGGGCTGAGGGCACCACCCTGGCGCACCAAGAACTGAGTAGGTGCCTTTAAATCTCACTCCCAGGGTCAGGAGGCAGGGGAATGGCTGGCCTTCAGAGCAGTCAGAGCCCCTCCCTGCCTCACCGCCGTGCCCTTCCCTCTCCCCCACCACGGAGTCCCCCACATGCTTTATTACAAGAGCCGTCCACCCAAAAGAAAGAGACTGGCGGTGAGGGAACCCTTCTCATCTGGGTCACGAGCCTTTGTCTAGTTGGATGGTTTAAGGTCCCTGCAGTAAAGTGAAGGGGAACTAGAAAATGAATTTATAAAGGGCTTTTTTCTTTTTACAGCATCTCATTTACTCCTAAAACTTGCCAACATTTTGTCTATTTTCTGCGTGGTCTGAACCCACTCCTGGGGCATCTAGGTCTGCTCTGGGTCCTGGGACAATCTCTAGTAAAAACCATGGTGGATCCTCAAGTGTCTTTGAACTGAGAGACAGACAGACAGAGCCCTCCCTCTCCCCAGAGAAATGTGCTGGGGGCTCTGCCTGGGGGCAAACAGACCCTCTCACTTCTGATTCCAACCTTCTCCCGGCACCATTCTCTCCTCCTGCTGTGAACTTTATAGATTGAGAGAGGAAGGGGCCGGGGACGAGCCTTTAGAGGCAGGAGAATTACAAGATCATCCCCTCAAGCAGGAAAACCTCCCATTCTCTAGGGGAAGAGGGGGAGGTGCTAAGAGGGAAACCATTGGCTGCAGGTGCATGGCCGACAGCATCAATGCGTTTCCATCAGCGCCGTGGTGTGGCACTTGGTCACCTGCAGCCTCCAAGATATGGACTCCTCCTTTCCCCTCCAGCCCTAGTGAGGCCTCCCCTGGTCCTGAAGACTTCCTCTTAACCTGAGGGGCTGACAAACTCAAAAGACATTCTCCAAAAACTAGAAGGAAGCAAAATAGAAATAAAGAAAACATAAATGCCATAAAATAGTATGGTTCTTGGAGTAGAGGTTCACACATTACTCACATATAGGAATGCAGTTCTAGTTCCCACCCCACAGGAGAGGAGCGCTCATGCAAGGCCTAGCGGTAGGAGGTCTAAATCTGTCCCAGGGCACAAAAGGAGCCATCGCAAGATGAGGAGGGCCTTCCCTCCGAGTCCTGAGTATCCTGAGTATCCTGGATGGCCGGGAGGGACAGGAGCGGGAAGGGCGGGGTGTGGGAAGGGTTTCACACAGGGCCCCACAAAGCAATTTATCCTTTAATTTTCCTTTCAGTCTGGCAGTCCTGCTATGTTAAACACATTTCATGAATAGACATTTCTGGTCCATTTAAGAAGTAGCAGATGCATTATTCATGTCATTTCAAATAGTCAACAGGAAAAAGGTAGAGGGCGTGTCCCCCGCTGTGGGGAGGCTTTCTGAGTCCATCCGCTGCTCCCTGACCCAGCTTCACTGAGGGGCTGTTACTCGTTCCTTAGTTGTCAAAATCTGACCCAGGGAAAAACCCCGCTGAGGTCTCAAACACATAAAAAGAGTAAAGAGCCAAATGCTGGTTCACTAGGCACCAAAACGGGTAAAGATGCAAACTCAAGTCAACCAAACTCACAAGGCAGCGACGACTCTAACACGACGTCTTAGAGCAAAGCTCATCTTGCTCTTCCTCCCGCTCCCTGCAGTGGTCTCCCCAGAGCCCTCGCGACTCACGTCCATCCCCTCCCCTCCGCTCTAAGTTCACAGGACTGCAGTGGCAACAAAACGAGAACGAGTAGGAACTGCTTGTATAAGACACCGGGAGTGGCTGTGGCTTCCCTTCGTTTCCTGTACACAATTCTTCCGCAGACTCTCATTGCTTATTGCAGTCACTGTCCCCTCCTGACTTTCTGGCCTCACATGCCCCGTTACGCACACTCAGCTTCAGCCAAATGGACTAACATGCTTTACCACATCCTTCACTTGCCAACCTCCGTGCCTCCACCCAGGCCGGCCTCCCCGCACTCCTCCATGGCTTCAAGGCTCAGCGTACAGGTGTCTGTGTGTCTCCTTCCCTACGGCCTCCTGGATCCCTCTCCTCTAAATTCCCAAAGGACAGGATCTGTTTGATTTACGGAGTCACAGTTGAGTATATCCCTTACCTGTCGTCTAGGGCTGAGGGCAGGAAAGGGCTTTACCGCTTTTGGTACCACACGGCCCATGTGAGGCGGGTGTCATCCTACTTCAGGAGGATGGGGAAGCAGGGAGGGAAGGCTGACTCCTGATCACCCTGCCTCTGCCCATTAGCCTGCATATTTGAAGTGTCTCGGGTAGAGTGACTAAGCCTTTTTTTTGGAGTATATATTCATAGAAGATTTCACCAGAGATAATTCTACCAGAGCATTAAGTTAAATTTGTCTCCTGAAGCAACTTATGAGTCATCAAGACTCCAAGTGTGTGCTGAGAGCTCGCATGGACAAAGTGGAATCAGACGAACAAAGTCTGATCTCATAACTAGCATCTCACAGGGTGTGGCTCTTGCATCACCTGGAAGGGCTTGTCAAAACAGCAGATGCCCAGGCCCAAGCCGGGCGGAGCATCAGAGCCTTTAGCAGGTGGGGCAAGGAGGCTGACGAGCTGCCCAGCAAAGTCTGAAACCAGCCGCTCACCGGGGTGTCACCTGTGCCTTGCCCAGTCTGTAATAAAGCTTTTGTGGAAAAAATATTAGACCTGGAGATCCAAAAACCTGCTAGTGGGACAATGGCTCTGCCTTACACTAGCCCTGTGGCCTCGGGCAAGTTGTTTCCTCCTCCAGGAACAGAGGGATCATGAAGACTGGCTGCTCAGGGACAAGCCCAGCGTGGGACCACGCTTGTTAAAGGGACCAGAGTACACACAGGAGGAGATCTGTGAAGCTGGATGGAAAACAGGTTACCTATTTATCGTACCACCCTTCAACTGAAATTTAACATCTCCTTCAATCCTGAGCGTATGCAAAAGCCACAGTAGCATCAGCAGTACCTGCATCTTGACACCAGTAGAAACTGCAGATACTTTCCCCTCACATGCCAGCTATCGCAAAAATCTCAAAATACATTGTAAGCTCATCATTACTTTGAAAGTAGGGTAGTTATCAGATCTGCTGCTTTAATGCATTGATAAAGAAGCACATGTACCTCCACATCATAAATTTTGAAAAATATCCCAATCACTGTAGTTCAATATAATTGGTTCTTTATAAACTTTTATGTATCTAAAAACAAGCTGATGGATGGGTGGGTGGAAAAATATGTGATAAGGCAAGCATAATAAAATGTTAATGGTAGAAACTAAGTGGCGGGTAGATACGTGTTCACAATTGTAAAATACAATCTTTCTAAATGTTTGAACCTTTTCATAACAGCGTTGGGGAAAAAAATGTGAGAAGGGGTCCCTAGGCTTCACCAGACTGCCAGAGGGGGCTGTGGAACACGAAAAAGTTAGAACCCCCGGCCTAGGGGTGCTAGGGTCCTTAGCCAGCTAGCCATCCCCTCAGCGAGCTCTTCACCCAGGAGGCAAAGGACCCCCAGCCCCAGCGTAGAACTCCAGCAGTGAGGCTGGCAGGCTTTGTCCAGACTAGGAAATCTAAAAGGTCTGCAGAAACAAAGTGGGCCAGGAGTGTTTTCTTCCACCCCAGCAGTCCAACCTTAATCTCAGACCTCACAGCTCTAAAGAATAGAAAGACTACCTCAGGGTAGCACACTAGTCAAACCCGGGAAACCAAGGCCAAGAGTCCAAGAATACCTGCCAGTGCTGTGGCAGGGCTGGTCCAGGCTCCTTCCCAGGCCCTGGACAGAAGAGGAGGCATCCACGGAGGCCACACCTTCAACCTGCCCCTGCCTACCTGCAGCCCCATCACTCCGCCCTGGACTGCAACCAGCAAGAGGGTCCTAGGAGTTGACCAACCAGACCCAGAATCCTCCCTCAGGGAGAGGGGAGAGGGAGACGCAGAGCCTCCAGCTCTCTCTCCTGGGGGCTGATGCTGTGGTCCTGGCTTCTCTGTAGCACTCAGATGGAGCTCCTCCATTAGACAGGCCACTAACAATGACTACTGCCTCCTATCGCCCACCAGCAGATCAGCACCACTTAGTTCCCCTATTCCGGAGGGCACACTGCTCTCTAATTCTGGGTCAAATCACCCTTATTCGCCCAGAGGCTCCGAAGTTCAGAGGGAGAAATGAACCTCTTATTTCTATCCCAGAAGCTGATGCAGTTCAGAAAGGGCTAATGAGAAAATGCCAGGGCCGCATTTTAACTGGACAAGAAAGAAAAAATAAAGCATAGAGGGGGAAAAATGTCATCTTGTTTCATAGGAGAATACATCGTCTTGCCAACAATCAAGGAAAAGTAAACTAAAGGTATCATTATGTACCCAGCAAGGAAACAAGCTAACTAAAGATGGAGACCCCAGGATACATTCATGTTGCTGATAACCACGTAACGTGGCTCAGTCCTTCTGGAAAGTTATTTGGCATGGTACGACAATTACAAAAATGCCTTTAATTCCACTTTTGGAAAAAGCTGAAAGGGCATCTTGACAAATTGTAAAAAGCTATACAAATTTATTAACTCCCCAAAGACATGTTGACCCAAGGTGTCGTCTCCACCCCCACATACCCTGCATTTGGCAGCAGCATTTGTCTCTGACACTAGTTTCTTGAAAATGGTCACCAATTATTACAAATGGAAGAATATATGATGCTATTTATGTAAAACAAACAAAACCTTAAAATCTATATACTGTATTTGTACACGTGAAGATTTACAAGGGCACAGAATATGGCGGCCTGGAAGAGTACATGCTGAACCAGTTCACCCAGCTTCTAAGGGGGGCACAGGGTGGGGCAAGGCTGTAACAAAGGCAAATTCTCCCCTTTTACTCTGATTTTACTATGAGTGTATCCATGTATTACTTATGTACTTTTCAAAATGTTCTCCCACTAATCAAAAAAAAATCAAGTCAACTGAAGTTGGGAATTGTCTATTGAGGTGCATCCAGCTACCTCCTGAGCTCTGATGTTAGAACAACTACTCTTCCTGAAGAGATTAACTGTTTCCTTGACTCAGTTTCCTAAATCTGTTCTTAAAGGAATGTACAATTCTGGCACTATTACAAGGTTATAAGCATGGTTAGGAGACCCAAAAATACCTAAACCCTGATCTTAACCAAATACCCCTCCTCGTAAGGGTATTAGAGAAGATGTGCATAGAATAATACACCAGTGCAGATCATAAGCCTCCTGGGCTCAGCCACAGGAAGTACCCCTTTCTCAAAATCTAATTAGGCCTGCAAAGTTTGACAGACTTAGGTCTTCACATCTGCTTGATTTCACCCCTCCAACAACCAAACCCCAGAGTTCAGATGTGATCACAAGAGAAAAAGTTGCTGAAATCTGCACTCACCAGCCTACGTGTAACAGGAGAAAGGAAAACAGAAACCACAGGGGCTTTTATCCCAATACTAGTGCCCAGCTGGCCCCATAGTGGTCCTTCTCTCACCAGGACAGTGGCCATGACCCACTGTTCTGAATCTATGCAAGCTTTGACACTTCCTGTTCCCAGGCAGAGGAGGGTGACAGCAAACAGGAAAGGCCTAGGACTAGAAAGGCATCTTTTAGAAGAAAGAGAAGGCCTTGGCCCAAGCCACAGCAGGCGACTTGGTCTCCATTTCAAGGCTCTGCCTCCTCGCCAACCACTCCCATCTGTAGTCTCCTGACTGCTGCTGTGCGGGTCCAATGCCAGTCAGATCAGCACTGCTTAGTCAGCCAGATGCTCACAGGTGCTCAACATAAGCCCTGACTGTTACAATGGGAGTGGGGTCTTATTTGCAATAAAAAAGTATAAAAACAGGGGCTCCACGTCACCTGTAACATTGAAAACTTGGACACAACTCCTGAGCCCAACAGCAGGGAAAGAGCTAAGCAAACTTACCTCTTTCTTTTCCTTCAAAAACACATCCCACTGAGACAACCCAAGAAACAGAAAGCGGGAGAAAGCCTGTGTCAGCCCTGGAAACAGAACCAAACTTACAAAGGAATTCCTGAAAGAAATGAAGCAGATGCAATCAGATCAAGGGGAAAGCTGGTCACGCCAAGCAGCCTGGGAATTTAACAGAGGTACATGAGGGACTCCAGGAGACAAGGACGGGCTCTCCAACCAAGCCCCAGACACTGCCCAAAGCAGGGTGGCAGGGCAGGACCACAGGCAGGCGTGCAGCTGCAGCAGAGAGCACGCAGGGCAATCCCAGTGACATCAGGCACAGAGGTACCTTCTCAGAGCTCCACCAGTTCTGGTAAAAGAAATAAAGGTGGGAAAAAAGTCTAAATATCAGAAAGACTCCAAATTACCATTATTTGCAGATAGGATTTTCTCCTTAGAAATTCCAGGAGAATCAAACAAAAGTTACTAAAAAACAAAGAGTTCAGTGAGATGGCCAGAGAAGGATAACATTCAAAATAACCAATTGTTCTAAATACAAACTCTATAATCAGTCAGGGGGAGAAAAGATATTTTTCACAGTAGCAGTAATAAATATACAATACGGGTGAAAATAAAAGTCTTCATTAATTAAGACCTCTGAAGAGAATTATAAACCCTTGCTGTAGGGTGTTTTTAAAATCTCAGCAAGTGGAGAAACGTCACATTTCTGAGTAGGAAGACAATACTGTAAAGAAAACAATTGTCCCCAACTTAATCTGTACATTTAAATTAAAACCCCACAGGGTTTCCTTTGGGAATTTGAAAAACTAAGAACTACCTGAAAGAATACAATAAATATTTTTTAATAAGAATGAAAATGACCTATCAGATATCAAAATTTACTGCAAAGTTACAATGAAAACTGGTATCAAAAACAGCATAGCATTTTTCACACTGACCAGGTTAGCAGAACAGTTAAAATTTGATGATGCCCAGCGGTGACGAGGGCAAGCAGCGGCACTTCCATATATTCTAAGTGGAATGTAAACTGGGAAAAACTTTTTGGAGGTTGAGCTGCCATTGTCTATCAAAATTTTACATGCACTAACCTTTGGCCCAGTAATTGTGCTCGGAACTTAACCAAGAGCACACTTGAAAAGCACGCCAGGAAGGATCCATGTTTAAAGATGTTCACCACACCTCTTCTTTCTAATAAAGAAAGAAAAGAAATGGCAACCACCTAAATATCCACCTGTGGGGACTTGTTAAGTAAATATAACACAGCATATGACAGGGCTGTTAAAAAGAATGGGGGAGACCTGCACATGTGGTACTAAAAGACCTCTGAAGTCTCAGATGAAAAAGCAAGGAGGGGACCACATGCAATCTGATCCACATGTAGAGAAGTTGATGCTGGTATGTGCACAGGGACATCCTGAAAGAATATCTGAAAACTATTAACTATTATTTTGCTGAGGAAGACTGGCCCTGAGCTAATAACCATGCCCATCTTCCTCTGTTTTTATATGGGATGCCTACCACAGCATGGCTTGATAAGTGGTGTGTAGGTCCACGCCCAGGACCTGAATTGGCGAACCTCAGGCCACTGAAGCAGATGCACGAACTTAACCACTGCGCCATGGGGCCGGCCCCAGGCCTCAGCCTTTTAAAGAGCCTATGCCTCTGTTCTGTGAACTTCACAACTGTTTCTCAATTTTTTTCAACCCCTTAGGTGGGACAGGATGGCTGGAGTGGGCTCAAGTTGGGTGTTTCCCTTCCCCCAGGTCAGTTAGGCTCTGATAACACCCCAGCAGGTTAGGCTCTGGTTAACTAGTTCCTTCTGAGGGCAGGCCTTGTTAAGAAGAACAGCGTGCTCTGGTTTACTTCAGAATGGTTTGTCTTCCCCTCCCCCTGCCCGAAGCATGAGGGCATTCTTCTCCAGGGTTTACTGTGGGAGCCTGGCGGAGCTCCTGAGGTAAATCTCGCAGTGATGTGGGGGCCTGAATGACGGGGTTGCCTGGAACCCTGGAATTCTCAGTCAACACTGAACTTCCAGCACTTCCTCAGTCACGGTTCAGGTCTCCTACCCCGCACTGGCGAGCCTCTGCTCTCTGTGTCCGTCCGTCTGTCTCTCTGCACTGGCGAGCCTCTGCTCTCTGTGTCCATCCGTCTTTCTCTCTGCACTGGCGAGCCTCTGCTCTCTGTGTCCGTCCGTCTGTCTCTCTGCACTGGCGAGCCTCTGCTCTCTGTGTCCATCCGTCTTTCTCTCTGCACTGGCGAGCCTCTGCTCTCTGTGTCCGTCCGTCTGTCTCTCTGCACTGGCGAGCCTCTGCTCTCTGTGTCCGTCCGTCTGTCTCTCTGCACTGGCGAGCCTCTGCTCTCTGTGTCCGTCCGTCTGTCTCTCTGCACTGGCGAGCCTTTTGGAAAGAGAGATTAGTGGGGGAAGAGGAGAGGAGACACATTTTTTCATTTTTTAGATACCTCTGTGCTGTTGTGAATTTACCACTTGCATAAGGCTAAAAAGAAAAAATGTTTCTTCAACTGTGGTGCTTGGAAGGAAAAAACAGATCAGGGAAACAAAACTCAATTCCAGAATTTATACATATATATATATATATATATATATATATATATATATACACACACACACACACACGCACACACACATATTCATGAATTTCATAAGTGGTAACAACAGAATTTCAAATCATCAATGAGCATTTCAATAAATGATAGAGAGACAACTGGATTCCTTTAAAAATAACATAGTTAGACTCAAGGTCATCAAGAAAACAGAAATCACTCTGGGTATTTCAAGAGAAAGGGATTGAATACAGAGTTAAGTTTCAAATTTGCTGAAAGGGCTAGAAAATAAAAACAGCAGTTGGTGTCACCCAGAGGTCAGGAGTTGCAGGAAGCTGCCACCATTGCTGGAGGCCACACTGTCATTCTGCTGCTCAGGGGCCTGCACTCAACTGCTGCCACCACCACCACGAGAAGCAGCGGAGAGGCTTCTCCCACCTGCCCCCCTTCCAGCCTCATGCAAGTGCCTCTCACTAGCAAAACCTAAACGGGAAGCCCACTGCAAGGGAGTCTGGGAAATGCTTAAAGCCTTTCAGCCCCTGAGATATAGGAGAGCGTGGATAAGCAGAGCAGGTGGTTAAGCATCTCAACAAGTAGTGCTGTGAAAATGAGTCATGCGTCTAGAAAAAACCCAGGGGAAATTCCCTAATTCACACCTTATACCCACACAAATTTCAGAAAAAGTTAAAATTTCTAAGAAACAATAATGAAAGCATCCAAATTAGATAAAGAAGACGGAGGGGTGGCAAGGATTACTTTCTACATTATATACTTCTGCAGCACTGAATTTTTTGCAGTGACTTTTATAATCCGTGAAAACAAGGATTGTTCCATGGTCTGGCTGGCAGTGGGGAGACATGGTCAAGTTTTAATAGCATGGGGCACAAACATAAAATAAGATACGAAGAGCAAAGCCAGCCTCTAACTAGGCCCTAATCTCTGTGCCCCCAACTCCCAGGCCAGGTTCCATCTCCTCCTGCGGACGGACGAGCGCTCTCTCCTGGTGACGGTATCTACTAAGGAACAAAAGTCTCCCTGAGCAATTCACCACACAGGAAGCCAAGTAAGGTCAGCGCTGCATATTAAATAGACATGTTCACATGTGCAACGGAACTGAAAAACAGAACAAAGTCCTGGTCTTCTCTCCTCCCTAGTTTCTGCTTCAGCAACCTTTGTTTTTCTACTTTTTACATTTGTTCTCGGGGTGCTTTCTTGTGGCCTGATTTGAAATAATAGGCAACATCTTAGGATCTTGAAAATGCCAGACTAGGAATCACTTTCAACCAAGATGTATTTCATAGAACACTATTTCGGGAGACGTTAATAGAAATGCCAATAAAAAAGCGTTCTTAAGCAAATAAGGTTGGGAAATGCTATATAACCTCCTCTTGGGGAAAAAAATATCACAACGTATATTATATTTGCACATTAAAGGCGCTTCTGCAAAGAAAACAGTTGAACGCTACTTAACACCAAATGTTTCCCAAGTTTATTTTTTGCATAATATAGAGACACCTTTGGGACAACGTATAGTTAAAAATCAATATTCCACAAACATTTTGTTAGATTCTGCTCTAGATGATCCTAAAGGAAAAAGTAATCAACACCACACCACGTGTCTAGATCAAGGACTGGCTGACACTGTCTCCCAATGGATGAGAAAGCTGGTCCTAACGTTCTTCTGTGCGCAGATTCTCTGATTCCAGCTGGGCCTTCCTTATGCTGTCCAAGTTCAGTTGCTGGTATTTTCTTTTAAAAAAGCCACACTAAAACAAACGGAGAGGAAGCCCAATTACAGACCTAAGATATTCATCTGTTTTAGAAAACCATTTATCTAGCTGTTATCAAAATAGGCCCTGTACTCTGCTTCTCGCGCCTCCTCTGAATCTCTCCCTGATAATCCAGGCCTTCAAGAACCGTCCTGACGGCTGCCTTTCCCGGTGTTCCTTCCCCAGTCAGAAGAGCTCTTCCACCTCCCTCTGAATCCCCAAAGCACTTTGACCTGCTATGCTGAGGACAGAAAGACATCTAGCACGGCCTCCTACATCAAGAAACTCACATCTAGTAGGAAGAGAAAGAATTACAATGCAGTGTGACCAGTGACACTTGGAAGGGCTTCTGGAGGCGGCTCACAGGAAAAGCACGTAACTCAGCTCAGAGGACTCAGGAATCTCTGGGATGAGTTTCAAGGGAAGAGTGTGAGCAAGGGGAAAAAGCCAGAAGGGCGGGGGGGTTGTGGACAGCCTAACTGCAAGCACAGAGACGCAAACCTATTGTGTTCAACATGTCTGGAGAAAAAGCAAGACTAAGGGCGGAGAGGGGTGAGGCAGAGACCGGAGGGTCTTGAACAGCAGCGAAAGAGTCTGAACATTAAAACAGGGCAAGGAAAGTAAAGGATTTAAACAGGGGAATGACGATCAGATCCGTTTATGAAAATTTCTCTGTACTCCAATACTTCAATTAGATTTTTACCTTTTTCAAACAGAAACTGACTATTCATTTGCCTAAACAGGTGTGTGGTTGAAGGAAGAGGGAAAAGTGGCCACAGGGCCGGGTGGCCGCTCTACATCAGCAGCTGTCTGTCCCAGGGAGCACCGTGCCCAACACCAGAGCCTTTAGGAACTTGAGAACTGACCTTGAATAGGACGACTATAATCACAATCAAAACCAGAAGGCCACCAACACTGCTTCCGATGACGACAGGCAAGGAGTAATACTCCTCATCTTTCAGGAAGATGACAGTGACCTAGAACAGGACAAAGAGATCATCCAGTAAGACGGGTAAGGCAAATGAGAAAAAAAACGCCACATGTTATTTTAAGGAGGAAAATATGAGAACTTGGCGACATTCTGTGTATTGATCAAGACTGATGACAGTAATGCAAAAAGCTGAACATTTCCGGATGCATCATCTAAAATTATCTAATGAGACTTCCAGTTCCCGGTTCCATGTGTAAGGAGCCTAGAAGGCACCACTCTGTGCTAACAAGTATCAAGCTAAACAGACAGCAAAAATCAACTCTTCTTGGATGCCTATGAGATGGCAGGACCCTCCAAACCGCTTCCCCCTAGACTGGAGAGACAGACGGGCGGACACAGAGAGCAGAGGCTCGCCAGTGCAGAGAGAAAGACGGATGGACACAGAGAGCAGAGGCTCGCCAGTGCAGAGAGACAGACGGACGGACACAGAGAGCAGAGGCTCGCCAGTGCGGGGTAGGAGACCTGAACCGTGACTGAGGAAGTGCTGGAAGTTCAGTGTTGACTGAGAATTCCAGGGTTCCAGGCAACCCCGTCATTCAGGCCCCCACATCACTGCGAGATTTACCTCAGGAGCTCCGCCAGGCTCCCACAGTAAACCCTGGAGAAGAATGCCCTCATGCTTCGGGCAGGGGGAGGGGAAGACAAACCATTCTGAAGTAAACCAGAGCACGCTGTTCTTCTTAACAAGGCCTGCCCTCAGAAGGAACTAGTTAACCAGAGCCTAACCTGCTGGGGTGTTATCAGAGCCTAACTGACCTGGGGGAAGGGAAACACCCAACTTGAGCCCACTCCAGCCATCCTGTCCCACCTAAGGGGTTGAAAAAAATTGAGAAACAGTTGTGAAGTTCACAGAACAGAGGCATAGGCTCTTTAAAAGGCTGAGGCCTGGGGCCGGCCCCATGGCGCAGTGGTTAAGTTCGTGCATCTGCTTCAGTGGCCTGAGGTTCGCCAATTCAGGTCCTGGGCGTGGACCTACACACCACTTATCAAGCCATGCTGTGGTAGGCGTCCCACATAAAAAAAATAGAGGAAGATGGGCATGGTTGTTAGCTCAGGGCCAGTCCTCCTCAGCAAAAAGGAGGACTGGCCACGGATGTTAGCTCAGGGCTAACCTTCCTCAAAAAAAAAAAAGAGGGGCTGGCCCCGTGGCCAAGTGGTTAAGTTCGCGTGCTCCGCTGCAGGCGGCCCAGTGTTTCGTTGGTTCGAATCCTGGGCGCGGACATGGCACTGCTCATCAAACCACGCTGAGGCAGCGTCCCACATGCCACAACTAGAAGGACCCACAATGAAGAATATGCAACTATGTACTGGGGGGGCTTGGGGAGAAAAAGGAAAAAAAAAAAAAGACTGAGACCTAATCACAGGATAAGAGAACACTTCCCCTCCCCCCACCTCACCACATTACTAAATGTCTATTTACAGCAGTTCCTTTTACCTGGTACATTATGTCCAGCTATCAAGAAAAAATTACCAGGCATACCAAAAGGCAAAAAACACTGTTTGAAGAGACAGAGTAAGCATCAGAACCAGAATGGCAAGGATGTTAGAATTATTAGATTGGGAATTTAAAACAACTATGATGAATATGCTAAGGGCTCTAATGGATAAAGTAGACAGCATGCAACAACAGATGGCCAATGTAAGTGGAGCGATGGAAATCCTAAGAAAGAAACCAAAAGAAACGCAAGAGATCAAAAACGCTGTAAGAGAAATGAAGAATGCCATCCCTGGGCTCCTCAGTAGACTGGACAGGACTGAGGAGAGAGTCTCTGAGCTAGACATATCAATAGAATCCTCAAAAAGCAGAGAGAACAAAAACTGGAAAAAAACCCAAAAACCAGAGCACGACAAAATTATCTAGTGACCAAAATACTTCACAGAAACTATTTTGGTCTCTTATCTGGAAGAGCTAAGCCTGTCAGGAGATTGTGACCTTCTGTTAAAGATTCTCTGACAGTAACACAGGGTCCCAAGGAATTAAGATCTCTAGGTTTTTGTTAAGATTTTATTTTTCCTTTTTCTCCCCAAAGCCCCCCAGCACATAGTTGTATATTTTTAGCTTTGGGTCCTTCTAGTTGTGGCATGTGGGATGCCACCTCAGTGAGGCCCGACGAGCGGTGCCATGTCCGCGCCCAGGATCTGAACCAGTGAAATCCTGGGCTGCCGAAGAGGAGCGCGTGAACTTAACTACTCGGCCATGGGCCAGCCCAGATCTCCAGGGTTTAAAGAACAGAGAGAGACGGAAAGATCAAGATTCTACATCCAGCTATGCCACTATATGTCCTTGAGCCCCAGGCTCAGCATCTTCAAAATGATGACCCATTTTAAATGGTCTCTAAGTCCTTTCCAACTCTGTTCTGACAGCTCTTTATGATCTTGCACAAAGCCCTGAAGTCTGATAACACATTTTTCCCACATGAAATATATGATAAAGATACTGGTCTGCTCTTATACCAGACTAACGTGTATGTTACCTCAGAAACACAATAAATGCAAAATGGCATCCATGTGTACCACCTGTGGAGCTCTTCCATTAGAAGCCAGCCCCAGCATTGCTGTCTACAGGCTCTCTCAATTTCACGAGTCTAATCTCTCTTCTCACTGACAGGACGCAGCTGGAAGGCTCAGGGGACAGGCTTGCCAAGTGAGACCCAGATATGACCCTCCCAAGCTGTGGCCAGCACACAGACCATGGCCAGAGATGTTCCAGGACTTAAGCGAGGGCAGAGGGCCATGGAGACCTCTCTGCCTGCACAAAACACTGAGTTCTCTCCATGCAAGTGTTTAAGCACCAAGGTCAAGGATGCTTTGGGGAGAATTTCTGTATAGGGTGGGATGCTGGACAAATTTACCTTTAAGGCCTCTTCCAATGAAGTTATAAATGCTAGTTACTTCCTTGGGTTGACCCTCTGGAAACTATTGAACTTATACTAGCTAAACTTTAGTAGGAGTAAGTTCTGGACCTTGAGAACAGGGAGGGAGCAAAGCAAGAGAAAGGGAGGAAGAACAGGAAGAGAGCTGGTTTATTCTTCTATGGAGGAGTGAAGTAGGGGGAAAAAAAAGGACTCGAGATCCTGGGTTTCAGAAAGTGATGAAAGGAAGTCTCAAGGTGACACTGGTGTAACAGGCCAGATCTGAGTAGACAAAATGCTCCTATTTCTCAAAGCTTCTTCCCTTTTTCCTCTTCTAAACCCACAGATTCCAAAAGTGCCCAAAGCTGCCCTGGGAGAGGTGAAGGGAGAAGCAGGACACAGGACACTACTGCCTGTGGCAGACACTGTGGTGGCCTACCCAACAGCCGTTCTCCCCTTTGAGATTCGGGTCAGCAACCCGACCGCTCTAAGCTCCTCATGACAAAGCTACCCTCCTTTGCCAGTGAGGGACAGGGGATCCAGGTCTCACCTGTAGGATGTAAGGAGATATCTGTCGGGAGTTTTTAGGAAAATTTTCCTTCCTGAACAGGGAAGGCACATGAAGAAAAAATCCTTTTGCTACTGACCTCTTGCTTCCTATTTTGTATTCTGCCACGTGAAGAGGTAGCACTGGGAGAGGTGGCAACTTTGTGCTGGCCACAAGGGAAGGCATCACCAACACCCAGAGGGCAGAGCGCAAGATTCAAAGGGGCCAGGCCGTGGGCCCTGGTCCGCCTCCCTCACTGGATAAACAACAAACGTCTCTATGGTACAGCAGCGGGAGTTTGTCCTTTCTTGCAGCTGAAATCGCTTGGATACACAGCTATTTACACTCACAGGTTCATTGTAAGTCAGGTGCTTATTGCCAGAAACTACTTATCACTTTACTGAAGGTATTGAATTTAAAGAGAGAAAAATAATTATGGGGAATCTATGCTACAGAAATAAAAGCACTGGTTAAGTAAGAGGGGGAAATACATAAGTCATTTAAGAATGTGCACAGGGGCCGACCCAGTGGCACAGCGGTTAGTTGCGCACGTTCCACATCGGCTGCTGGGGTTCGCCAGTTCGGATGCTGGGTGTGGACATGGCACCGCTTGGCAAGCCATGCTGTGGCAGGTGTCGCACATGTAAAGTAGAGAAAGATGGGCACAGATGTTAGCTCAGGGCCAGTCTTCCTCAGCAAAAAGAGGAGGATTGGCAGCAAATGTTAGCTCAGGGCTAATCTTCCTCAAAAAAAAAAAAAGAAGAATGTGCATATAAGAAACTGCTAACAGTAACTCCCTTTGGGGAGAGGGAATTGGGAGCAGGAGAAGAAGGGAGTGAAGGAACCATAATTTTACATTTGGTATCTTTCTGTAAGGCTTAGGTTTTCTTGCTATTACTTCTATTTAAAAAAAATCTAGGCAGTGGGATAATGGGGCATTTCTCTTTCTTCCATATTATTTTCTGTCTTAGAAATACTTAAAAATAAAAGGAAATGTTATTTCCAACATGTCTAGAGAACTGCTCCCTTCTCCTCCTCCAGGGAGGAAATCAGAGGACCTAATATTTACCAATCCAGTCTCACATTCTTGACATTCCCTCCAGCAATGATCATGCCTCACTCAAGAGCTCACAGATGGGTCATCTCTGAAGCCAGCAGCAGGCCTAGGCGAGTGTCAACAAGAATGACAACTCAGGGTAGCACACTAATACTTAGTGTGAGACTTATAAAAGAATTATGCATTGCTGAGTATTGTAACTGTTTAATACTGTAACTAAACACTGACACTACACACTAGGAAGAGAGTTAATGTATACAAAAAAATTATTTCTCACCTAGGAAATTTTTTAAAAACCATACATTTTTAAATCAAAGGCTATATAGCTGTTGATCCCAGCCTAGTTATTTCAGCTTAGACTTCCTCAGCTTAGGCCTCTTATTCAATTGCCTCATTTCCCAGATGGAAAAATTGAGGCAGCAGGTCACAGAGGCAGTCAGTGGCGGAGTTAAGATTAGATTAGAGGGGATAAGCCTGAAAACAGAAGAGGGCAGCAGCAGAGTGCCCAAACAGGGGCTCGAAGCCTAGGCACAGTTTTCCCAGGACACTACCCAGAAAACCAGAAAACAGCCAGGGACTACCTTAGTTCTGTGGTTCTCTGCACTCAGCCCCTCATATAGAGATTTGTCGAAAGATAGTTCACCAAGGATCTGCAGTTCAGTTACATCTCTTAGTAACTGTAAGATGAAGGGGAAAACAAAACAGACTTTAGACATAGACTTACTGTTTTTGGACAGCGCTCATCAGCTATCCCTTTAGCATCCCCCTTCTCCTGTCTTCCTCAGCCTGGTTTATGGCATCAGCAACCACAAAGTTACCCAGGCAAGAAACCTGCAGTCACTCCCCAACTTCTTTCCCCTTACCCTTTACCTCGTGTCACCCCCCACCCAGCTTCCGGCCCCAAGTCAGTTCTTGACAATTCTTTTTATTTTTAGGTCCCTCTTGCACCTGTTCCTTTTTCTCCACCCCCATTGCTACTTCTTCAGTTCAGAGCTCCTCATTGTCACCTGGACCTGCAAGGCATTAACCTAGATCACAGTTCCCACTGTCGAATGAGTGATCAGGAAAGGCCTCTCTATGAAAGTAACATCTGAGTTCAAGATAAGAAGAAACCACACAGGAATATCTGGGGGAAGAGCAGTGTCATGAAGAAGAAACACCAAGTACAAAGGTCATGTAGCCAGAATAATATTGATAAGCTGGAGTGACACAAAGGACAGAATAGCTGGAGTATAAGAATCGGGGAAGAGGAGAGTACCAGGAATGAAGTTGAGGAAGCACAGACTAGATCACACAGTGCCTTGCAGGCCATTGAAAAAGGACAGATTTTAGTTTAAGTGTATTCAAGAACCACTTTTTTTTTCTTTAAGCAGAGGAGTGGCATAATGTTTGCTTTTAAAAGACAGATGTTATGTGAAGAATGTTTGTAGAGGGCATGGCAAGATCAGAGGCAGGAAGAGCAGCCAGAAGTTTACTGTAACAGTCCAGACAAAAGATGGTGGCCCAAACTACAACAGGAGCGGTGGAGACGGAAAGAAGTGAATGGATTAGGATATATTTTGGGAGTGGAATGACGGAGCTTGCTGCTGGAATAGATAGGAGGACGTAGGAAAGGGAGGAGTTACAAGTAATTCCTAGAATTCCTAGTAAGTAACTGGAGTAAGTTACCCTGAGTAACTAGGTAAGGAACAGGCTGGGGCTGAAGGTGGATCAAGAGACCCGTTTTGCACTGCTCTATTTGAGATGTTATCTCCTTTTCTAGAGAAGAAGCCTGTGAGCAGCAGGACAATCAAATCTGGAGCATTTCAGTCTCAAGTACCTGCTCGGATTGACTCAAGAAGAGCTCTGCAGCCACAGTGACATTTTCTTTATCCGAAGTGATGGCACAGCTTACTGAATGCCATTCCTCCACACTCTGGAAAAGGAAAGTCTAGTTAGCACAACACCTTTGATACTGGCTCAATACAAGGTTGACATAAGGGAAGCCATGTTATAGAAAGGAAAGCTACATTGTAACTTTGAATGACCTCTGATTAACTAACCCAGTTGGATATGTACCCTCCAGGAGACATACATGCTCTGTAGATTTTATGGCCCCTGGTGTGTACCTTCCAGTTGCAGTAAGACAATAACTTTGTTCTTTTGAGTTCCTTAGGAACATAAGGACCCCCGGACAGAGATTCTATACTGGTATCCATCATTGATGACAGCTGAAAGGTCTGGTGTGGTGACTCCCCGTCTGCAATGCCAGGCAGTCAACATTCCTGAGCCCTCCTCTATAGCCCACTAGCCCTATATAACTGCTTCAAGATTCTGTACCCCATTAAGATGGTTCTTTAGGATGCTAGCTTCCTATCAGCTGGCTCATCAGCTAGCTCATTGCTGAGTAAAAGCCCTTTCTCTACCACCGTCTTGCCTCTTGACGGATGGCCTTTGTCTTGCAGCTGGCAGATCACATCCTTTGCGCCTTAAGGCGAAAAGCTAGAAAGTTTACCACTTAACACACAGAGCAGCTTAAGGTCCCAGAACAGAGGGTGTGAGCGGTTTCAGCGCTCACCCTGGCTCAAGCGACACCGCAACCTTGACAAACGTGACCCAGTGAAGAGGCTAAGGAGGGGCCTGGGTGCCGCCCCGCACGTGCTTTCAGGGGAAACCTCAGAGAGTGGTACCGGGGCGTCTCGTGTCACCCGCTACAGACCCTGCTCTCTCCCTCGGCCTCTCTGGACGTCCGCGCTCACCTGAACCGGATCGCTCCCACAAGCGCCCTGCTGACTCTGGCTGCACACAGTGTAAGCCTGAAACGAGAGGCATGCCCAGGACACAATGAGGAAACCCAGTCGCCCGGTTAACGGCCCTTTCCCAGGTCCCCGGGAGCCTAGTGGCGATGCGCATGCGCGAGGCCGGGCGCTAGGACCAGGCGGGCAGGCGGGCCAGCGGGCGCGTCCGGGTCTCGAGGAAGTCTCGCGATGTTTGCATTTGAACTGCTTGGCGGGTGCCGGCCATGGCGGCGTCACTCCCGCGACCCGGGAGTCGGCTCTTCCGAACGTATGGGGCTGCCGGCGGCGGCGGCGGGGGTCCGCGGCGGCAGCCGGGCCGGGCAGCCGCGCAGTGGTTCCCTCCGCAAGACCGCAAGCGTTTCTTCAGCAGCAGCGGCAGCAGCACCGACACCAGCGGCGGCGGCCGCTCGCGGTCTGTGGCCTCCGACGACCCGGACGACCCCGACTTCCCCGGAAGCCCGGTGGGCCCGCGGCGGAGGCGCGCTGGCCGGCGAACCTGCACGGACGGCCCGAGCCCGATCGCGACCCCGCGCCGCCTGAGGCTGCGAGCTCGGCCCCCGCAGAAGTGCAGCACCCCCTGCGGCCCGCTCCGGCCGCCGCCCTTCCCCAGCGGCAACCCGGGCCGCCTGAGCCCGGACCTCAGTGCGTGCAGCCCGCCCGGGCACGGCGGCGAGCTGGGCATCAGCGCCTCCCTGTACAGCTCTCCGGCCTCTCCCGGCCCCGGCCCTGGGTCCCCAGAGCCAGGAGACAGTGTCATCAGTACCGGCCCCTCCGCCTCTCCGGACGCAGCCTCTGAAGTCGCGAGCGGCCTCCACCCCCCAGCAGCCTCCCTGGACCACGCACCTCTCCCCTGCTCCCCGGAGGCAGCACCAGGACGCAGGTTCACCAGGTTGACCCACCAAGCCCGTGCCAGCCTCAGGTCAGCTCTCTTTAGCCTTGTGGACTCAGGAAACCCTGAGAATTCTGAGTTCGGGGCAGATGGGAAGAATATGAGGGAGACCTGCCATGAAAGGGAACTGGTCGGCAAGAGGCTGGAGGGCCCGGGCTTATCAAGCATCAGCGAAAAGAGTGCCACAGACCAGGACTCTTGTCAAGAGATTGGGTCTCAAGGGACTGTCCAGATAGAATGCGACGAGGCCAATGGTGACAAGGGCTGTATTGGACCTGGGGCATTCAACAGGCCTGAGAGAACTCGGCCAAGCCGGAAAAGGAAACATCAGGAGACAATGAACACCTCCCTCCTCCATTACCAGCAGTTTAAAGGGGGCCAAAAGAGAGAAAAAGATTCATTCTTCACCCAGGACCTGACTCATTTACAGGATGCGAGCGCTTGGACCAAAGCCAGGGCTTCCCTCAGTTTGCACAAGAAGAAGATCGTGACTGCTGTGTCAGAAGTGTGCAGCAGCTACACCACTGCCAGCTCTCTCTCTGGGTCCCTCATATCAGAATATTCAAACCCTCCTGTCACAAACAAAACGAACAGTGCTCTGTCCCCTTGGCACTCCTCTTCCATGTATTTGCTAACCCCCTTAAAGACACTACCTGTCGCAGACAAAAAGGCATCTGATGCTGAAAAGGTTTATGGGGAATGCAATCAGGAAGGCCCTCTCCCCTTTAGCTATTGCCTTTCCTCAGAAAAATTGGAATGCTGTGAGAAGATTGGGGAAGGGGTGTTTGGCGAAGTGTTTCAAACAACTGCTAACAACACACCTGTAGCCCTAAAAATCATTGCCATCGAAGGACCGGATTTAGTCAATGGAGCCCATCAGAAAACTTTCGAGGAAATCCTGCCAGAGATCATCATCTCCAAAGAGTTGAGCCTCTTGTCGGATGAGGTCTGCAACCGCACAGAAGGCTTCATTGGGTTGAACTCAGTGCACTGTGTTCAAGGATCTTACCCTCCCTTGCTCCTCAGAGCCTGGGATCACTATAACTCAACCAAAGGGTCTGCAAATGACCGGCCTGACTTTTTTGAGGAAGACCAGCTCTTCATTGTTCTGGAATTTGAGTTTGGAGGGATTGACTTAGAGCAAATGAGAAAGAAGCTGTCCTCCTTGGCTACTGCAAAGAGCATTCTACACCAGATCACTGCCTCCCTCGCAGTGGCAGAGGCCTCACTGCACTTTGAGCACCGGGACTTACACTGGGGGAACGTGCTCTTAAAGAAAACCAGCCTCAAAGAGCTCCATTACACCCTCAACGGGAAGACAAGCGCTATCCCCACCTGTGGGCTGCAAGTGAGCATCATTGACTACACCCTGTCACGCCTGGAGCGGGATGGGATCGTGGTTTTCTGTGACATTTCCATGGATGAGGACCTATTTACAGGTGAAGGTGACTACCAGTTTGAGATCTACAGGCTAATGAGAAAGGAGAACAACAACTGCTGGGGTGAGTATCACCCTTATAATAATGTACTCTGGCTGCATTACCTCACAGATAAGATTCTGAATCAAATGACCTTCAAGACGAAGCGTAACACCCCTGCCATGAAGCAAATAAGGAAAAAGATCCAGCATTTCCACAGGACGATGCTGGACTTCAGCTCTGCCACTGACCTGCTCTGCCAACACAGTCTATTTAAGTAAGCCGAAGGGGCCTCACTGGCCCAAACTGAGAAGGTACTGGTCTGGAAGCCCCTGGGGCTGTTTCCAATCTCCATCCCCAGAGCGGGGTGGGATTCCCATTCTTACATGTTTCCAATCAGCTTTTCAAACAAGAATTTTGTTTCCAAGTGGAAACTGAAATGTTTCTTGAAATGTTTAAACTTAACAAATATTCTTAAAAAATAAACTACACACGAGAACAAGTGCTTACAACTTATAAGCCCTCTTTCTAACTGTCAGTCTGTTCTGTAAATTCCTTTCTATATTTTCACTTTTGACACTTTATGCAGCCTGAGCAACAAAGAAAAGATTCAGGAAAGCCCAAGGCCTCAGCTGTCATACCGTTGAGAGCCTGTTGCTGTAGGGACCATGAGGCTGGCTTTGGGAACCACACTACAGATGAGGAGTCAACCGAGAGCAAAGAGGCTGTTAGCAAACAGAGACCAAGAGAGACAGACTGGAGGGAGAGAGGAAAGAAAGACGGTAGACAGTTTATAGGGAGAAGTACAGGAAAGGCCACATGCTTATCAAATTCATTTGCCAATCACAAAGAGAAGCAGAATTGGTTGATTTCCAAAGGGAAAATAAATGTCTCCATGGCTTCTGAAAAGGTTTGAATTTTTGCTTATTTTTCATCAAGGGAAGGAAAACTGAAATGTTGCATTAAGAGCTGAGTGGTTGATATTTTTTTCTGAATGTGACTTTGGTGATTTACTCCTAAAGTGTTCCCATGTTAACTAATCTTGTTTTTACTCCTTTTCTAGAACTCCAGTTTTTATGCCTTTGAGAATCCATAGTCCCTCTGGAAAGAGATGTGATCTTTATAGAGTAAAGAACTGCCTCTAAGTACCTGAGTCTTTGTCACGTTCTTCACTCTTACAAGCTGGATACCTTGTAATTTGATGGGAACACAAATTTGCAGCTGAAATTTGGCTCCAAAACGATTTTCCCCATGTATCTGCAAAATAAAATCAGAGACTGGGAAGTCAAAGCTGATGTGGCTTTGCCACCTGTGGCTTTACAGTGATGAGCACTAAGCACTTACATTGAAGAGGAATTCTTTGTGGTCAGAAAGTCCCCGGCTTGTGTTCATGTACATCACTGATGGTCTGCAATTGAGAAGATGCGTTAGGCCTCAAGGGCCCTTTGTCGGTTTAAATGAACCTGAATGCTACCAACTGGATACACTAGGACAGGGCACGAGATCCTTAAGAGGAGTCAAAGCTGAATATCAAAATGTAAAGTGGTGGTAGGGCAGTTGGGATCAGGTGGAATATTTGGATTCTGTCTATTTGGGCTGGTTCTGTGTCTATCATTCTTCAGAGTGGCCTTCCTTTTCTCCTTCCTTTCTTCCCAGTCCCGCAGTCTCTCTTCCCTCCTTAGCATCACGTCAGTACCCTTTTGTAGCAAGACCAGTTGGCCCCGCTCCTCCTTTGATTACTAACAGGACCCAACTGTTCATGCCCTAGAGATCAGTGGGAGACTGGGTTCTAAGCAGCCTCCTCTCAGGGAAGGGCCATACCCACATCCACTCTGACCGCCAGTTCCCTCCGTGAGAGAGAATGCCTGAAGCTGCCCGCAGGGGTTGGCCCCTTGGAAGTACGTACTTGGGAAGAACTGCAATGAAGGCGCGCCTGAATTGAAGGCTGTGGGTCTCCCTGACCGAGGACCTCCCTTCATTGGAACTAGGAAACAAGAATATCAGTTGACAGCACCCCTGCTTTGTACATACAGCTGCTTCTGTCCCTTGGCTTCCCAGGGTCATTGAGGGTCAGATAAGAAAAGACTCTTGGAGATAAGCAATTAGAGTGCAGAAGACTCGCTAGAAGAGTCAGAGACACATTCATTTTAAAGGGGTTTCTCAGCGTTGATGATATTGAAATTTGGGGCCAGATAATTCCTTGTGAGAGGCTGTCCTGTATACTGTCTGACGTTTAGTAGCATTCCTGACCTCTACCCACTAGATCCCAGTAGCAGCCCCCCTAAGTTGTGGCAATCAAAAATGTCTCCAGGCATTGCCCCTGGGGGCACAGTCACTCCCATTTGCGAACCCTTTCCCAACACCATACCCCACCCTACCCCCAAGCAGAAGTTTTGCAGATGACAGAGCTTCTCCAAAGTTAAATGAACCAGAATTAGAACTCTAGTCCAAGGCTCATTCTATCAGACAATGCCATAGTTTTACTTTGTGTGTCAATAAAAGAATGTTTTAAATATCCTTGCTAACAAGAAGTGAAAGCCGGGGCCGGCCTGGTGGCGCAGTAGTTAAGTTCACACGTTCCGCTTTGGCGGCCTGGGGTTTGCTGGTTCGGATCCCAGGTGCAGACATGGCACCACTTGGCACACCATGCTGTGGTAGGCATCCCACATATAAAGTAGAGGAAGGTGGGCACAGATGTTAGCTCAGGGCCAGTCTTCCTCAGCAAAAAGAGGAAGATTGGCAGCAGATGTTAGCTCAGGGCTAATCTTCCTCCAAAAAAAAAGAAGTGAAAGCCAAGTCAGTGCCAGGGCAAAGATGACTTCTGTGGGCTCACCGAGGTTCCTCTTCCTGGGCAGTGAGGGAGCCATAGCTCTTGCACATGCTCATGGGAGGGAGATTTCTTCCAGGGCCACAGCCTGGACCTGCTGTGACATGGGCACTACTTACTTGGTGACTGTCACAGTGATGTTGGCTGTCCTGTTTGGAAAGGCATTCTCCTCTAGCTGCCAAACTACTGAAAAGTTTGCCTATTAAAAAAAAAGAAGGTCATGTGATTCCTCTCTATACCTCTCACAATTCCAACGCTTCCTGCTAACTAAACGGGCGTGGGAAGCAAAATTCATATTCCCCATATTTTTGTAGCACAGCATCCTTCCACGTCCACTACTCCACGTAAGCCTCACGATATCAATACTGAGTAAGCAGGGAAGACAGCATTATTCCCATTCTACAGGTGAGGAAGCCACTCCAGAAATTTCCCGCAGCACAGAGACGGTCAGTGGCAGATCAGGGACTCGCCTCAGGACTAGTAACTTTAAGCCTGATGTTCCTTCCATCCTACCCCCAGCTTCACTCTGCCATACTGGGGTGAGCCAACGGTTTGTCGAGGCCGTATCCCCCACTCCCGACCCCCTACTTTCAGAGCAAACCTGGCAGTTCTAAGCACTGCTATGGGTTGTACAGTAAAGGGAAGTGTGGGGACCACAGCTGAGATTCAGATGAGACCGGGAAGAAGGTTCCAACTCCAGGGTAGAGACGAGTCCACCAATCAAACCAGACTCACAGACGCCCTCTTGAGGACAGGCTGACCGATCCTGCAGTTCATGACCAGGACAGAAGCAGCTGGCCGGGGGTCATCACACTGAATGTTTGGAGAAGGAGGCTGTTAACACAGAAGACACTGTTCTTAAAGGTCAAAAAAGGGAGCAGTTTCCTCACACGAATTCAACAAACACTCACTGATTTTCCATGTGCCAGACACCCTGCCCGGAGCTGGGGACACAAATCAATCAGACTTGGTTCCTGTCTTCCTCTGAGGTGGGCAGACAGGCTCAGTAGTAAACAGTTGAGGAATTTAAATACAAGGCTTAAGGAGTGGTTCTGTGAGAGGTACAGAGAAAAGCAGTAGAGAAAGAGGTGAATTCCAACTAGGGGGACTCTTCCTGGGGAAGGAGACATTCGAACTGGGGCTCAGACCGCTGCCAATTTAACCTACTGGGATGGGTTGGAAGGCCAGCATAAATCCAAGTTCTGCCATGCAGGCTTTCTCAACCATGGTTCCTCTTCTGGACCACTGAATACAGAAATTTATTTGAGTGACTGTTTTCTTAATTCTCCCAAGGATAGTGCACCACTAGTTCCATTCTAGATGCTTAGGAGACAGTTTCGTTCTTTTCATATAATGGATGCTGTCCTAGCCCAAACGGCCTGAGACCACCACGGACAAAGCTGCAGTTTGACAAAGCCAGGTGTACTGACTCCTTACAATGCGGAAAACTGCACTGTGGTGTGTCACCAAAGAAAAGAAAAGACAGAGATATGAAAGGATTCTGGGGAAGGGTGCAGTTCCAGTGAAATGTAAATGAAGCAGTGTTGGGATAGGCTCAAAGTAAAGCCGGGCTGTGTGTAAAAGGGTCACTCAACATCAGGTCTGGACCCAGGGACCCCTTTCCCTGCAAACTACTAAGTTAAGATGGATGTAGAAAGTTGTGTCCAGAAATGCTTCATCTGAAGCTCCACACTTCAGATGGAAATTGAGACGACTTCTCTTTGTCAAAGTGACTCAGCGTCTCCAGTCAAGAGTGAGATGGTTTCATAATTACAGATGTAACTCCAAACAGCAGTTTCTGATTACTTCTGATTTTAGAGAAGAAAATTTCTCAGTGGTATGATACTTTGCAGCTGCAGGATGTCCTTGGGAGAAATACTGTTTCCTACTCTCTTGCAGCTGACTTTGTGTCTGTGATCCCAGGCTGATGAATGGCAGGGCAGACTCTTACTTTCCTAGTCCAAGTTACTTTATTAGAGATGATTTCTCTTCCAGAACCGTGGTGAAGAGAGGCCGCAGGCAGGGAGGGGTGATTGGGTAGCAGAACAGCAGCCCTGAAGGTTTTGAAGGCGTAGAATGGCATGACTGGATCCATGGCATGTAGTTGGATTGGAGGGGACTCATCTAGTTAATAATCGTTTATTGGACAGGCCAGGATGAGGCTGAGGCAAGAAGACCAGTTAGGAGGTTGCCATAGAAAAGCAGCTATGCAGGGAGGGAAAGCCAGGAGTGGCATGTTTCCAAAACTGCCGTCATAGTTACCTTTTGTATCCTCTTAAAGTGTAAGTTTCTGGGGTAATTCAAAGCCATGCTTGTCATGTAGGAATCTTCCCCAGAGTTAATCAGGCTAATGTTCATGGTCAGCTCCTCTGTGAGACCCACCACCAATTCCTGCCTGCACAGGGTAGGAAAATAGATAAGTGTTACCAGTTTATTTCAGCTGTAAATACAATAGCACATTCTTAACTAACTTCTTAGATAAACTGCCCAGAGGATACATTTGGTCTAGATTTCCTTCCCCTGAACATAAGCAAACACCTGGACTGCCATACCCACCTCAGCCGCTGTGTGAGACGGTCATGGCTACCAAATATTTCCTTAGTGCACACCATGTGACATGGACTGTGCTAAATGCTTCACATGCTCAGTTACCCCTCATAACAACCCTCTGAAAGAGTACAGTTACTCTGCATTTCACAGAGAAGGAGACAAGCCAGGAGAGGCTAACTAATTTGCCGGAGGTCTAGCAGCCTCAAAAGGGAGTTGGGAGCTGGAATCTAAATCCTCTTTCTACCACCGATTCACTGTGACCCTAGGCAAGGTACTTCACTACACAAATTCATTCATTTCACATATATTTATGGAGCACTTTCCCTGTGTCAGCTATGCTGCTCAGCACTGGGGATCAGTGAGACATACACTGTCCCTGCCCCTTTCTTGGCCTCAGCTTTCCCACCCACAAAATCATTCAGGCCCTTCCAATCTAAAGACTGTGGTTTAAAACAGGGGTCTGTTCAGCCTGGAGAAGAGGAGACTGGGGGATTCGTGAGAGCTTCCTGCCGTCCGTCCGCTGAGGTACTGTGGGGCCCCAGAGTACAGAACCTCTATCAGCAATTGAGATCTACAGAAAAACATATTGATACAAAGATGACCATCTAACCATCTGAAATGTTCAAAGATGGAACATGCAGCTCTGGGAAGCAATGTGACGTGTGTTTTGTTGTTGTATTTTTTTTAATTGAGTTCATAATAGTTTACATCAATGTGAGATTTCAGTTTGTTTTGATCAGTTGAGAAAAAGATTGACTGGAGGGGGAGAGAGGACAGAGACAGAGCCTGTGGAAATCCATCTGAGAGACGGCACATTTCTGAAAGAAGAGAGTGTAGTGGGGATGGAGAGAAGGGCTAGAAACCAAAGATAGTAAGGCCATAATGCGAGCAGAGCAAAAAAGAGGAGTCAAGGATGAGTCCTGCGTTTCCACCTTGGATGACCGAGTGGTGCTCTTCAGGAGGGAGAGAACACAGGAGGAAGGCTAGAGGGTGGGAGCTGACCAGGTGAGTTCAGTCTGGGACAGGCTGAAAGGTGCCCATAGGATGACAAGGAGAGATGTTGAAATGTCAGTTGGATATACTGTTCTAGAGCCCAGGAGAGAGATCTAAGAGTCATTGGGATATTTAACAGGGGTTCTTAACCTGGGGGCCAGGGACAGTTTCAGAGGGCCTGGAATGCAAACACTGATGTATGCACATGTGGTCTTCCAGGGACAAGGGGCTGCAGTTCTCCTGAGATTCCTTAGGACATCCATGTCCACAAAAAGGTCGAAAACCACTGAGACATTTGGATGCTAACAATTAGACTGAATACTACTTTTGAAAAAAGAAGAGGCTGCCTGCTCTGTACACTAGGGGGTGATGTAGGGCCAGCTGTGTGTGCTGTATCTCTTTCACAAGGAGTTGGCTGGGAGGGTGGTTCTTGGCTGTAATTAATTCCCTGTTGGAAGCAGCTGCATCTGCTGGTTAGGCTGGATTCCAAAGCACTCGAAAGTCTTGAATTGGATCCTTAGTGATTTAGATGATCAGCGCTAAGCCACCCACATCTGAAACACAAGTCTGCAAATGTCTATGAGAGGGCTTACCAGGACTCAGGGAGCAACATCCTTCCCCATAGATGCCAACTCCGGCCAACTGGCCATCAGTACCGTGTTACACACACAGCGCTAGTAGCCAGGGAGGGCATTTTCACCACATGTTCAAAAGCAAACTCATGATCTCTTCCCACCTGCCTTCCAAAACCGTTATTCCAAAGGCTTTCCCAATTTAGTTCTTGGCCTCGCCACCATGCTAGAATTCATTGTGTTCCAACAGAACTTCTGCAGCAATGGAAATGCTCTGTGTCTGTGCTGTTCAATATCACTAGCCATATGTGGGCACTGAGCACTCGAAATGTGGCTAGTACAACCGAGGAACCAAAAATGTAGTTTTATTTAATTTTAATTAACTTAAATTTAAACAGCCAAATGTGACTAGTGGCTACTGTATTGGACAGCACAGTTCTAGATGCTCAGGCTGAAACCTTGGAAGACTCCTTAGACCCCCTCTCTTTCTCTCACTCCCCACATCCAATCTGTCATCAAATCCTGTGGGCTCTGACTTCAAAATATAACCACCTTCATTGCTAACAGCCTGGCCCAAGTCCCCATCACTTCTCACCCGAGTTACTACAGTAGCTCCTTACTATCTCCCTGCTTTCACCTTTGCCCCCACAGCCTATTCTCAACACAGCAGCAAGAATGACCCTGTTAAAATGCAAGATCATGTCATTCCTCTGGCTTCCCAGCTCACAGTAAAAGCCCTGTGGAGGGCCCCTGGAGCCCCATATGACCATCCCCCTCCGGCCCTCTACTGCAGCCACTCTGATGTCCTGGCCATCCCCCAACCCCAGGCACACTCCCACCTGGGGCACTGGCAGTTACTCTTCTCTCAGACACCCACACAGTTCATTCCTCAATCTCCTCCTGTGTGTACCAACATGTCACCGTCCCACTGTGTCCTTCCCTGACCACTCTATTTAAAACTGCAGCCCCACCCCCACCCAGCACACCCTCCCACCTTCCCTGCCTCATTTTTCTTCATAGTACATCTCAACATAGAATTTACTCATCACCTTCTCCTGCTAAAAGCACCAGGAGGGCAGGATTTTTTGTCTATGTTGTTCACTGATGAATCTCCAGCACCTACGGTGCTTGGCACAGAGTAGATGCTCCATATATATATTTAGTGAATTAATAAATTTGGCTAAGAGGTGAGCCAGGGAAGAAGTTCCCTCTAACTGAGACAGTCCTGAGAGCGAGAGACACTGGGTTATGAAAATAGCATTGTCCATGATGTCAAGAGACCTGGGTCCACATCCACCAAACGACCACTGTGACCCCACGGGGGCCCTGAACCACTGAGTCTATTTCCTAATCTATAAAATGGTAATACAGATCTGTCTTGCCTCCCTCATAGGGTGGCTGAGGACACTGAGATAGTAAATGCAAAAGCCCTTCGTGGGCCCTGAGGGAAGGGGGAGGAGGTGAGCAATCAGTCCTGATGAGGGGTTTGCCCGGTGAGCCTTCAGGAGGAGGATAGTTGAAGAAACCGTGATGACTGGATCCAACTCACTGAGAGGTGGTGATGGCCAACTGTAGCTCAGCGATGCAAAACAGCTTATTCCTGCAGGCCTTCTCATAGGGCAGCTGCAACCAGACAGAGGGGCAGGGTCAGCCCAGGGACGCCATCCCCGGCAGCCTTCCCATAGGATCTTCTCCTCAGGACACGCCTGTCCTTCCTGCTGACTCTGAGAAGTGCAGTTACAGGGAGGAGAAGGCTGACAGGCTGAGGTTGTGTCCACACAGCCGGCCAAGAGAGCTGTGACTGCGACATTCCTTGATCTGTCCTGTGAAGAGAGTCAGGGGCGGGGTGTGCTTGGCCCTACAGCATAGGTACACCAGGAGTCAGGCCTCTGACCGTGGAATGGTGGGAGTGCCCGTCACATTCATATCATGAGAATTAAGCAGCAACATTCACAACTCACTACTTAGAACATTTGGGGGAGGAAAATCTACGTGAAGAAAAGCTTGCTTTCAAGCAGAGGCAGGAACAGCAGGGGCAGGAATGGGGACACCTAGCCAAATATTGTCAAGGTCCAGCCCTGCAAGGTCTTTGTTTCCATGGCTGGTCTCCTCTGTGGGTTAAATGTTCCCCTTGCAATCTTGCCTACACTAAAACAAACGAATTCAGGAAGTCCCATTGGGTCCTAAAGACCCCATCAAGGTTGAAAAGCCCCAGTTTGGGTTGAAAAATCGAATTTTCTAAAGGAGCTGGGTCTATTTTTTACTATGATGGAAACACAGCCAGCTCCTTAACTGGAGACTCTCTGCAATTATCTCCCCAGCAGCCTGCGACCCCCTGGGCAGCTTCACGCAAGGACTGTTACCATGGCCTGGGGGTGGGATGGGAGCCCAGAGCTAGAGAGGAAACCTCCTACTTCCTGGAGAAGGGAGATGCAGTCTGCAGACGTCAGTGCTTGGAGCTCTGTCTGAATGGGTCAACAGTTTGCAGCAGATTTTCTTAGTTTTGTTGTTAATATAGCGAACCCAGTGAGAGAGCAGGATTAAGCCACCTAAGCTCCCAGCTAGAACTCACACTCTGGAAACATCTGTGCATCTAACCTAACACCAAATCATTTCTCCTCACCCATTTTATCAGTGGAATTTTTTTTTTAATTTCTTTACCAAACCATCAAAATAATAATAATTGATTAAGGTAAGAATCATGAATGGATGTTAAACAGGATACATACATAATCTCTAGGCACCTCCCCATAAGATACTTATTAATTACACAAGGAAATAGCACCAGTAATGGGACAAATCAACGTGATGTGCCCCCTGATGCGATGCACGTAGAAGGACACAACTTCACTTCTATGATATTCCTGCCAAAAATGCATAACTGAATCTAGTCATGAGGAAACATCACACAAATTCAAGTTGAGGAACATTCTACAAAATAACTGGCCTGTCCGCTTCAAAAACGTTAAGGTCATTAAAGACAAACAAAGACCGAGAAACTGTTCCAGATTAAAGGAGACTAAAGATAAATGACGACAAATGCAATAAATGGTCTTGGACCAGAAAAAAAATTTGTTTCTTTTGCTATCAAGAACATTAATAAGCCAACTGGTGATATTTTAATAAAGTTTGTAGATGAGACAATAGTATTTTACCATTGGTAATTTCCTGATTTTGATCATGGTACTATGGCTATGTAGGAATGTCTTAGTTATTAGGAAATACACACTGAAGTATTAGGGGACAAAGAGGCATCATATCTGTAACTTACTCTCAAATGGTTCAGAAATATAAGTGTGTGTGTATGTGTGTATTATGTATATGGAGAGAGAGAGAGAGAAAGCATATGTGATAAAATTTGAAAATGTTACATTTGGGGAATCTAGAAAAAGAATGCATGGAAATTTCTTTTGACCACTCTTAGACCTTTTTAGTAAGCCAAATATTTCAAAGTAAAGTTTTAAAAAAAAGCATATAATTAGTGATAATCTACTTATTGACAAACTTCATTACATTAGTTCTCCCAGTCTTTTCTGAATCATCTAACTTGCTGTCAATACCAAATTTTTAAAAATTATTTACAAAATAAATATAGTGTTATAAATTTAAAATAAAGTCTCTTGCCTAAAAAATTAAGGTGACAATCTTTGCTCATAGGGAACCCGATCTGCTCTCTTCCTGGGCAGATGAGCAATGGAAACAGTCCCCCTGATTATGTTGCTCTCTTATTTCTGTTCACTATTTGTGATGGACACATTGGGTATTGACCATAACTGGAGTTAAAGGTTTATATAATTTAATATAGAGCATTTTTGTAAAAATATTGGACAGTTGGGAGTGTCCTATGATTACCTGGAAATATACTTATGTTACCTGAAGCTTTTCTGGGTCAGCGTGAATTACTTTGGCTTTCTATGTTTATTTATGGACACTCAATTCATTCCTACTGACTGTAATTATTACTCTTTAATGCTCATGTTGTCACTTCTTTGATCCTGCTGATTTTTCTATATCCCATCAGACTCTGTAAATGAAGATTGACAGAATATCTTCAGGGTGAGGGCCTGGGTGGAAACAATATCACCTTAGATATCAAAGAATCAGGAAATTTCACTGTTTATTTTCTCCCTCTGATTTCCCTTAATTATGAGAAAAGTTTCTTGTGACACTGCACGCCTATTAGGGTGCAGGTTTGGTGGGCCCTGGGCAGGACCTGGGTAGACAGGTGTGCCAAAGGGCATCCTCTCTGCAGCATGGGGCAGGTGGGCTCCAGTCCAGTCCTCACACAGGACCCCCACCACACTGTCATCAGAGACCTTTCCCAAGCTGAGGAAAGTATTCATATGATTCATTAAATATGCAGCAAGCACTTTTTCTAAACATAAAGGAACTAGCCTTGGGGGTGGTTTGGAGACCTGTGTTACCCACCAATGAGGCCACAGGCAAATTAGTGCTATCTCAGGAACTCATTTCCCCTGTTGGTACAGTGAGAGGGCCAAACGCTGTCGGAAGACCCTCCCAACTCTAACATTCTTTGAAGTTAGGGGAGCAGGTGCTCTCCAGGGATGGCTCCCAGGAGGGTCTGGACACAGGTGTGGGTAGAATCACCTGGAAGATGGCAGAGGGTTCAGTGTAGAGGTCCAGAACAGGGTGGGGATGGTCCCTCCGGCCCTCGGGGGTCTGGAGTTGGTAGCTGACCTTGACACTGATGTTGGAGAAGCAGTCCTCCTCACACAGCTGCGGAGTCACCAAGGAATGCAGGGTTGGAGGTGGACATGGGGGAGAAAATGACAAGGAGAATACTTTAACTTTGATGTAGCCATAGTAAGAAGCAAAAAATGAAAATGGTGAGCCGCAAGTCTTAAGCATCTTCCAAATCAGCCAGGCTGGAGGGAAACTTCCTTTAACCAAGCTGCCAAGGCTGTGGAAACATCTCCCGTGATCTGCCATGGGCTCAGATGGCATAGCTCCTTATGGTTCCCCCAATCACAAAGGGATTCTGGCCATCAGGAGTTAAAAACAGACTTGGCCTTTATTCAGAGGGCAGATGGGAGCCATGGAAGGGAAGAGTCACAGTCACATCTGTGTTTACGAAGATCTTTCCCAAAGCAGCATGGAGGACACACTCGAGAGGTAAACGCTGCAGAGAAGGAGACTGTTGGGATGCCATTAGCATTCTCTCTGTTCAGCGAGCCTTTCAGCCACGGTAGGAGCTCTGAGCACAGGAGAGCAGGTGAGCATGATTCCCGGGGTGGGGGGAGTGTAGTGACGCTTTTATTTGAGGAAGCCATATACTTGCTGGAAACGCTTTCTTAACCCAGTTAACAATCAGGAAAGACGTGTAGCCAGAGGCATAATTTATGAGTTTATTGGAATAAACAATCCTTATAGGGCCAAAGTTCTAGGTCCTGTCAGTCTCTGAGTCCTGACGAATACAGTTTTTCATGTCTCTAGGCACCTTTGTCAGGAATAAACCTTTGTCAGTGATAACTTGTCTTTCTATTTCTACTTTCTCTCATTCGATTTTTCTGATGTGGATTCAATTCACAAAAGGGCCCTCAGCCCCACTGTTATTATCTGGTGAGGTTAGATGGCATGTGGGAGGGACCCTTCTTATTTCCAATTTATTACCAAGAAAAATGTCAGCAATTAGAGCACTTCCCTTTTTGTCCAGCTTCTAGGAAGCTCAGAGATATAGCTAGTGTTCAATTTCAGTAGGTTTTTTTAATTTGGATTTCTGGTATAATTAACCATCTCCCATGCCATTATGTGGCTCCTGATCTATTACAACAATCTGAACTGCATAATTTGCATGTATGCATATGTGTCTTCATTGCATGCACCTCAAATCTTTTCTCAACAACACAGGACCCTCTGGACTCTCTTCAAAACTCCTCCACTTACCTCTCCCTCTGTGGGGATGAGCAGGAGGGGCTCACAAAGACGGGACTCGCTGCTCCACTTCCTAAGGTAGCTCTGACAAGTTCTCCTGTCTGGACACTGCAGCCTCTTCCTCTGCTTCACCACGTCCACATCCAATGTGAAGTTCAGAGATGATTCTCTGAGGCCTGGGAAGGAAGACAGGATCTCCCTGATGAGGTTGGGATGGGCAAGCCCCAGACTGAGGGCCCTGCAGCCTGCCTGAGATTCCTTATGAGCCCCCCCGAGCGGTGTCCCCATGCAGGCCCTTCCCTGGGGCTGGACTCCTGAGTTTCTTCCTTTCAAAGGTACTTTTCCCATGATCTTCTGGCACCTGACTAGGGTCTCTCAGTGCCCCAGCCCCAAACCCAGAGCAGCACATGCCCAGGGCTGAGTCAGTTTTCCTTAAGGGTGAGGAGGGCTCAGGGAAGACGCTGGGACGGAGAGAGGAAATGAGGAGGAGGATAAATAATGCAGGGAATGGAGAGAGAAATCAAGGAGTAAATCCTGAGGACAGCAGAGCTGGAAGCACCTTGTAGACTACCTGGGCCAACTTCCTTACTGTACATAACAGAAATCAGGGCTCAGAGAGTGTAAGACACCCGCCCAGTGTCACACAGCCATTCAGCAGCTGGCTCTGTAGCCTGAATCTTTTAGCCTATACAACTGGAACTGATAGGCCTATCATTTTCTCCCCCCAGACGTGATAATGGCCTCCTTATGCAGTAAAACCACCCCACCTGGGAGAGTGCTTTCTGCCCTGAGGGAAGCAGACATCTCAGAGATTAAACCTTGGGGACTGTTGCTGAGAGATTATTCTGGAGGGGAGCTGTTGGGTTGGCAGTAATTACCTGAGCTGTGAAAGCCATGCCCACCCTCTGCCTTCTGGAAACTCTCCCCCCAGTGGCAGGTAAGGGAATGGGAAGAGAGACCAGGCCTCTGGCAGGTCATCCAATCCCACCTGGACCAGGAGACAGTGAGGAGGGAAGCAGAGATGATGTAAATCAGAGAGAAACAGGAAGGGCCCTTCTCAGGAGCCCCTCCACATATGCTCATGTGAGGGCTCAGTAGGTGGAGATGGAGAAACGGCTGCCTTTTTCTGAGTCTTCTTTCAGAAACTCAACCCTGAGGAAGGGATCCAATGCCCCTCTTCCCAACAGGGTCAGATAAACCCCTTCAGAGTGTGGACTTAACAGTAGTCACCCTCTTCCAGGGCAGTTCCCATTAAATGGAACCTAATGTCAAAGGAGCGAAGCTCTAACAGAGGGATTTCAACCACCAGGGCCTCATAACAACTGCTCCCGCCCCAGCCCTGTTTCCCTGGCCCCTACTGAAGCCAACAAGGAATGACCACAGCACAGGGTGGGTCGGCGAGGCTGCCTGTTACCTGACTCAGCAGCTGTGGTCACAGAGCTGATTTCAAAACACAAACACACATTCACGCTACTGTTGAAGCCAATGGGCAGTGCCTCGGGGGTGAAGGTCATGGACACCTTCAGGCGAACCACAGGTCTTGAGCTAAACAAGACAGCAAAGAAGACCGTGAGAAGTGACCATAGGACTTCCAGGTCAGCGCTTGGCTGATTCATTCATTCAATGAATATTTACTGAACATCTCCAATATGCCAAGGGCTATTCTGAGTCCTCAGGATACGGTAGGGAAAGAGAAGTCCCTGCTCTAGTGGGACAACAAGCAAATAAACAAGAAGAAACAGGAAAATGCTATGTACTGGTAACGCTATGATAAATATAAAATAGGAGAAGGTAATAGAGTCTAGGGGCTACTTAGGTTGGGCGGTCAGGGACGGCCTCCCTGATGAAGAGACATTTAAGTTGAGATCTGTTAAGAGGACAGAGCCAGCCATGTGGTGATCTAGGGGAACCACGTTCCAGGCAGAAAGCACAGCTAGAGCACAGGGCCCGTGGGAGGGATGAGCTTGTTTGTTTGAGGAACACAAAGGTCAGCATGACTGGAGCACAGTTAGTGAGACAGAGGGTAGTAACAGAAGATGGGGATGGAGGGGTGGTGGGGCTGGCCACGGGGAGGGTGGGCCATGATAAGGGATTTGGACTTTAAGTGGGAGCCACGGAGGGGTTTGAAGCAGCAGAATGAGGGATCACTGCTGCTGTGTGGGGAGCAGAGCACCAGGAGCGGACGCAGGGAAGAATGCCATGGCAGTGGTCCAGACGAGGGATGACAGTGCCTTATCTTGGGAGGTATTTTGCAGCAGAGCCAACAATAACTTGTTGTTGTGGCAGGAGGAGGGAAAAGAGTTATCAAGGATGACTCCTGGGTTTTGTCCAGAACAAATGGCACCATCTGCTGAGATGGGAAGCCTGGGGAGGGGCAGGTTGGGGAAGAATGGGGTTGAGGTGAGAATAAAAGGTCCATTTTTAGACACGTTAACTTTGAGATGCCTGTGAGCAACAGCCAAGAGGGGCGTTGAGGAGACAGCCAAGTCTGGAGCTTAGCGGAGAGCACCAGGCAGACAGGTGCTCTGCCAGGTCATTTAAAGCCACAGGACTTGATAATTCACTGAGGACAGAGCACAGAAGCTCTGATATTAATAATAATGATAGCCGTCACTGAGCACTGTCTAACACTTCGCATATAGTCTCTCAATTACTCCTTATAACTCTGTGAGGTAGGTGCTATTATTATTCCCAGTTATAGATGAGAATATTGGGACCTAGAATTCAATAACCTGCCCGAGGGCACACCGTTCAGTGAGAGCTGAGGCTCAAACCCAGACAGGCAGACTCCAGAAACTGTGCCCTTAACCACCACGCTTTCTCCCTCTCATCAGTGTCTTAATGGGGTCATTTAGGGCAGGGCACCTGGGTGAGGCCAAGGCCTGGGACCCAAGAAGGCAATGCAGACCCCTACCGGAACACGGCCGCCCGGCCCAGAGCACCCACGGTGATGTCAGCAAGCCCGTCGCCACTGAAATCTAAGCCACCTGCCATGGACATGCCGAAGTAGTGGAGTCCTGCAGCCACCGCCGAGGCTCTGATCCGCTGTGCAGGGAGAAACACATGCCGTCGGGGAGGAAAAGGGGAGTCCTTTGGGTTTTATTCTAATCAGCAGATCAACCACAGTCCCCACCCCAGGAAGCCCTCAATCTAGGAACTGCAAAGAGAAGGGCAAGTTCTCCCAGGGGAAGTGACACTTGAATGGAGCCTGGAAGGGCAGGCGGGACTTGACAGAGGCAAGTGAGGACAGCAGCGGGTGGGGAAGAGCACGGTCAGCTGAGGAAGCAGCCAGGGGCCAGTGCGGTGGGAACTGGAGGGATTTGGGTGGAAACAAGGAGGCCTGATGTGGGGCTGGAGTGTAGGGGTGGGAGTGTCTAGTCAGAATTACAGTTTACAGTCGCCTTTTAAAGATGCTGGGTGGAAGAAGAGGAGGAGGCGGGATCTGGGGCAGGGGTGGCGGGGATGGAGGGGAGGGGCTGAATTGGGAGAGAGCTAGAATCATTAGGACGTGGTGGCTGACAGGCTGCCGGGTGTCCCGTGTCTGGGATTACCCTGGGTCTCTGGTGTGAGGAATGAGGGGATGGGGCCCACAGAAGCAGCAGGTCTAGGGGAGAGGATGCTGTCGGTTGGGCAGTTTGAGCGAGATGCCTGGGAGCCATCCAGGTGAGGTGCTCAGGAGGCTGCTGGACATACAGGACTGAAGCTTAGGAGAGAAACTGTAGTTGGAGTGGGTGAAAGTGCCCGTAAAAAATGCAGCATGAGAGGCTGGCAGTGGGGCCCTGCGGGATGACAGTTCAGGCATGGAGGGGTTGGTAGGGGACAGGAGTCAGGGAAGGGACAGAAAGAGAGGAAGAGGGGACCTGAGGCAGGTCCATGGTCAGGAATGCCAAAGAGGGAGGGAGCCATGGGTCAGCGGAGCAGACGGATATTGCCACAACCTCTCCCTGCTCCTGAAGGGTCTGGGGTGAGGTCCTGGCCTGGAACTTCCCATGGGCCCGAGTGGCTTCTGTCCTTCATTGGGCACTCCCAACCCCCTGGGACCTGCCTGGCACTTAGGATGGGAGCTGACTCGGGGCTCAGGCCATCACATTAGGGGGAGGTCGGAGCCCTAGAGGAGAAGTAGGAGTGAGCCCTGCAGGTCACCTGTGAGGGGCTGGTGGAGAGGCCATCCCGACGTCCATTGTAGATGTACACGCTGCCGAAGCTAGTGCCACCATCTGACCCCAAACCCTCCAGGGGGGCCCCAATGGCCACATCGGTGAGCTCATCCTGATTGATATCCCCCACTGTCGCCATGGCAAAGCCAAATCGGGCCTCAGTGAACCCGGAGTACCCACTCAGCATGCATGCCAAGGAGAAGGAACCATCCTGAAAAGCAAACAGGCAGCTCAGTCCTGAAGACAGGGATGCAGAGGGCCTACCCCATTGCCACCCCAGGACGCATGCTCACTGGACTTGCTGATTCTGATTCTCCAGCAGGGAGGCTGAGGCTCAGAAAAGGCAAGGGACCTTCCCAAGATCTCACGGCGAGCCAGTGGTAAAGTTGGGGTCCTCCTACCTTGCAGTTCAGGACCCAGAGCCCACCCCACTCTGCTCCCACAGTTGTGGGTACTGAACTGGCAATTGGGAGGCCTGGGTTCTAGTACTGGCTCTACCACACACTTGCTATGTAAACTTGGGCAAGCCTCAATGTCACTGAGCCTTAGCTTCCTCATCTGCAAAATGGGAGTGACGGCTACTTCCCATAGTCACTGTGAGAAACAGTGAGATCACAGACCAAATGTGCTTTGTCAACTGTACAGCTATTTCCGGTATTATCATCATCAGCATGAGATGATGGGGTGGGGAAAGTGAGCAAGCGAGGTGGGAGAGGGCGTGGAGCAGCTGCCCCACCAGGCCGCCATCCACCCAAGGCACCTCCCATCCCTGCCCTCCTGTGCAAGGCAGGGCCAGGGCGCTCCCAGCCTCTGTCACTTCTGCACCAGGCTGAGGAGCCACAGCCTCAGCAAGCTTGCAAAGATGGAGACTCTCCCACCTGCTCATTCAGACGGTACACATAGACTCTGCCTTCCTCTCCATGAACGTGGTAAAACGGAGCAGCCACCAGCAAGAAGTCCGTGGTCCCATCCATGTTAATGTCCACAGGGCACAGCTCAGAGCCAAAATAGGACCCCATCTACAGCCCAGGAGGAACTCAGCTCACAAGATTGCTGGGGAGGCCCCCTCCACCACCCCTCAGCAAGGCTAGATGCCTGCTCTTGCTCTTCCTGGACCACCAAATTTGGGTCATTCCAGATCAAGGCAGGGGGCTGGGTGAGAAGCCTGATCCCCCTCGACAGAGGAAACCAGCTGGTGATCAGATATGCAGAGCAAGGCAGAGCCACTGAGTTCTGCCTAAATTCTTCCCAGGCTGGGTCCCCAACCCACTGCGAGCCCTGGGCCCATCCCTTTCCCTCTGAGGCCTCCAGATCCCTGATCTGTACTAAAGCAGGGGGGGAGGGACCTTCCCTGCAGGTACCTGCTCTCCTTCTAGCACTGGCATGAAGTTGGTCTCGCTGCCCTCCTTCTGGAGCTCAAACACGGCCCCTCGCTGCTTGTGCCGTGGAGCCCCCGCCACATAGGAGAGGCCACAGGCCTTGTGCAGAACAGCCACAGAGTAACCTGGGGCGGGGGTGGTACGGTTGTGAACAAGAGCGCCCACCTGGCCACTCCTTTGGCCCCCACCTTCCCAGCCACAGTTTCCAGGTGGCCTGGGCACAGGGCAAAATAGGAGAGACTGTCTTTCTCATTCTTTTAAAAATCGGCATCAGTGAGTGCTCCCACCTACCCACTCTTGCCGGTCACACACACAAGTGCCCCTTCACACAGATGTGATATATACACATTATCATACCTACAGCTTCGCTCAAAATACCCTCATTCACATACATTCACCACCCACATTCATCACACACGCAGCATATGAGGACAGAGGTGAGGGGCGAAGGGTCACCCACCACTATTATTAATGGCGAGGCCCCCCCTTCCCTAGGCAGGTAACCAGGTAACCAAGGCCACCCATCCCTTCAAGTACTGAGCAGTCCCTGTCCCCACCCAGGAGGCCTAATTATCAGCCTTGGGGACCCTTACTAGGAACCATCCCTCACTCCATGTGACCGACCAAGGCCTGCCTAGACTAGGAAGCCTAGTGCAGCCCAATGCACAGCCTCAGTGTCCCTGTCTAGGCCCTGCCCCCACCCAGGTAGCCATCAGGCCCCGCCCCCACCCAGGTAGCCTCCAGGCCCCGCCCTTACCCAGGTAGCTGAATGGCGCAGCGTTGGCATCTGCCGCTGTCTGGTTCAGGAAGCGGCCCTGGCGACCATGCATGTCATAGAGCAGTGCGCCCCCTGACCAGTTAAAGGCCCCAACGGCACCCAGCAGCAGCTGCCCCTGCAGGGAACCAGGGTTGGAGGCCATCAGAGGGGCCAGCCACAATGGGCGCGGGTCTACCAACCAGCACAGGGACCTTGGGGGGCGTTCAGTGGCCCTGAGCCCACCCAGCCAGAGATGCAGGAGGAAGATGAGATGGCAAACACTGGGTTCCCGCCTGATATGCATTACCCTGTCAGGACAGCTGTCCCTCCAGTACCAACCACCCCCAGAGCAGAAAGCCGACCCAGGGTCCAGATACTGAGCATTTAAAAAGTATGATCGAACAAGACGGTGCTCATCTCCTTCGCTGCAGGTTGCCCAGTCGGGGCCTGGCACACCGGCCCACCTGTGTTGCATGATGGTGCTAACCATGCTTCCACCACGCAAAGGACCATGTCCTCACAGTCCTGGATCTCTCCCCATCTGTGGGCAACACTGCCTCCACTAGGGAGAAGTCCTCAATTTGGTTGGCAAGCTGACCCAAGACAAAGCCTGTGTTTAGTCTGTATTAAGGGAAACTGCTCAGTCCTTAAGCACAAAGAACAAAACGACTTCCTGGAATAAATATGGGCCACTCTTTTGTCTTCCTCAAAGGTCCAGATTGGGCGAGCAAGCAGAAGTGTTTCCTTTATCTCAAATGGCTCCTTCAACGGCACCACAACAGGAGGGCAGAGCCCTGCACTGTGAGCCAGAGATCCCTGGGTCCCTGGGTGTCTCGGGGACCCCGCCTCAGTGGCAAGCCTGCCTGGTGCTGAGTCAGCCACGTACCTCATCCAGGATCTGTGCACTGAACCCGATCTGTGCCAGCTGGTAGTGGAAGGCATCTCCGACCGTGCCTGGAAGCCAAGAAGCCCAGAGGGACACTGCTATGGGGCCAGGTGAAGGGAGGAGCCAAGCCAGGGAAGGGTCCACTTCACCTGCCCCCCAGAGGAAACCATGTCTGGTGTGATGGGAGGAGCACCAGGCTGGGAGTAGAGACCTGGGTCCTGCTTAAGTACTGGCAGAATAGCTGGGCATGTTTCTGGGCCTCAGTTTCCTCATCTGTGAGCTCTGGGAGCAGGAATCATGCCTCTTTCTCTGGCACCAGAAAGAGCTTCTCATCAGAGCTTCATGGAATTTCAGGGAAGTGAGGAGGGCTGGGAGATTGTTGCCTTTTTAGAGATGGAACAGCTGAGGCTCAGAGAGGTGACGGGAGTTGCCCAGAGTGCCACATGGACGTAGGAGAGGGTGGGGCTGGAGCCCAGGGCTCGGGCCCTCTGCCGAATGCCGAGGGGCTGCCACAGGGTGGCCAGGGCCCAGGAGCCCTCACCTTCCATGGGAATGATGTTCTGCTGCAGTTTGCTCAGCAGCCCATCCAGTGCTGCGTAGTTGGTCACCTTGAAGGCATGGGTCTCATCGGGGTCCGAGGCGATCAGCTTCAGTTCCTTGTCAGTCTTAGCCTTCTGAAATGCCTCTCCCACCTGCACAGAGGGCAATGGGTCAGCGCTGCGAGAGCTGGCCAGTTCCCAAGCCCTGAGGGCCTTCCAGGCCCAGGGAGAGGGCTAAGCCCCTCTGCCTGGCCTTCAGGATCTTCTGTCACCTGCCTCCTTCTTTCTGTTCCCTCTGACTGCAGAGCCTGTCCCACCTCCCCTGTGCCCTAGGTCAGCTCCTCCTGTTTGTCCCCCAAGAATCGGTCCAGCACCATCTCCCCCTTGGACATCCAGGACCCCTCCCTGATGTCCTTCCTGTGGGCTCCCCAAGTGTCCACTGCTCTCCCATCACTGCTGGGCAGGTGAGCTGTGACCACCATTGGGAAATGAGCCCTCTGTGGGGAGACCCACTGCAGGGGTCTGGCTGGGAGGAGAAGTGGTGAGTGAGCGTGAACAGAGCAGGGTTTGGGGGAGCCGCTTACAGAAGCCCCTATCAGGAACCTTGCTCCTCCCCACCCAGGCCATACAGGGTCAGGAGGTGCCCCCTGCTCCTGGCTCTTACCCCAATGGCAAAGCGCTCAACACCTTGCATCTTTGGGGAGTTGATGACAGTCGTGAGGTTGAGGGGGTCTCCGAATATGTCCCCATCAGTGAGCACCACCATGATCTTGGATGCCTTTTTTCTGGAGCTGTGGCTTGGCGTGAAGATGTGGTCTCTAAGTAGGGGAGAGTAAATGAAGAGGAGAACTTTGCCAGTGGGATGACCGAGCTCTAGGAGATTTTATTCCCTGGCCTGCTTCGAATTGGCGAGAATAAAGGAGCCCTCCCAAATGGGGAATAAAGGCCCAAAGACGAGTGGTGATGGCGGGTGGAGGCAGGGCTGCAACACAGGTGTTCTTGCCCCGCACCTGCTCCTAAGAGAAAGGTGCTGGACAGCACTTGAGTCTATTCCTTATGTGTATGCATAGGAATAATACTAATAACCATGGCTAATACTTACAAAGCACCATGTGCCAGGCACTGTTATAAACACTATACATAGTTTAACCCATTTAATCCTCGCAAAATCCTAGAAAGCAAGTACTGTTATTATTCTCATTTTAAAAGTGAGGAAATTGAAGCACAGAGAGATTAGACAATTTGCCCAAGGTCTCACAAGTACAAACTGGAGCTGAGATGCGGACCCAGGCAGCCTGCCCCTGAGCCCATCCCTGTAAGCACTGTGCTCTCCCGCCACTCACAAGAGAAGTCTTTGGAAGAATTTATGGAGGACAGTCTTGGGGTGTCATCCATCAGCCAAGGCTGGATTGAAAGACCTCGCATTCCCCTCTCAGCCAAGGAAGAGCTAGAACCCTGGTCCTTCCTCCTCGCAGTTCTGTCCAGCTACCCTCTCCAGGCAGGGTGTCTCAGAGCCTCTGGGCAGGGCCATGGGCTGGCGCCTGGGAGGTACTCAGGACATGCTGCTCTCACACTCACAGGACATGCTGCATGGCAGAGGCAGTCTTGGTGACATTCCCCACTTGAGTGATGTTCTGGACTCTGGCCAGGGAGGCCATCACATCCTGGCTGTCCTGAAGGTCAAACTCAGTCTGGATCACTTCGCCGTACTGGACCAGGGCAAAGCTGCACTGTAGGGGAGGGGTCAGTCGAGGTGGGGAGGAGGTTGGCAGAGTCACCATGCCCAAGGCCACCCATGCCCCTTGGATAGCTCCCTCTGGAAGCAGTGGGAGAATCCTCTCAGCCCTCCTGTCTCCAGGCAGGAGGAGATGCTAAGGCAGAGGGAAATCTCTAAGCAGGTAGGGGTAGAGGAAGGTATGACAGTAATGGCTCCCGGAGAATCTCAGACTTCTCCCTTAATCTACGTCCCTGTGTATCTCCCTCCCCTGCAGTCCCCATAGGATTGGCCATGTGACTTGCTTTGGCCAATGGGACATCAGCAAATGTGATACAATCAGAGACTTGAAAAGTGCTTGCCCACATTGGGTCTTGCCCTCTTGGAATGTTGCTGCCATGACAAAGTTGGGCTGGCCTGCTAGAGACACATGGCCTGGACAAGTGAGGCCATCTTAGGCCGTCCAGTCCCAGTCAAGCAAACAGGCAACTGCAGCTGCGAGAGTCACTCCAAGCAAGACCAGCAGCAGAACCACCCAGCCGAATCCAGCCCAAGTAGCTGACCCACAGAACGGTGAGCAGATAAATGGTGGTTGTTTCGAGAAAGTTTGCTCACAGCAATAGATAAGTGATGGACTGTGTGAGTCCAGCTCTAAGGGAAGCCCACCTCAAAGCACTTTTCATAGAAGTTCCTCATCATGTTGGAGATGAAGTCCTTGGCTCTCTGGAAGTCGGGGGGATCAATGCTTCCCGAGCCATCCAGGATGATGGCGATCTCAGTGCCTGGGCCAAGAGGGAGCAGGTCAGGAGTGGGCATGGAATTTTGGGTAGGAGTGAGGGCAGTATGTCCTGCCCTGTGAGCACCCACTGCAGTCAAGCCCCGAGGGCTCAGTTCTGGGAGGAAGTCGGTGAAGCTCCCAAGGGTGAAGCCTTTGTCTCAGAGGCAGGGAGACAGCCAGAACCTGCTCCTGCTTTGACTTGCTGTGTGAGTCACTCCCATCACTCCCACTCTCTGGGCCTCAGTTTCCCCATCTGTAGGATGGAGGCAGGCAGAACTGGGACTGGCCAGGCCTGGAGAATCCGGCCACTGCTCCCCATCTCCCAGACCTGGGCGCACCTCACCCCTAGAGGTCACCAGCCAGCCTAGGGGTCAGCTCTGACAGTCTCTGCGAGCAACCCAGATCTGCCTCTTCTCACCAGCTGCTTCCTCCTCTTCCTCCTCCTCGTCACCTGGCTTCAGAGCCCGGCGTCGCCTGGCTGCGTTCTCTGTGCTGCCTTTTTTGCTCCTGTAGCAGTCTCCAGCATCCACATGTGCTTCAGGATCCAGGAGATTTTCTTTAAAAAATATACATGGAAGAGCTCAGAGTCAGACGGCCTCCTTGTTCCCCTCCAGGCAAGCCCACACTTAGCTCTGCCCTGATTCCCTTCACGGGAGGCCTAGGCCTGCCTTGCCCTCTCTGGGCCTCTGTGTCCTGCTACATCTGCCATGGGCTGGTGCCTCTCTTTGGAGGCCTGAGAGACCTCTTTAGAGCTGTCCAAGGCCAGCGAATGTCCAATCCTTACCAAGGTCGGAGAAGGAGACCTGGGCCTGGGGACGGAGGTCAGGGGCCAGTAGGCTGCAGGTGCCTGTGAGTTCCAAGCTGAGGCTGTGGGGTTGCCGAGCCAGCACTTGGATGCAGATCTGGGGGACAGAGGGAAAAAGGGAGGGGGAAGCCTGGGTCACCCCCAGCCCAGCCTCCCTGCTCACAACCACACCATCACCCCCATCCTAGAACCAAGTGCCTCAGCCAGACAGGGTGTGCAGGAACAGCTTGCTCACCCCTCTGCAGGGGTAGGAGTCAGTGCTGGGAGCAGTGTGCTGGGTCACATGGAGTGCCCGGATCAGAGCCACGGTCAGCCCTGGGGTTGGTACCAGGGAGACTGCTGGGCTCAGCCCTGAGGATGACATGCCAGTCAGGAGTGCTGTCAACACCAGTCAACCACAGGGGCTAGCACCAGCCTCCCCGATGCCCTCCACCCTTCCACCCCATGCACACTCACCAAAACGCCGTGGTGGTTTCCGACAACTGTCACTCCCCGGTGCCTCCCCTTGGGGATGGGGACATGCTCTGAAAAATACGTTAAGTCCACGTAAGGAGGGAGGGACACTGGGAGGCAACCCTGGAGCCAAGGTCAGAGGGCACATGGCCACCTGGTCAGGGCCCCATGAGGAACTGTTGGCCACTCAGAGCGGCCTCTAGAACCTGGATGGGGGCCTTCGAGAACAGGTCTGGACACACCCAGGGTGAAGTGCCTATCCCCTAGGCTCATTCACTGACTCATTCAACACACGCCCGGTGATGTCTGCTCTGTACCCAGCCTTGTGCCAGATGGTGATGGGGATCTCGAAGTAACTGAGACCTGCTGCTTTTCCTGCAGGGGCTCCTGGTCTTGTGGGGCAGGTGAGTAGAGAAACACTAGCTGGTGGGTGTGTGCAGCACTGGGGAGGTGTGCAAGATGCTGAGGGACTGGCTGTATGGACCCATCAAAGACCCATCTCTGGGGAATCTTACTGCCCTACAACCCTGGGGGCAGAAGTGGTAGCTCCTTCCTCTCCCTCCCAGTATAGGCCTCAGGAGACTCCATTTTTGAGCCACAAAATCACCCAGTCACCCTGCTGGACCATATCCCCTTCTGAGGCTGTTCAACACAGTGCCTCACAGAGACAAGGACTCTGGCTTGCATAGCCAAGGGGTCATCAGCAAATGTGTGCCTGCAGTCAGATCGGGTGGGATGGGTAGAGTTTGGTTAACAAGTGAATTAGGTCCATTCATTTGTTCATTCACTCATTCAAACAGCATTTATTGAGCGCCCAGTATATGCCAGGCCCCATAGACACTAGGATAGCCACGGTTAGATTGGGAGGGGTAGAGTTGGACTCCATTAAGGTGTGGGGAGGTGGGATGGGCTGGGTTCTGGAATCAGGTGGAGCTGTGTTTGCATCTGTGGTGCCGCCAATACTAGATGCGTGACCTTAGTCATACTGGCAACCCCAGGACTTCTCTGAATGATAGCTTCCTCTTCTGTAAAACGGTGTGGTTTTGAGGATTAAAAGTGGATGAAGAAGCACTTAGCGGAGTGCCGGGCACATGGTGAGCACACATTACATTTTAGGTGTTGTTTTAGCATTGGGTCGGGAAAGGTGGGCTGGGGATTAGGGTTGGGTTGGGATGGGGCCGGGCACTGGGATTGACAGCCTGCTATGGATGGTGGTGGAGACTAGGGAAGAGGGACAGATGAGGTGGGGCCGGGGTTGGAATGGTTTGGGCCAGATGAGCGGGATCCTAGAAAGGAGGTCCTGGGAGCATTCCCTGGAGCTGGGGCTGACTCACCTACTGGTTGGCAAAAGAGCTCGTCCTGGGTGAGGGAACATCGATGCAGGGGCTCTGCTGTCCTGTTTGTTCTAGGGCTGGTGACCAGGAGCCTGAGTGGGAGGGTGGACAGCACAGTTGAGCTGGTTGATGATTCCCTTCTCCTCTCTGCCTGCCCAGGCACCGTCTTCCCATTCCAGGCCCACAGACTCACAGGCTCCCTGTCTGGAAAACTGTGGAGAAGGCCCAGGCCTGGGAAAGGCAGGCAGACCGTGCATTATGCAGAAGGCATTTGCTCAACCTCTATCTTTGACAGCTCCAGCAGGAAATGGTGAAATGCAACCCCTCTTTGCCTCCTGGCCCAGCCTCCCAGAGATGGGGTGACACTGGTGGTAAATAAAGACTCTCTGCACTTTGGTGTTGTGGAGGGAACCAGGAAGCCACCAGCAGCACAGCTGGTTCTGCTGGAGACAGTGCTGTTTTCCTAGTGGCCGCCAGGGGGGCCTGCCCCACTGGCCTCAGTGACACCGGTGCGCCTCTCCTGAGTCAGTCAGAACCGGAGGTTTCCGGGGTGGGTGCCTCAGCCTGATTAAGGCAGCCCCAGGAGATGTGATTTCCAATGGCAAACTCTGCCCCCCGCCCCAAGCCCAGCCCATGGAGACAGCAGAGTCCAGTGTCAGCCTGGACATTCTCACTGCCCACGCTGCCCAGGGAGGACTGGGCTGCCGAGAGACAGGGAGGGAGCTCCCCGTCCTGGGGGCTATGAGTAGGGGGTATTGGGGAAAAGGCCCTGAGTCTGGGCTTGGTAACAGTGAACCAAGTCCAAGGTCTTTATGCTGAGGGCAGTAGAAAGCCACAGAGGACTTTTATAAAGGGGAAGCACACGATTAGTCTGCTTTCCAAAGGTCATGATGCGGCTGTGGTGGGTTGGGAGTCGGGGCAGGAACGAGACACTGTCTCCACTTCCTCACCTCCCATCCCTCTACATCTTCTAAAATTATGAAATACATCATTTACTTTATCTCCAATGTTTGCAGAATAAGAATAAAGTCTATACCTGTGTGTGTGCCCCACTCGGCTGACTTCCCACCCTCTGATACAGCTCCTGTCAAGGTCACCAGTGGTCCCCATGTTGTCAAATCCAACAGACACCTCTCTGTCCTCATCTTCCTCCACCTCTCAGCAGCTCTGGACATAAGCGACCACCTCCTCCTTGAAACACTTTCTTCTTGATTTTCTCCTACCTCTCTCCTTACTCCTTCTCAGACTTCTTTACTGGCTCCTTCACTGTCTGACCTCTAAAAATGTCCCTGGAGTCCTGGGGCTGGGTCCTTGTTTTCCTTGCCAGCACACTCCCCCTAGTGATCCCCTCCAGTTCCACAGCTTCAATACACCCATAAATGCTGAAATTCCTACCTTTATATCTGCGGCCCTAGGACCCCTCCACCAGAAGTTAGACCAGCATAGCTGTAGAAAGCAGAATAATGGTCCCCCAGAGATATCCATGTCCTCATCCCCAGAACCTATGAATATGCTACTTTTTATGGCAAAAGGGGTTTTGTAGATTTAAGTTAAGGATCTTGAGATGAGGAGATTATCCTGGATTACCAGGGGCAGGGAGAGGGGCAATGTAATCATGAGGGTCCTTATAAGAAAGAGACAGGAGGATCAGAGTCAGAGCAAGATTTAAAGATGCTACACTCCTGGCTTTAAAGACGGAGGAAGCGGCCACAAGCCAAGGAATGCAGGTAGCCCCTGGAAGCTGAAAAAGGCGAGGAAAGATTCTCCCCTCGAGCCTCCAGAAGGAACACAGCTCTGCTGACACTGATTTTAGTCCAGTAAGACCCATTCTGGAGACTTCTGACCTCCAGCACTGTAAGATAATACATTTGTGTTGTTTTAAGCCACTAAACTTTTGGTAATTTGTTACAGCAGCAACAGGAAACTAATACAATAACCAACTGCCCATTGACTAAGAGGCATCGCAAATTTAGAACATCCAAACGGAAGCTGTGGTCTTGTCCTCCCATGCCTGCGCCTTTCCCTCTTCCCAGCAACATAGGGCGCCACCAACCAGGGCGTTCTAAAGCCGGAGCCTGGGGGCATCCTTGCTTCACCTTTTCACTCATCACCCAGATCAAGTCCACCGGTAAAGCCTGTTGGGTCTTCCTCCAACATATACCTAGAGAGCATCTCTTCTCTCCATTTTCCCTGCCGCCATCCTGGCCACCATCATCTTGCCTGGTCTATAGCAATAGCCTCCTCTCTGTTATTTTTTGGTTTTTCAATTTACTCTTGTAATTTACACCATGTCACTCCCCTGCTGCAGCAGCCTCCCACGCACTAAGAAGAAAAGTCGTACCCTCTACTGCAGCCCACGGGGCCTTGCACGATCTAGCACCTCCCTGCCTCTGAGACGCCCCTGCTGCTCCTCTGCTCTCTGAGCTCCAGCCCCACACTGGCTGGCTTCTGCTCCTAGACACCCTCCAGCTCCTACCTTCCTTGGGCCCTGCGCCTTGCCGTGCCCGCTGCCTGGAACCCTCGCCTCCCACTCTCCCCTAGGCCAGCTCCTTCTCATTCCCAGGCCTCGCTTAACTGTCACCTCCTCATAAGTGCTTTCTCCAACCAGCCCCACCTCACAACCCAGTTACTCTGCTTCGCGTTACCCTGTTTTATTTCCTTCTCAGAACTTGTCACATCTGATAGTATCCTGTGTACGTGTTTATGTGCTGATTATCATCTCTCCCCAGACTGTAAGTTCCCCAAGGATCGTGTCTATCTTGTCCACCAGGTTATTCCCAGAGCCTGGAACAGCGCCTGGCACAGAGCGGGACTGAGTAAATATTTGTTGAACGATGACTGAACAACAGTCCAGGCAGCAGGTGAGGGGGCTAAACTGGGGCAGGGCTGAGGGGCAGAGAGCAGGTGCAGCTGAGCTCTGTGGACTCTGCAGCTGAGCCCCTAAATTAGGTCATCTGCTCAGCAATGCTGCCTCTCTCCTCAGACCCCTCCCAGCCTGGGCCTCAGCCCCAGGCCCAGCACCTCATTCCCTGCTCCCCTATGAAGGTAGGCTCAGAACTGGGCTCCACCCCAGAGCCCCGATTGGGGTGGGTGCAGGCCTGGAATAGCCTCAGCTCCCCTTCCTCCTTCAGGTCTTTGCCCAAGCTCCTTCTTCTGCCTGCAGTGCCTTTCTCTTCCTTTTCCTGCAGAACAGTCAAACACCAGCTCCTCAGGAAGCCTTTCCAAAAGAGGGAGCAACTTGACCCCTCCAAGCCCTCCAGGTGGCCCTGACTACTGGAACCCACCCCATCCCTGGCCTTTGTTCCCACCTAGACTGTAAATTCCCAAGAGATTACCACGTATAGCTGCACAGGCTGTGCACTGCAGAACCCAAGATTACCATTCATATCACAGTCACACAGTGCCATGGCCTGGAGCACAGTCTGAGCTGCCTCTGCTCCCCACCTCCTTAACACCCTCCCCCCTGGTGGGTGGTCTCTTGATCGCGAGGTTTGTTGACTGAGTGACTGACAAACTAACTAAACAACTGAACATTTCACCATCAGCTCACAGACCCAGGAACCCTATTATACCCCGGGCTGGGTACAGCCCGTCTCCTGCCTTAACCAGCTCTAACTTTTCTCTGTTCTCAGGGTCTATTCTCAACCCTCCCTGGGGGAGAAGGCCTTCTTTATGTTCCACTCCATTCCTCCTGCAGCAGCCAAAGCCAGGATGCTGCCCGCCCTGGCTGTTAGATCTTGGGGAGAAACAACATGAGAGAGTGGGGGGCACATCATCCTGGCACAGGGAGCGTGGTCTGTTCCTCTCTCTGCGGCCCCGGGAGGCTAGTAGCCCATTTCCTGCCCCGTGCAGCAGGCCCGCAGGCCCCTGGGTTCCGTGGGCTCGGGCTCCATCATTTGCGGTAGGAACTCGGCAGTACCTCCCACCACATCCTCCCGTGAGCCCCCCTCTGCTTCAGCAGGTACTGGGGGAGCTTCTCAGGAGCCCAGCTGGGCTCTTCCTCCCACCCCTCGACAGGCTCAGAGCTTCAAACTCCCGTCATCTATCGTGGCCTTTCGGCCTGGCTTCTGGAGGAGGGAGGCAGTTCTAAAAGTCATTTTGATGACAAAAGGGGAAATTGGGACGTGTGTTGGGGGTGGGGACTGGACAGGAGATGGTCACGAATAACTCGGACTGAAACCCGGCCTTTACAAGCACGTGGAGCAATCAGAACGCTCGTGCACTGCGAAATTTGGAAAACGAAGGCTAACCCAACACATAAACCATGATCCAACAGTTCCACTGCTGGGCACATGCCTGATAAAGGAAGCTCTGGTCCATCAAAAGGAAGTGCAGGGCAGTGCTATTCACAAGAGCCCAAGGAAACTGCCCAACACCCATCATCAGAACCTTCACCCGTGGAAAACTCTAGCAACAGAAGGAGCATCATTGCCTCAGGCGACCCCATGGATGAAACTCACAGACTGGATGCTGAGGGAGAGGCGCCTCATGCAACAGAGCACATACTGTATGCTTCGATCATCACAAGTTCAAGAACAGGCGAGACTAATCCTTGGAGAGGGAGGTGGGGGCAAGGGTTAATTCTTGCCAGGGGGTGTGCCTGGAAGGGAGCACACAGCCTGGAGGGGGCTTATGCGAGCTGGTAATACTCTGCTTCTTCATCTGGATGCTGCTTATACAGGTGGTTCACTTTGTAAACATTCACTGAGCTGCATGCTTATGATCTGTGCATTTTTCTATATGATACATGTTAATGAAATTTTACCAAAACAGAAGAAAACAACAAACACCGACCTTTAAATTATCTTCTTGCAGCCAAAAACTCCCCAACAACCTTCTCACCACCCCTCCCTGCTTCAGATCCTTCTGGCCCCCTTAACCCTTGTGCCTGGGTGACTAGGCAACACCCACCTCCCCCATGTTCTTTCTCACCACGCTCAGCTTCAGCCACCCGACATTTTCTCAGTTCCTTGACCGTGCTCAGGCCAGCTTCCAGGCTCTGACCAAGCTGTTCTCAGCCAGGACTTCCCCCTCCTAATTCCTGCTCATCCCCCCAAGTCCAGAGTGGATACACATCCTCTGGCTGAAGGACACACCTGCCTCTACGTCCTCAAAGCACCCTAGATGTCCCTACCAGAGCAGTCATCACTCCTCTTGTCACCACCTGACTTGTCTGTTTCCCTCATGAGCCTGGGAGTTCCACAAGGGCAAGAACTGAGTCCTCTTCCCTGTCTTATCCCCCAAACTTTGCCTGGCACTCAGTGGATGCTCTGTAAGTACATGAATGAATGAATTGGCCCTGCCCTCACCGTTTTAATCTAATGGTTACCAGCCTCTTCACTGTACAGATAAGGACACCACAGTCCAGGAAGGGCTCCAAGCTTGCTTGGCTGGCAGAGTCACAGCCCAAGGCCCAGGGCTATGAAGCTGCCTCAGGAGCCACCACTGCCCACTCATCCTCCACAAACAGAGCTTGCTCTGCTCAGTTCCGGGAGATGCGGAGCTCCACTCAGCCAGGAACACTGAGTGGCTCACCTGGCTCTGTCCTAAAGTCTGTCCGGAACCTGGGCTCATGGCTCTGGTGTGCTCTGTATGAAGGAAACCCCTGACCACTGACCAGAAGGAAAGCAGCAGGGGTGGGGGCAGGGAGGGAACCAGCCTGGGTCAGGGCCTGAGCGAGGCTGGTCACAGACAAGCACAGAAAAAGCCCTGTGACCATGATGAACAAAACAAGGAGAAGAGAGACTGTTCTAGAATAAGAGAGACTAAAGAGACACACCAACAACATGTAACAAATGAACCTTGACTGGATCCTGACTTCCAAAGAAAGAAGTTCTAAAGTCATGTTGGTGACAACACGGGAAATTGGACTGCGTGTTGGATATCGTGACCCTTCACTCCAGCACTTCCCCTAAAACTAAGGACAAGCTTCCACATCAGCACACCACGATCACTATCTGACATGAGCAGGTGCTCCACGTGCATATTTGCTGAGTGAATGACCGCTGTATCCATAATTCCACAGCCTGCCTTTTTCACATTAATATGTTTCAAGATTGATGCAGGATAATAACCACTGCACACAATTCATTCATTTTACCTGCTCTTAGTATTGCATCAGATGATTCATCTCTCACTTCTTCCATGTTGCTAATGGTCACCATCTCCAGTCTTTCACTATTCCAAACAATGACACAAGAAATGTCTGTCCATGTGCCTGAGCATTCCTCCAGGGTTGGCATCTGGGAGTGGAACTGCTGAGTCAGAGGCCACGTGCATGCGCAGCTTTACCTGATATGGCAACGCTATTCTCCGAGGTGCTTCTACGAATTTACACCCCCACAAGCTCCTGTTTCACCACATCCTTACCAGCAGAATGTTGGCAGATTTAACGTTTTCTGCTGATCAAATGGGTGCATACAGATGATATTTTTAAAATATAAGGTGATGTTTATTGAGCTTTAATTTGCCCACAAACTGTGGTAAACCCTTATGTGCCTTAACTCAAACAGTCTTTGCACCAACCCGGTGAGGTAAACCAGCAGCCCCATCACAGGGATGAGAAACTGAGGCTGGGGGTTGAGCGCCTTGCTATAAATACAGAGTGACGCTGTCTCTGAACCGTGGCTACAGACCCGCAGCCTGCCTCTCAACCACTACTTCTCCCTCCTGCCTCAGAGTTTCCATCTCTTCTTTGGTATTTTTTGTTACTGTCCAAAACTTCCGTATTGAGCATGTGTTATTTTATAAGGGGCAAAAGAGCCTTACTAAACTTTATTTTAAAGTAGTTTTTTCAGTGGTCCCCACCCCTGGCAGTGACAGGAGAGGCCAGGGTGGGGAGAGGGCCCGGGGCTTGGTGGACTGGCCTGGTGCTCACCACCTCTCTCTCTCTTCTCTCTCTCTCCTGCACGCCCTTCTGAAAGTGAAAGGAGATTCTCCCCAGACTGTGGGGGTGGGGTCCTAAGGCCTTCTCTGGGGCTTTCTCAGGCTCCCTGCAGGCCCCCTCGATTCTCACGCACTCGTCTGCCGGGCCCCACTCACCAGGTCTGGTTGGTGCTGGTGTCTTGGTGCAGAAGGGAGCTGAGCACGTAAGGCGCGCCTCCCTCGGGAGTCACCCAGGCCCAGGCCACATCCACATTGAAGGCCTCCAGGGGAGCCAGGCCTGTGGAGAAAAGAGGAATATTTAACAAAGTCACCTGTTGAGGCCGTGGTTGGGCCTTTTATGCCCATTATTCCATCAAATCCTGCAGTGTCATCATCCGCATTTTACAGATGAGAAAAGTGAGACTCCCAAGGATCTTTTTTCCATGGGAATACGACTGGAATGCAGGTGTTATCTCACCCACAGCCCCTGATTTTCTTACTAAACCAAGCTGTGTCAGCACTGAGACCCCCCTCCTCCAGGAGGCCTTCCCTGGTTCTCCCCCAGAAGCACTTCCCACCTTATCACACCTCCCTCTGTGCACTTTCTGTACCTGTCCCGTAGCACACACCCATCACTGTGTCTTGTACCAAAGTTAGACTAGACTATGAGGCCCAGGGATAGGGTCTGCATATATTCTATGCATGTACCCTCCATCAAATGACCCAAGAGAAAACCTATGTCCTCAAAAATACCAACATGAGAATGTTTATAGCACCTTTATTTGTAATAGTCCTGAACTGGAAATAACCCAAATACCCATCAACTGGGGAAGGGAGAAACTCACTGTGGTATATTCAGACAATGGAATACTACTCGGGAGGAGAAAGGAAGGAACAAGCAACACACACAACAAGATGGGTGAATCACAAAAATCATTATGCCGAGTGGAAGAAGTCTTACCTAAAAGAGTATCTACTGTGTAATTCCATATACAATGTTCTAGAACCAGCAAAGCTAATCTATAGTAAGAAATACTGCCTGGGGAGGGGGATTAAATGAGATGGGACAGGAAGTTACTTCCTGGGGTGATGGAAATAGCCTGTATCCTGATAGGAGGTTGGATCACAAAGGTGTGCCCATTTGTCAAAAACACATTGAACGGTCCAAATAAAATGGGTGAATTTCACTGAATGCAAGTTTTACCTAAAAAAAAATGTACAGGGATGAAGTTACTGATGCCTGCAATTTACTTTGCAATGCATCAAAATATAAGACGCCTTAATGGATGGAGAGATGGATATATAGTGATGGACATATATGGATAGATACATGTAGATGGACATATATATTTTTGTATATATAAAATATATAACATATATGTAAATAAGTATTATATATATATAAAATAGGTACATGATAATGCAAATGTAACAGAATGTGGACAATTGTAAAATCTAAGTGTGGTATGTGATTGTCCACTGTACAATTTTTTCAACTTTTCTATATGCTTGAAATTTTTCATTAAAAATTTTTTTGGAAATACTGACAGATTGCCCCCCATGGAGGCTGTGCCAATTCACATTCCAACAACAGAAGAGGAGAAGGTCTGTTCCTTGCAGCACTGCTTGAACTGACTGTGTGCAGACCTTTTCATCCTTGGTTTGTTTTTTTTTAAAGAATTGACACCTGAGCTAACAACTGTTGCCAATCTTCTATTTTTTTTTTCTGCTTTTTCTCCCCAAATCCCCCCAGTACATAGTTGTATATTTTAGTTGTGGGTCCTTCTGGTTGTAGCATTGGGACGCCACCTCAGCATGGCCTGACCAGCGGTGCCACGTCCACACCCAGGATCCAAGCTGGCGAAACCCTGGGCCGCTAAAGCGGAGCACGCGAACTTAACCACTCAGCCACAGGACCAGCCCCTCATCCTTGTTTTTTTGTTCCAAAATTGTTTTTCAATTATGAGTGAGATCAAGCCTCTTATTACAAGTTTGTTTCCTGACTATTCATATACATTAACCATTTTATGAGCTATTTTTTTTTTTATTCATTTGTAAGAGCTTTTTGTATCCATAAGAAATTGTCAATGTGTTACAGATATTGTTTCCAATTTAGCTGTGTATTTGGCTTGCATATGATATTTTCTTCCCAGGTCTGTGTTCTGTATGTAGTCAAATTATTTTTCCGTTATGACTCTTGAGTTTTGTGTTATGTTTCACCATTAAGAGATTATGTTTTTTAATTCATTCATGTTTCCTTCAATATTTTGTTTGTTCCATTTCTTATGTTTGAATCTTTGATTCATCTAGACTTTATTTTTGCATGTGGAGTGAAATAGGGATCCAGCTTTATTTTTTCTTCCCCCAAATGAAATTGTCTCAACATTATTTCTTGAAGAGCGTATATTATCCCCATAGATTTGAAATACCACCTTCATCATTCTCAAAATTTTCATATGCATTTGGGTCTCTGTCACGACTCAGTTCTGCTCCACTGACCTAGTCACCTCTTGCTTGGACATGTTCATTAGTCTCCTGATCTTTCTCTTCCAAGACTTGTCCCTCTGGATACCTCCTCTCCATACCAGCTGCCAGAAGAATTTTTTTTTTTTTTTTTTTTTTTTTTAAAGATTTTATTTTTTCCTTTTTCTCCCCAAAGCCCCCCGGTACATAGTTGTGTATTCTTCGTTGTGGGTCCTTCTAGTTGTGGCATGTGGGACGCTGCCTCAGCGTGGTCTGATGAGCAGTGCCATGTCCGTGCCCAGGATTCGAACCAACGAAACACTGGGCCGCCTGCAGCGGAGCGCGCGAACTTAATCACTCGGCCACGGGGCCAGCCCCCTGCCAGAAGAATTTTTAAAAGCATGGTCTGATCATGTTACTCCACTGCTTAAAATTCTAATGTATATTTACACACAAAAAAGGCAAGCAGATGTTCAGTCCACAGACTTATCTGTTCAATTACTGTTCAATTAACAACTTTCTGCCATAATGGCTCTTGAAAAGCTATACCAGTTTTTGGATAACTCTCCTTTTTTCCTATGGTATAATGACTTTTTAATCCCTGAATATAACAAACAAAGATGCAATGATATTCTGACATCACACTTTCAGGCAAAAACACATTCGTCAACTTACTTTATACAACAGTTTCTAGCCCAACAATATCGTACAAAACAAATGCGCATTGCTTACCATGTTTGGATAAACCCAAAATGCTTTGTTTTGCAAATGCATGCCAACTGAGGGGGCTGAAGACACAGTATTTTCTGATTCGCAATCTTTGAGTGCACAAGTTATTTCCACGTGTTTTGAAGTGCTTTCAGGGTTAGTATTTGTTTTGTCCTCAAGGTATTTTTCTGTGCTATAACTTTATTTTTAAAGGTAGTTTGAGTGCAAGATAGACATGAGTCTCCAAAAGGTTGAAAAGCAAGGACAAAACAGTGCAGAAAGAAAAATGAACCTTCTCAAGAATGACTCCCTCACACCCACCCTCCACTACCCACCATGAACTCTTCAATTTCTCCTTTAAGGAGGACAATAAACCTTCACTACAATAAGCTCTACCTGTAAACTGTATTTTTATATTCAAATTATTATTTTTTTTTTAAAGATTTTATTTTTTCCTTTTTCTCCCCAAAGCCCCCCGGTACATAGTTGTGTATTCTTCGTTGTGGGTTCTTCTAGTTGTGGCATGTGGGACGCTGGCCCAGCGTGGTCCGATGAGCAGCGCCATGTCCGCGCCCAGGATTCGAACTAACGAAACACTGGGCCGCCTGCAGCGGAGCGCGCGAACCCAACCACTCGGCCACGGGGCCAGCCCCTCAAATTATTTTTTCTAATGTAAACTTTTTTCATTGGTCAATCAGTAAATTTTCCATCAGTAAAAATTGTGTGGGTATTGGGTTGGATGGAATGCATCACAATTTTTCCATTGAAATTGATGGAAATATTTTTTTCCAGTTAATTTTTTTTCACTTAGCTGTAGAAATTTTAGGAATAAATTTAAATCATTAGACAAAGGATAGGTTTACAGACTATTTTATCTTCTCTATAAGGAAGAGAAGGAAATACACACATACAAAAATGTTGTTCTTCATTCACCGGGAAGATATAACAATTTTAAGTCTGTATGTATCCAATAACATCACTTCAAAATATAGAAAGCAAAAATTGACTGAATTAAGAGGAAAAATGCAAACATCCACAACCAAAGTGGGAGACTTTAATGCTTTAACAAACCTTTCACATTAGTTATAAAAGCAGACCAAAAAAGTCAGTAAAGATATAGAAGGTCTGAACAACACAATTAACAAGCTTGATCTAATTAACTAACAGAACACAGTACCCAACAATGGTAAAATAAACATTTTTTCAAGAGCACATGAAGCATTTACCAAAATTGACCGTACGGCTGAGTCATAAAGCAAGCCTCAATAAATTCCAGTGGAGTGAAATGGTTCAGACTATGTTCTCCGATGAAAGTGGAATTAAACTAGAAATCAATAACAAAAGAAAACTAGAAAAATCTGAACTTCTTGGAAATTAAGTAATGCACTTCTAAGTAACCTAGGGTCAAAGGTGAAATACAATGGAAATTTTTAAATACTTTGAACTGAATGAGAATTAAAGATATGACAAATCGAAAACTGGGCATACAGTTAAAGCAGTGCTTAGGAGAAACATACCGCCTTAGTGCATATGTTAAAAAAGGAGGAAGGCAGAAAATCAATTAGCTAAGCTTCCAACTCAAAAAGCTAAAACAATAGCAAATCAAACCCAAAGAAAGTACAGGAAGGAATGAAAATATGAGCATATATCAGTGAGACAGAAAACTAACCTATGGCAGAGAAAATCAACAAAGCTAAAGTTTGTTTTTTAAAAACAATAATAAAACTGATAAACTTCTAGCAACTGATCAAGAAAAAAATAAAGAAACCACACAAATTACCAATACGAATGAAAAAGAGGCCATCAGAATAGATCCTAAGAAGTAATAAGAGGATAGTATGTACAACTTTATACCAGTAAGCTGTGACAATTTAAGTGAAATGGACAAATTCCTTGAAATAAATATTTACGAAAATTGACAAAAGAAATGTAATCTGAATAATCCCATATAAAAGAAATTTAATCCATTATTAAAATAAAAACCTTAGGGGTCGGCCCGGTTGTGAAGCAGTTAAGTTCGCACGTTCCACTTCCGCGGCCCGGGGTTCACTGACCTGGATCCCGGGTGCAGACATGGCACCGCTTGGCAAGCCATGCTGTGGCAGGAGTCCCACATAGAAAGTAGAG